GAAGGAAGAACTGAATACAATAAAGATAAATATCAATTAAATTGAACTTTAAGCTCTTTGGGGATCAGGTTGTAGTCTATGAACCATGTTATCTTTCATTGAGGTGTCCAGCAAATGCAACTACAGGTTCTTGGCTTGCCTCGTGATAAACTGGACGATAACACTTTTGACTCCTGTGGACTCGTGCAGAGTTGAATATAAAATGCCCTTTGCTGTCCATGATAGGGTTGGAACAAGATGGTTGATCTTGTGTTGGTACGTTATAAAAGCAACTTCCTGTTTTCAGTTTTTACAGTCAGTGTAAAACATTTCCAAACTTTATTGGCACTTGAACCCAGTTTGCCGCTGCTTCACGTGTTTTAGAGCTAATGCCACATTTACAATTGTTGGACAATACTTTTATGTGACTCAAACCAACAATAAAACAAAAGACAAACTGATCTACAGTGAAAGAAAATGAGAAAAGAACAAGAGGAAGGAAGGAACAACTCAAACTCAATGTCAACTCATGTATTTATAAAGCACTAACAACATGAGCTGCTAATAGCCATAGGGCAAAAACAAAGTAATAAAATCATCCCATAAAACAATAAAAGTCCTCAGGCTTCACTTGAATACTATGGAGTAAGACTGCGGCTTTAGAAGCATCTTAAAATTCAACTCAGTTATGTTGTTTCAGTATTAAAATAGAAAACCTCTGTGAATTTCAGACAAATGAATTACACTACACAAAAAAGTTAATATTCAACTTTCAGGTGAAATCTGAACCTGAAATGCACTATAACCTTATATTATGAATATATTGTCAATGCAAAACCGGTGTGCTCAATAGTCATGTCACTCTGTAGATTGAAATGATTGTTGGGGAATATATTTTAAGAGTTGTCAAGTTGTATTTTTCATGCTGATGTAGTCTCTGAGCAGGAAAAGCTCACACTACACACACATAACAGCCAAAACTATTGAATGTCACAGAGAAGGAAACACAGATCAGAAACAAGAAAACACACATATACATTACCTGATATTGTCACCAATATAATCACCGTGGCAAGATTCTCTAATCTTGTGCAGCCCTATGACTTTTACAGCGACTTACTCTGATCAGGTATGAATCGATAGAATATTTCAGCAGCAAGGTTGATGTAAAGTTCTTTACATCATAAACAAATCATACAGTGACCAATTGTGAAATAAGCAATAAACATGATATTTTATCAAATGCCATCATAAGAATCAGCAATAAAAACTTTGATCTTGATCAATGTTCCACTTAATATTAATCAAAAGTAAACTGGTGGGTTTTAGTCTAGATTTAAAGGATGTCTGTGGTTTCAGCTCTTTTGCAGTTTTCTGTAAGTTTAATTTGTGGTCTGTGCGCCACAAATTGTTCCACATAATTGTGGTGCGTAGAAGCTGAATGCTGCTTCTGTTTGGTTCTGGGTCTCTGGGATGCAGAGAACCAGAAACTCACTTCTAAAGTGTGAATAAAATGTGTTAACATTTACTCAGTTAACTGTTTACACATTTAACTGAGTAATTGGCACTCAGTTACATTTACTGCAGCACACTTTTTACCCACTGCTGTTACGTGAGCCTTTTTTTTTTGGCTACTGTCTACAAACCTGCTGCTGCTTGTTTCATGGCGTTTGTTAAAGATGTTTCTCATCCTGTTTCAGCAGAATCAGCCAATGAGGGAGATAACGGCACGTGGATAGAGGACACCATCAGGTGTGGGGCCGTGCCCCACTGCTCCCCACAGAGCCTTCACGCCGCCATGCAGCTGGTCAACATCCAGACACTTGCCTTCACGCCATCACACACGCTCCCGTGGAAAGTCTTCCTTTACACGCACACCTTGCGCGCCGACACCACCTGCAGCACGCTGGTGCTGGGGGAGCTGCTGTACGCCGGAGAGCTAAATCCAAAATGCTCAGCTGGAGGAGAGATGGAGGGCGATGAACAAACACAAGCAACGGCGGATGGAGATAAGGAAGTTAAAGTGACTCTTTGGCAGCAGCCGCATGATGTTAGCGCCCTGAGGGTCTTTCTGTCAGTCCTAACCACTGTACTGCACACACTTTCCTCTGAGGTGGCTTAGTTTATTTAAGCCTGAAGTGAGTTGTTTAGTTGATGTCTCTTCCATTGTGATGTTATCCAGTGCCTTGAAAACTGACATGGGTGAGAAAAGATTGACTTGACTTTGACACAGGACAGTGCACACTAACACTTGTTACAGATGAGGCTGGGTAAAAAGCTCAAAAGCCGTTCATACTTTCTGTTTAGTCATATCCAAAGTGTGCTACACTATGAAAAGCTAAATAAAAATCAGCTGAGGTTCATGAATCTCCTGTGTTCGGTGTAAAGAAGAAATCCTTTGATTCGTTTCTGGCCTGATGACAATGGAACCACAATGAACTGCTTTCATTCACATTCAATTATTTTCAGGCGGAGCTGGAATCTGGAGTCATAAATTGTAGCGCTGTTTACCTAGAGACTCACAGACAAAGGTGGTGTTATGCTTTAAACAGCTGCAACTTAAACTTAAACTTTAAACTCTTGTCTGCAAATCATCTGTTTAGCTCAGTCACTCTGCTTTACACACAGTAACAGGTTTTTGTTGCTATGTACGGCTGTGCATGTCTGACAAGCATTTCTGTTAGAAGTGAATAGAAAACAAGCAGGAACAAATTCCCAAAAGTAAAGCTAGAGAATTTCTGAAGAAATTTAAAAGGGGCCTGCCAAAGTGTGCTCTTTGGTTGGAACCCAGCGTTATGATGCTAAAAACTAGCATCAATGCTAAGCCTAGCTAAAATAATATTAATAGCAAGCATGATGATTAACATGGACTTACTCCATATATATATAAATATATATATATTTATATATAAAAATAAAAGAAATTTGACTCGGTATCATAACTGTATCTGGGGTGTGAAATTGGTCTCTGTCTCATTAAAAACCTCCTGGCTTTCCTGACATTCCCCCTTCAGCATGTGATGAAGTCGTGATGATGATGATGAGGATGTCGACAATCATTCATCCGAGTGTTGTGGTTCCTATGATGAGCTCAGCAGATGTGCAGTTCCACCACTGGGTGTTTGCTAACTGCGTCTGCCGCTAGTCTGGAGGAGCCAAGTAGGGGAGTTGCTGGGTGGAAGCGCCAAGCTGGAGCTTTGGGTAAGTAGCCGGTGCATTGTATTATCAGGTGTTACGCTGGGCCGGCGGAATGGGTGGGCATTGGAGGGCATTGCCCGCCCACAGCGTCAGCCGTACCCCTTCCCGGACTGGAAAGTGTTTGTTGTTTTTACCTTAAAATGGGGAACTCTCTTTTATTCCTATATAATACCAATATAGCACCTTAAGCTTGTTAACTAGGTTACTGATGTCTATGTTCAAAAGTGGGAAGCACTTGTTACATTTACTTGAGTAACTTTTTTGGATAAAGGTACTCCCTGGCCCTGTTAAACTCGTCTGGAGCCGTGGCTGATGTTACGGCAACTCCGAATCACAGGAGACTCAAGGATTCCTCAAACGAGGAATAAATCAAGGCAAAACTCCAGGCATGTTTTTAATGAGGAGATAGCATTATAAAAGGACATAAAGCTAAAAAAAAGAGAGATGATTTTGCATAACATCCCTCCTTTAAATAAACAGATGAGTTGAAGAACCCATTGTTGGATAGATTCTGACAATGGGAGAAAAATGTCACCTCTTTCTCAACAGGTTTTTTTAGGTCAGTTAGAATTATCAAAATCATTTCTATTTGCTAAATGACACAGGAATGAGAGAAGTCTGAAGTTTACCTTCATTTCCTCAGTATTTGGCAGCAGTCCATTGGAACTCCATGGCCTTGGTCTCGACTTTTGGGTTTCCTTCCAGAACAATACTGCGGTTGGAATGAGTCCTGGTCTTTTCCTTCTGACTGAACTGGTTCAAGTCCGGTTTCTGGACCTCTTCACTCACACATGCCTTTTCAGATTTCCCCACAACTTCTCCATAGGATTGAGATTTGGACCAACGTATTGACTTTGTTGTCCTCAAGCCGCTTTAAAACCACTTTGGCTGTGTGCTGAGGATTACTGTCCATCTGGAAGACCAATCTGCTTGTCATTGTTTCAATATTTTCCCACGTAATGATCTTTCCTCATGATTCCATCTGTTTTATGATGGACTCATAAAATTTGTACTGCAGCAAAATAGCCCCACAACATGATGGGGCCGTCCGAACTGTGAAGCAGTACAGGCATCATCCTTTTTCCTCCAAATGTAACAATGGTCAGTAAGTCCAATATGCTCCATTTTGGACATGTTCCCTCAGACATGTCTCCAAAAATGAAGATCTGTGGGGATTTGCAAACTGCAGTCTGGCTTCTTATGTCTCTGTTAAAGTAAAGGCTTCACTGAATGACCTTTCAGCCCAGGACATTTCACTGAGGATAATGAACCTGCTCATCTCTGCCAGAGCCCGTCTCCTTCCTGAACGGCGGGATGGTTGGACATTCCCATCATGTCCATACTTGGATGAAATTGTTAAAAGAGTATAAAGCTGCATCTTAAAACATTTGGAAATTATTTCCTGAGATGAACCAAAGTGGTGCTTCTCCTGATTTTCTTCCTGGTTTTGAGGACATTAATAAATAAACGTTTGACATATTCTGTTTCTCCTTATTCTGGCATTTGATCATCAAAATTATTTGTTTAACAGGTTAAACTACAGATGGAGAGAAAGAAAGGTGTTGGCCTGAGTAGACTTTTGGTTTCAATTGTTGCTTCTCCTATTGTAAGCTTGGTTGAAACTAAACTTACAATATATTGCATAAAAAGAGAAATAATATTTACTTTCTAAGTATCTGAAAAATACAGATTTATTTCTATTTAAGTAGAAAACACAAGTTGTCACTTGTGAGGTGACATCTTTAGTCTGGAGAAATCTGATAGATCAGGGATTTGATGAAATGAGTGAGAAGCAGGCTGGCTTTTTGAGGAATGAAGCATAATAATGTGCTACTATTCTGAACGGCTCATTTAAGGGAATACATTTTCCGATGCTCGCTGTCGTTTCTGAACCTTTCCAGGCCCGGTTTTCCCACTCTGTTTCCGTCTTCTCGCCCAGCCCCTGAGTGCAACGGCGCAGCGGATTGGGCCTCGCTCCGGCGTTACGACACACCCTCCCTCCGCAGCCGCGCGCCGCCACCTGATGCTTGGCAGCCCAAACTTCAGTCCTGACAGCGAGCGGAGGATCACAACGCCGCGGCTCTCGCTTTTCCCAAACCATTCAGCTTCTCTCTGTGGATTCCTGAGGCTGTTTGTGTCTGATAAGTACCGTCCCGAGGAGCGACAGGCGTTGACTGTGAGGTTCTGCCGCGCCTCGGACGCGAACGCGCTGGGAAGAGAGAAAGGAAGTTTCAGTCAAGACGGTAAGCGCACCTTGTAATGTCTCAGATGTTTGACCTGTTGCTCGGGTTTTTCGGCTGGCTGTTTTCTTTGCGGTATTTGCAAGAAACTCTTCGCGCAGACGGGACTTGGAGAAACAGCTGAGGCCAAAAATGCCGTCCATCCAGCGCCTCGGTTATTTTTGGAGCGAGCGCGAGCGCCAAGGCTGCTGGTTGAAAAGATAAACGTTTCCTGATTGGTTAAGTTTCGCATGGCTACATGAAAAGCATTTTATGGGAATAAGATAGTTTTAAATAACAGGTAAACATGTTTTTCAGACGCCACACATTAACATTATTTTTTTTATTGCCGCGTTTTCATTAGCTGCTTGGAGAAAAGTGATGGACATTAAGAAAATATAAAAATATTTGCGTAATCAATCTATTTGATGTGTTTCATTTGATGATGGAGTTACTAACATAAACTTCTCAATAATATTCTGATTTATTGAATATGTATAGTGTGTCTGATGTCCATATGATCGCAAAATAGCTGAAAGAAGAAACCTTTAACTTTAAAAACAATTCACACTTTTAAAACCTGTTTTAGTTTAATGCAGTTTTCACATCTACTTCTAGCTTAAAATGACACTTTTTACACCTTGAGCTGTTTATTTTCCTTGGATTGTTCTGTCGACAGCATTATGTGTCTGTGATTTTTGTACATTATTTGTCACCATGTATTATTACAAAAACTAGACCTGTGCTAAATTGAAAAAGTCATACGATATCGCAACAATTTCAATTTATTGCCGACAATATCACAATATTAACCGCAACAAATCCACATTTTTCTGACTCCTATCTTTGTGCTTCCAGCAGTTTGTGTGACATTTTTCATCTGAATGATTGCAACAATGTCAGCTGTGAACATACTCACAATTTACTGTAACCAAATGGCCTGGGATCACTTTTCAGTTCTTAGAGAAATGGAAAAATAAAACTGAGATTTTCAGAACAAAATAGGCTCTCTCCATCACAATTTGGAAGCCCTCTTGTTGTTGCATGGACCTTAAAGTCAGGAGTTGGCAGCTTTTATAATCTAGAACCAATTTTTCCCCTTTTCCCTACAAACAAAATGTGTTTAGAGACGTAAATCTTAGTTAATCCACTCTTTTTTTATGTCCACTTATTGTACAAATCCTTTTTATGTTTTATAGCTAAAGAACTAAACAGATTTTAGGTTTCAAAACAGCAACAATAAAGAGTGAAACATGTATATATATATGTATGTATATATATATATATATGGTCCGATGCAAGATCAACTTTTTTGAGCTTTACATCATGTTAGAATGTTATTCCCTCTCATCAAAAACAAATCTGGAGTGTTGCTTCGATTCTTTCATACATTTTACACCTCTAACTGAAGCAATGACAGAAATGTGTCACCTAAAGTCAACGAAAAACTATATTACGCCTGAGAAGGTGTATGGGTCTGTGAATTATAGATAAAACATAGATCGGGGATAAGATCCGAAGACATGGTGGAAACCAAACAAAGGGTAAAAGAAAACCAGAGGACACAGGCTGTTCTCGCGGTTTGCCCGGGGTGGAGGCAGATCTCAAGTGTTTGGATTGGAAATCAGATGCATTGTTGGAGAAGAAGACCAACTTCTCCACACATACAAATGTTTTTCTTCTAATGGCTAACTTCTTTTTTGAATCTGTAGATTAAATACACAGAAACTGTCTTTAAAAATGCGGTTATATTTTTTATTTATGTTTTAAACATTTTGTAATTGCTGATAAATAATAAAAAAGTACACTGGAAAAGACAAACCAAGTTCAACACCTGAAAATGCTGTACACATCCTTAAAACAGAGTTCTTTTTCTCCCCCTGCCCCAAGTTAATACAGCAGAGACTTTAAAGTTAGTAACACTTAGTTAGAAAGTTAGAAACACCAAAGCTGGGAATGAACAGTGATTAATCTGGGGGAAATAGTGCAGTGTAAGATAAAGTCAACAAAAGCATAAATGTAGGTCGGAAAGCTGCAGGCTTGTTGTGCCGGGCCTGTGAGGTCTGAGTCCAGCAGAGGATTCCAGAGAAACCTGCTGTCAAGTCTAAACGCAACAAAATATTCCTCACAATCTGTTCCGCTCTGACGATGCGATATCTTAGTTTTAAAGGGGCAGCATTACATGTTTTCTGGACACATAGAATTATTTTATAGCAGAATCAAGTAACTGTTGCCTTGAGTTGTTTTAAAAATGTGCTATATATCTAGTATGACTTAAAATAAATCTCACTTAGTTATGCAACATGTTGAAATTTGGCCTTGATCTCTAAAAATTCCAGGTCTTTCTGAAACTCAGACCTTCAGGAAGTCATCATCACGATTCTCTTTTATTAAATCTTTTGCAACATTTCCACTAGGATTTCACTGAGAAGTAGCTCGCATGAAGAGCTCAGTAGATGTGTTGTTTCACCAGGTGTTTGCCAATTGCTGCTGGCTAGTCTGAAGGAGCTGAGTGAGGGAGTCAAGAAGGAGGGCTGCTCTGTGAGGCGGAAGCTTGAAAACTGCAGCTCTAAGGAGGATCTGCGTGTCGAAGGTGGTGCTAGGTCCACCCAGGCGTCTTGGACAGCTGAATGGTTGCCATGAAGGTTAAAGGATTTCTCAAACTTGCATGAAAGAATCAAAGCAACACTCCTGGTATGTTTTTGATTGGGGAATAATATAACATGATTTAAAGGTCAAAATAGTTGATTTTTACTGCCCCTTTAAGTTATCTGGAGAATGATCTTTGGAGTTCAGATCTCCAGAAGACACAGTGAGTTTATCTCAGTCTAGATACACACAGCCTGGTGTTATCTGTATCTGAGCCTTCTGAAATATTCATCCTCTCACAGCTGAATTATTTACTGTTGCACTGACTTGGTTTCACCTCAACACGTACGCTGATGTGTTTGGATGTTTGACAGGAAATGCGACGGCGTTCTAGAAAGAAGACTGCAGTTCTGGGAGTTCTGCTTCTCATCTCTGTCCTGTACTACTTCTATCCGTTTGAATTCCTCCTCACGGTGAGACCCCGAGCTAAAAAAGAGATGAATCCTGTCCAAGGGAAAACGACACCTGGAAGAGTTTGAGTCTGCTCTGTTTTCCCCTCCAGATGTGGTTCCACAAGCAAACATTGTGTTGTTTGTGTCTTTCAGAGTTTTACTAAATCGCCTCCAAAGCAACTGAGCTGGCAGGTGGAGAGGCTCATCAGTAAGGAGTCCTGGGCGGAGCAGGGAGATTATCTGCCTCTCAATGTGTCCTATCAGCTGCTGGCAGGAATGCCATCGACTCAGCAGAGTGAGCTCCACTCACAGTTGGCTCGTAACTGGTTATATTCTCAGTTACACTTAATTGAGTAAAATTATGGGGGGGGGAAATTATTTTAGGCTATGCTTACTTACTTTTTACTTTTACTTGAGTAATTATATTATGTGTCACTACTCTTTGGGTAAAATTCATGGATCTGCTGCCCACTGAGAGTAACTCCACTGAATGAAGAACAAACTTGTTTTAACCAAAACTTCACTACATGCACCTGCAGTTCATGTTAAAGTTTTACAAGTTTCACATCGAAAGAATTTGATTCGGGGTTTTTTGCCTGAGTTTATTTTATAGATATGTTATTAATATGAATTATCATGTAGGTCTTTAAATATCAAAATCTCCACATAACATTGTTAATCTCAGTAAAAGGTAGTGATCCTGACCCAACAGTATGGGAGAAACCACTGCTGACTGACTAAAAATCACATCAAGCCCCCAGCCCACATCTTAGGGCTCATCAAGCCCCAAGACTTTTGGAAAAATATTCACTGCAAAAACATTATTTATTTCGGTCTAATTTCTAGTGAAATGTCTTGATTAACTTGAAATAAGACAAAGTAAACTTATAAGAAACTTTTCTGCAAGATATAGGATCGATCGAGTTGGGGGTGATCGATCTGTGAAAAGATCGATCACCCCCAACTCCTCTGTGAGCTGCTTTTTTTATTTTTTAGACAATAATTCCTTTAAATTGATCAAAAGTATCAGTTCCACCATCGTATTATTTAATTTATGACAGCACTTTTTTTTGTCTCATAAGTGATGATTAGATGAGACAAAGGCTGAATTTTGGAAGGTGTGTCCCCCTTTCATCAGATGAAAAACTAACACAGCACTTCACAATAAAAACAATACACCTGCACTCAGACATGATGTGTGTGATGATTGTGGGCCGATTTACTGATTCAGGGCCTGACTCTATTGATGGAACCGCAAATTCATGTTTTGTAAAATAATAAGGCTTTACAGTGGCCTGGAAAAAGCCCATGGTTAAATCTGATTGAAATGCTGTGTTGTCCCTGCAATGGGAACAATTCTGCAAAGAAGAACGGGCCACAATTGCTCCACAAACATGCCAGTTGTTGCTGCTATACAACTAGGTCGATTTAGGTTGGCTCATCTCTTTTAAAACATAAATTTTTTATTAATTTAGTATTAATAAGAAAAGTAACAATCAAATTTTGTTGTTTTAGAACAATCAAACTCTAAATGACACTATTAATGAAGTGAGTGTTCTGGCCCTCTCTAAGCCTCACTAAAACTCTGACATTATAACCCTTAGTATAAAAACCCTTCAGCGTCCTTCACCCCCTCTTATCTGTAGCAACACACTTTGTAAAACAAAAAAAAACCCTGTAAAGCAGATTACAGTCTGCTTCTATCCATCAACTAATACCTTTAAAAACACTCCATCATTAAAAAATGCATAAAATAAAGCGACAAATCCATTTATCTGTTTTTTTTTTCTTTCAATTTAACTACAGCAGTAGCCATTTTAAGTGCAACAATAATTTGAGGAGTTGTGAAATGCTGTGTTGTGACTAAGTAGGTTAAAAGATCAAGAAATGTTTATCTTTTAAAAGCAAAAGATCAACATTTGTTGGATTTAGAATATAAGATTATGAAAAGAATTACCTCAAACTCTTCTGTCTCACTATTTATAAAACATATTATATTTGTCTGCCAAGGATTGTATTCAATAAGTTTTAATATTGCTACAGACCATTTATTTCAGTAACTCTGGCCTTTCATTTTCTGCTTACAGTTAATTAAAATGATATTTAGAATTACATCAGTCATTACATGATGACTGAGAAATATGTACGTCATTCCAGATGTCTTTGTTCATCACCTTATTTGCCTCTATGAAGGTTTATTCTGTTGGGCTTACTATGTACTGCTAAATGTGTAAATTATGTAATCTGAACTTTTGATGTTTAAAGCTGCAGCTCTCTCCATGTTGCGACAGCATGTTATGAGACGGCTGATCTGTGAAAAGATCGATCTCAGCCCAACCACTCCCAGAGCTGCTATTACCATTTGAAGAAATGCCCAACTACCGACCAAAAACAACCAATCAGAGCCAGGAGGAGGGGCTTAGAGCTGTCAATCATGCTCATGTACTCACTGCTCAGTGTATCAATATTGTTAGATGGAGAAACGTTCTTCCTGCGACAGGAAAACAATTTCCTGTCGCTGGCCTGAGCATCCAAGCTAGTTAGCAGTGTAGCAAAGAGAAGAGGATGTCAATTTTTTCTCTCCCCCCCTCCCACACACACACACACACATACACACATTATCCATCTCATACCATACTGTCATAATATGTTTTAACAAATATGTAAAAAATATATATTTCATAAAAGTTACATACTGTAGCATTACTTTTTGGAAATAAAAGTTATTTCCAAAAAGTACTTTTCAGATCTCATGTTGTAATTAAGTAATATGACTGTATGTAGCTATTCATTCCTGTCCGGATACATTTCAGAGTTCCTAACCATCGGCATGTCGTCAGTCAAGCGGAAGAAGGGCAGCTACCTGGTTCCCACGCTGCAGTCGCTCTTCTCTCAGTCATCTCCTGAAGAGCGCTCCTCCATGGTGGTAGTGGTGCTGATCGCAGACTTCGACGTTTACTGGGTAACCAGTACCGTCAGGGAAATCAACTCAACGTTTGCCTCTGAACTGGACCGAGGCCAGCTTTTAGTCATCCACGTGTTCCAGAAGTGGTATCCTCCTTTGACAGGTGCAGCAGATGAATTCCAGCCAGGCAGGAAGCTTCAGTAAAGTTCTTGCCGGTGGATTATTTATGAAAGTTTCTCTGCTTCTTCTTGAAGGCTTGAAGAGGAACTACAACGACGCTCCCGACCGGGTGTCGTTCCGCTCCAAGCAGAATGTGGATTACTCCTTCTTGATCCACTACAGTGCAGGTCTAGGCCAGTACTACCTTCAGCTGGAAGACGACGTCTTTTCAGCACAGAACTTTCTCACAACTATTCGGAAGCACATTGAGGAGCAAAATGCGAAAAAGGGCACCTGGGCGATGTTGGAGTTTTCAGCCCTTGGTTACATCGGGAAACTCTACAAGTCCTCCGACCTTCCTCTTTTGGCTCGCTTCCTTTTTCTGTTTTACCAAGAAATGCCTTGTGACTGGCTGATGTCTCATTTCCGACAGCTGATGGCCCAAAGAGAGACCATCCTCTTTAAACCCTCGCTGTTCCAACACATGGGCACTTTTTCATCTTTCCAGGGAACATACAACAAGCTAAAGGATAAGAACTTTGAAGAGGGGCTATACACCAATCCCTCAGCTGAAGTGTATTCAAATATTTCCACCTACCAGAAGTACTTCCCCAAACTGGCCTGGGATCCCGGGGAGGGCTTCTTCTGGGGACGCTCTCCAGAAAGAGGAGATCATTTGACAGTGGTGTTCCTGCAGCCTGTGGTGGTGACGGGGATACTAGTGGAAACGGGATCAGGAGGAAAGGACCTCCTGGACTACGGTCAGGTGGAGCTAGGTCAAGATGTAGTCACTGCAGCGATAAAGAGCTGTAAAACCTTCCAGTCACTGGGAGCTTTTATGAATGGAAGATTTGAGATGCGAGAGGTAGACAAACTGCGCGGCTCTGCTTCTTCATGTCTGAGGATATTGGTGACAGCCGGGCAGAAAGACTGGGTGATGATTCGGAAAATAAGAATCACAACAAAGTCCAGCGCATCCTGACGCCAAACGTAGCTGGTTTGTCTGTCTTCCAGCCTGACTAACATTTGGTTGTCGAGTTGGACTAAGACTCTTAGTTCCAATTGGACTAAGAGTCCAATTGGAAATCCTGGTGTTGGTGATGGGAGGTTGGGGTGTGTGGTGTTAAACTGTTCCTGTTACGAAGCATCGATCATGCCTCAGTGAACCTGCTTCCACTCTGGAGTTGTTTGACCAAAGCAAATTATGTAAAGTGATTAAACAGCCATAGAAGATAAGCAAGCAAATCCATTTGGTCTTTGTGTTTTTCACTGTAGGAATCTGCAGCATTTTGGGTTTTTTTATGCTCCATTTTCCTCTAGACTATGTATTTGTATCTTTTTACTTAAAGCATAAATCACTTTTTGCAAATGTTTTCTTGCATCACATTTTCTAAAAGGAAATCTGTGCTACCTCACTTGTCAAATGTGTCATTTTCTTGGATGGAGGCTTCTGTACATCAGTCTTTATTCATATGCAAAACCCTCAAATCTATCTGCTTGTAATATCTATCAGAGTAGCTACATTTCCTTTGACTATATGATTGCGCAATCTGACATCGAACACAAACTTGCTGCTTCAGAAATACAAACTTTTTGGTTAACTGCATCACACAAGTCACATGGTCTGTAAGTGGATATCACCATCGGCGCAAACCGCAAAGACGACAACAAGAAGTAGCAGAAAGATAATAATGCTCATGTGTAATTTTTGCTGCGTTTCTTATCACTGCAATTGCAAAATTGTCTTTTATTTTTCAATATTAGTGGAATATTGACAAGGTATTGCGCACATTTCTAATGGAAACGCAGCTGCTGAAGTAGTTTTATTTTATTTTCTAGACAAGCAAACTGTTATCTGAACTGTTTCAAGGTAAGGTGTGTGGCCTGAGGCAGGAGTCATTAGGAAATGTGTTGTCTGACCAAAGCTGTTATTTATACAAAGGTGTGAGTTTGTCGCACAGCAAAAACTGCTGCTAAATATCCTACCTAAAACTATTAGTTTTATGCATCGACTGCTGGTCCAAAGCTTTGCTGAGGTTTTAAGGTTCGGAGTTTGGCTTTTATTATGACTTTTTCCTCTTCCACGGCTGCGGTCATATTGTAAATAAATAATACTGTTCTTGACCAATAAATCAAATCAATCTTTGGTAGAAATTGTTTCGATGTGGGAAATGATTTACCAGCAAGTGCATTGGAGATGGATTAGACTGCAGATTCTAGCTGAAAAGTGTTCCTCCTGAAAATCTGAGTAAAATGTCTTGTTTCAGACATTTTTTAGAAGAACAGCTGAGCTTTGGTTATAAAGATGGTGAGGGGAAACATGAAGTTCAGAAAATGGCCGGCTGCTTATCTAAAATGATCTCGACTGCTTTAAAATCGAAACAAATATAAGAAAAATTTGGAAGAAAATAGAAAACTCCATTTCTAATATTGAAGCATAGGCAAAACAGCCAATGATGATGAAGAGGGTCTAGAATTACTTGTTAGGTCTGTAACAATTAGATAATTTCCATTGCTTTTCTACGCAGTTCTGCTCTATTCTCATGTCTCAGTTTCCGTCAGGGACTTCTGCTTTTGAACTCGATTTCTCAGGATGCATGCCACCTGAGCCAATCTGCAAACAAAAGGAGTTGTGAACTTTTTTTTTTTTTTTAAGCTGTAATTTGCTCGTGGCTGTAGTTTTATAATGGGAGTGGAAGAAGTACAGTCAGTGTTGACCTCACTTCCAAATATTGAACAGGTAAAGGGACAGTGAGAGAAATGTTTAAGACATTAAACTACTCCACACAGTGTTTGGCAAACGTTTGCTGATTTTCCAGATGGCTCAGTTAATTTCTGGTAAGCTTCATAGCGTCTCTCCGTCACAATTGAGCCGGTGCATCACATACAGCACGCCACCGCCAAACGTTAGCGATCCAATCTTTGAAATCTTCAGCAGAGACCACGCCTAAAGCAAGCAATTCTTTCTTTGTACCCGAGGATCCAGGGTCTTGCTTTATCCGAAGCAAAGAACAAGGGGTGGCTTTTTACTAGGCGAAAGCAAAACTATCAACAAGAAGCTCCATCCATGTCCCACTGTGATAGATGCTTTCAAATGGATACAGGCATAGAGGGAAATGTAGAAGCGCAGACGGGACGCCTTAGAGGTGGGTCTTTAAGAGCTCCTTTACAATAGCAGGGGTCAACACTGTTCTAATATGGCCCTGTAGATCATTACATCATCTTGAAACGACACATGAAAACAATCTGAATTGACTATCAGGCGTCGGGACTGCTGGCCTACAATCCTTTGACAAACGGAGTGACCGAGTTGTGACAATCCTTAGCGAAGGCATTCAAGTAGATGGGAGAAGTTCCCTGAAACAGTTTGTGACTTAAATTTATTTTGATATTACACGCAGAGAAGGTAAATAGTAAGTAACTATTTACTTACTATTTAAGTAAATAGTTCCTTAATATTGATGAAAAAAGTAGTAGTTCCACTGGTGTATTATTTTACTTATATTTTCCCCATGATTTGAATAAAGTCTAGAAGATACCACAGCAGCTTCAGAGGCAAACATCAGCTTGTCATACTTGTGTTCATGAGTCTACAGCAGAAAAGGAAAGAGGGATAACTAAGCACTTTATTTTTTGGTCATATGTTTTCTATTTTTTCTGTTTCAAGATCAAATACCTTAGAAAGAGCTGGAGGGGGATATGTCTCCTGTTTTGTTTAAAACCATTTAGGCTCTTACTAACTTTGTTTCGGATTAATCTATAAATATCACATTATATCTCAATTTACTGAAGGTCATATCCGCCTGTCCATGTGTGGCAGTCAGGTCAAATTGTTTTCAAAAGTGTGAAAGAACAGAAGAACTAAACCTGATCTGGTGTGAGCAGAAATAAAGTTTTACTCAACAAGTATTTATTTGGTTAAAACTGCCGAAAGATACATTTATAAGTCAATAACACAATATAAACTTGTTAGAATGCATGTTTTTGCTCTGATGTTGATGAAAAAAACAATTAGGACAAAATTTTAGAAAGAGGGAGTCCATCAGTCGCAGCAGTTAATCTGATAATCCCTGCTGTGTCCTGTGAACGTTTACAGTACACACCAGGTACAAAATGGCCTTTGGCTCATCCAGCTGTTATTATTGCAGCTCTCCATTAACATCATTCTAACATGCTAATCCCTTTCCATTGAGCAACTATAATACTGTTTGTCTCCTCACTTTGAAATCAGCTTAAGTGAATGGAAAATAGATGTATTCATGGGGCAAAAAAATATATATATTTTGAAGTTATCTTAACCCTTTAACTGTCACAATGACACCGGTGTCCTCATGGACCCATTGACTTACCTGCAAGCATTTTGAGGGTGACAGTCAAGGGGTTTTAACACGTTAACCTGAATTACACAGCAGCTTATTTACTTTGATCACAATTCAAATCTTTTGATCAGAATTGAAATGGACATGCATTATCTGCCAGAGACATGCATGGTGGATGAGCTGGAGGAAAGAACAATCCCTTTTTCTTCTGTTGCGTTCAGTGACGCTGGAACTCATAACACCGATCAGCTGACAGAACAATGAGACACAGAGCTGGAACGGCAGCTTCCACCCAAATCATGCAAGACTGTTAAACATGTTTCATTTGCTTCGAATGTGTTTGTTTCCAGAAAAATTGTTGAACAGCTTCTGCGATCTTTTTTTTTTTTACCTTTTAGATCAAATTCTTCTAGCTAATGCCTCTGGGGGCTGAGGAAGGCTCCTCGTGTTTCTGTGGGGCCCAGGCTCGGCTGGAGACCCCAGTTCTGGGGGAGGAGTTTCGGTTAAATAGGCGATGCTTTGTATGAGCAAACAGTTTGGTTTGCTCATACTAACCTGACTGGTTGCCAGGGGATATTAGAGGATTTCACAATCATCCCAGAAAGAACCAAAGAACCTCCAAGTATGTTGTTGATGAGGGAATAACATTATCCTGTGATGTAAAACCCAAAACTTTAAAGTGACTGTTCAGATTATTTAGAAACCGTCAAGCATTTGTTGAAGGTTGCATATAGATATTAGGTTACAAAAATGTATTAATTATCACACTTTATTTGAAAAGTTTATTTGAAAAAACATACAAAAAAAAGACTGAGAAACTGAAAACAGATTAAGGTAAGTATTATGCCATATTCCCAAAAGTATTGGACTCCAAATAATTGTACTCTGACTTCCTGAAAACCATGTTTTATAATGCTACTCTTTATTCATGACACCTGCCGCGCTGTACCTTATAATTCTGTGTGGTGTTTGCAATATGGACTCAGGTATATCTTGGGTTCCACTGCCAACTCTAGACTGACTCGTTTCAGCTGCAGCTGCACTCGTTGGCTTGTCCTGCGTGGCTTGAAGGTTTTGTTGAGCAGCAGATCCAGGCTCACGTCTCTGTGAGCCCTGGCTCCCACTGCCAGCGACGGAGCGGTTCTGAGACGCTGACCGGACTTCGGCTTCTTTAGATGGGTCAGCAGCATGCTGAGGCGCGCCCTCGCTGGCCTGAAAGAGAGTTTACTGTATATTATCACCAAAAAAACAATGAATTATCTGAGTTAAAAAGCACAATGGAAGAAGATACCAAAGAGGGAAAAATAAACTAAAAAAAAAAATTCTTCTGGTTTCTCAATCTTACAGTTTCACTGCTGCTCTTATTTGCTCAGGTCTGAGAACTTATAAAACAGAGAACTGTTTGTCAACTGCACTTTACTTTTTTATACTGAAAAGCATAAAAACCAGTAGAAAAATGATTGCATTTTGCAGTCACTTTTTTATTGTGTATCTTCTTTATTTTCTTGACAAACTTATGTATTTTTTTTCACATTCATTATATAAACAGTTTCTCAAGTAGCCATTTCATGTATATATCAATTCGCCGTCTGGGAGAAGACTTCAACACAGAAGCAGAGTCTGAGTTAACCTTTATGCTATGGAGATCAGTTTGATTAAGATCCCAGGTGGAAATACAAGGAGAAATGTTGGAATTCTGATAGGAAAAGTTGGCGATTGTTGAGCAGCTATTTACTGTGCAGAGTCTATTCACAACCAACATAGAGACAAATACATTGTTCCTACTAGTATTTACATCCAAAGCAGCCAGTCATAGAGGTTTGCTGTCATGGATGTAAAACAGGTTCAGTTCCGGCACAACAGACTGAAGGTCCAACTTCCCAGAGAAGTCATTTGTATTATTGTCAATGTTATCAGTAGCAGCTCGCTAAATTAGCAGCCATAACAAAAGCCTCAAAGTAGACGACTGTATCTGCTTCGGACTGGCGACGTGTCCCGGGTGACTGTCGTTTCTCTGTTTGTCATGTTCCAGTTCCCGTTCTTCAGATAGATCAAAACTTGTGTCGAACGTTTCAGGTGGTCGTCAGCAAAAACATTTTTATTTGTGCTGCTTTTGCTTTGTAGATATTTACAAAAGTTTACAGGTCAAAAGGTCAACCTACACCCCCCACATTATCCAAATCAAACGAAACTGGTGTGTATCGCTTGCCATGTTTGTGCATGGCATGTTTGTGTCTTTTTAAAGGTATTGATTTAAAAAAATGTTTCCAGAGGTCACCTGGGGTCAAGCCTGTGGCTTGACCCCAGGTGACCTCAATCAACAACCCCAGTTGTTGATTGACACAATTGGTGTCAATCAACTCTGCCATGTTGGTGCTGGTTTGTACTGATGAAATGTACTGCTTTTGATTTGAAGACAATAATGAAAGTTTAAAAGTCAAAAGGTCAACCTTTGACCTTTTGAAGGAAGTGTTAAGGCTAGCTGACCTTTTATGACCTCTTTAAACATTTATTAATACTATTAATGACAGCAGAATAAGCAACACATTTTTGCTGCACAAACGTAGCAGAAACATTTGGCACCAATTTTGTAGAACTCCACTCAGACAAAACCCAAATAAAGTTGTTTCCCAAAAGTAAAAATAGTGGAAATCAAACTTTTTTTTGGAAATTTGCATAATAATTCTAGAGTTTTTCTTCTTTTACCCATAGAACATTTAGAAATCACAGTGTTTGAGGTTTGTGTGAATTCTGGATTTCTGACTTGCTTTTTATGTTCTGTTTGCTGCATCTAACAGGAAACACTTTTTTTTTTCAAAAACACACTTGTTGGCATTTGTTTAGTTTTTGCTTCCTTGTTTTATTTGTTTTTACATATTATTTTTCCACAAAATACATTTTTAATTTACATATTTTATTTCTATGGGAATCAGGGGAAGAATCTAATGTATCACCAGAAGACACTTCACATTTTATATTGGTATTAATTTCCCAAAGGGAAAAGGGAAGTTGTTTATTCCCAAAGCTCTCCAAGGTGTCTTAATTACTCTACAGGGGCGCATGTTATCTGGAAAGAAAAAAAAAAAAAAAAAAAGAGAACCTATTGTGATTCGCTTTAGTATGTTAATCAACTCTAGTTGATAAACTCCTTTTATCCCTTTGTCTGGGGGAAAGCAGTACCAATACAAATTGCTCTCAAAGTTCAAAAGGTTTTTTTTTTTTTTTTACAATTTCACTTATCTCTTTAAATGCACACTCCCAAAACTTGGATATGCAGCAGCATTTCCAAAACAACTATTTTTATCTTTAAATTAGGCTTCGAAGGTCAAAGACATCAGGGAACCTTTCCTCAATTCTGAGTGTAAATAAAATCAATTTGAGAAGCTTCCACTTAATTATTTCTGACCCTCTCATATATGTGGGGTTTTCATGTTGCATGTTGTATTCCTTGTGTTTTATGTGATGTGATTCTTTGATTTTCTGCTGAAATGTGCTATACAAATAAAATTTGATTTGATTTTTGATTTTCTGTGTTTTGCATTCTGATTTGGGAAGACGTTGTCAAAACAACCTCACCTTTTTCCTGCATCGGCCCATGCAAGGCCTGCAACTATGAGGATGTGTGCAGAGAGCACTTAGCTGTGACTGGCCCTTTTTGAAATGAACCACAGGACTCATTCAAAGGACACAGTGCAAATATTTGCAGCAGCAGGAGACGGTAGTAAAAGACAAATCTACTACAACACAGATGGGACTGTTTACATTACTAACCGCTGTGAAATTCAGGCCCACAAGCACATATATATATATTTTTTTGTCTTTGAACCTCCCAATTAATAGTTGTTTCCATCCAAATTTGGCTTATGTTGTGGAAAACCCTGCAGGCTGTGATAGGGTGGACACCAAGTACCTACCGTACCTCAGAACTCAGCTCAAATGTATCCTAGTTACTCTCTGATTACAGTGAACAGTGTTGTCACGAACAGAAGAGAGAACATCTGGGCTATCCTCCCCAGGGCAGTTTCAGAGCCATTCAGACCTGAATTGGGACCGAAACGCCTCATGTTGCTTCGGTTGGTAAACACCTCCGAGGTGAAAACAACCTAAATGACTCACAGAACAGTGACTAGGATTCAATAGGATTTGATATAAAAGTACTAAAATATAATTTAAAAAATTTGTTGTGATAATTTCACTCCTACGGTATTTTTGAAAACAAAATGTTAATCTAGCAATTATAAGTAATATAGTTATATAAATTGCATAGTGATTATAGCCACATTTAATTAGGTTATAAGCAATGTTTGTGCGTTGGAGGCAGCAATAGATCAGAATATATTCAAACGGCGACAGCTATTTAGAACGATAATAGTTACAGAATGTTCAACAATGGACCATGAGGTTACCAGACAACAACATGAGGAAGTAAGAGGGGTAAGAGGAAGTTGATGGAAGAGAACCTGCTGAAGGTGAAGATAGAAGTCATGTGTATGAAAGTGAGGGGGGAGACAGGAGGGAAAGAGAATCTGAATGAAACCAGAAGGCCTCGGTTTGTCAGAGTAGACACAATGAAAGGTTCCAGACCAGGAAGCAGAGTCACAACACACCTCTCTGCACTTTGCCTACTGCTAACCTCTCCTCGCCCTTCTGACACAGTTTCTTGCCCATGACCGAAACAAATGGATTACAAACGAATGTAAAAGCAGCCAATCATGAACACCTCATGAAAATCAGTTTTGAACATGTTTTTCTAACACAGCACATGCAATTTACTTTGATTTGACTTGATTTATGAGACTCAGACTGATTCATTTTGGCTGAAGCAAGATTGTTAGTAAATTAACATTTTCACATTCCTCAAAATGCTGGACGAGGAAAGAGTAGCAATCAGGCTGTGCAAACGGTTGGAGTGACAGAGAGGGACAAGATGCAGGCAGATCATCTGTTGTGTAGGTCCTTCAGTAAGGGAGCTGAAAGAAGGAGGTGAACGTATCAAACTGTTTGTGTGGACCTGACCTTCTTGCCAATATCTGTGTCCCTGCTGCCTCTGCCTGATTGAGATTTCCCCTCCTCTGGTGGGCAGATTCCCCACAACTTGAGTCTCCTGAGACCGTCCTTTGAACGGGCAGTCGGGTCGATGTGGTGGGCTGGGATACGAGCCGGTAAATCCCAAGTTCCCTTAAAAACTGGCCAGGTTATGCCTTTCTGTGAACGCATTAAAGACATGCAAAATGGTCCAATCAGAGACAGCCTCAAATAAAATCAGAACATAGTAAATAGTTTAGTGCTCAGACCTTCACCCCTGGGAGCAGGTGACCCCTGCTGTCCACAATGAAGGAGCTGTGACCCACGTGTGCACTGGGTCTCTGCAAACAGGGAAACCCACAATATTGTCTTTTTTTTTTTTTCCAAAATCACTTTTGGCAAAACAAATGAAAAATCACCACCTCTTTTTGCCAAAAGATGATTTCGAAACAAAAAACAAAGCAAAAAAAAAAACAAACAAACAAACAAAAAAAACACTTTTAGGAAACGATTACTTATGCCTTTGTTTTAGTAAGGTGACGATATTTAAAGAGGATCATTGCAGGAACAGACTGTTGATTTCTATAGCTACCTCTTTAAAGCCTTTAGATTTGCACCAGTTCTGCAGCCTCTTGGATCCGAAGGTCCCCTCAAACTTTAATTAAAAAATATATATATATATACATATATATATATATATTTTAAAAAATGACTTAACGAAGTTAAAAAAACAACATATCATCTCTTGCCGTTTACATGAAGTGAGTTTACCTGGTTGGCTGAGAAATTGGAAGACATTCCTGCATCTGCTCCGGTCTGAATATGTTGTGTTGTGTACTGGTCGCTTAGCAACTCAGTAAATCTGAATGCTGCTGAAAAGAAAACTACGGAAGCCATCTAGGACAAGGGAGATGTTATTATTATTATTATTATTATTATTATTATTATTATTATTATTATTATTATTATTATTATTATTATTTCTTTTTTTGTACCACCTCGCAAAAGGACCCTCAATAAATTTGCAAATACATGTATCTCTTTCATACATATGTACAATTTTAAGTTTAGCCACGCACAATTGTGCTTACATATTTCCAACTATTTGGTGCAGAGAAGTGGTTGAAAATCAATCTTTTAACGCGTGTTCATGTTTGCCTGAAAATAAATATAAAAATAAATAAATAAATGAAAATAGTCCAAGGACTTTGGATGCATCCCCCCCACGCCCCCTTTCTTACAGGATGTTTCTGTTATGTTTATGAGGGGTGGCCCTTGCTGCGTTTAAGATAACAGGTTTGAAACTTCAGACATCTCAAACGAAACATTAACATACAACGTCAAAATCCTACAGAAACAATATTGTAGCAGAAAAAAAACCTTTTAATTATTCGAGATGCCGCAATGTTGCCAGAGAACTCACAGAGCAACCGCAAAATAAAAACAATATGGGGCGGGGGAGAGAGGGTGGGGGTATATAAACTGTCATTGTTCGTGAAAGAACAAAGATATTAATAATATAATTATAATTAAATATAATAATTTAATTATAACTATAATCTAATTATATTTAATTAAACTATATTTAATTAAATATAGAGATATTTAATTAAATGTATCTATCTATAAGGTCAATCTTATTCAAAGATTGACATTTGAATTAGGTCAATCTTCAAGTTACTTTTATTTTGAAATCTTTGACCGGAAGCTTCTGTATTTTTTTTCCGGTGTCAGAACGAACGAAGCGTGATACAACAGAGCTAGCTAAATGAAAAGATAAACGTTTAGGAACTTCTCCTTTCCCCACCCTCCCAGTTTTTCTCTAAAAAAAATATTTAATTTAGTGAGTGCCTTAAAGTGTGAAGGATTTGACGGAGTTACAGTTAACGCCCACGTTGTTCTTTAGGGTCTCAGAGACCGTTTGGATTTCGTGGTTTTCTTCCTGGCCCAGGTATCATGGAGGGCCCGTCCTGTCGGTTTTCTGCTGCGGCTGGAGAACCCCGGCCATCGGGCAGGAGGGTCTCTGGGTCGGAGCCCTCGTGGGACACGAAGACTCACTTTCGTGTGTGTCGCTTCATAATGGAAACAGGTGAGGAGGTGGGCCAAGGTTTGACCCTTGTCATTTAAAACAATTGTAGTCTCCATTTGAGAGAGCAAAGCATTAAAGATTTTAAACTGGAGTTTATATAAAGTATATAAATCTGGTGGAAATGTATTGGAAAACCCTCTGACTCTGCATATTCAGAGAGTCAGAGTTAGCTAATATAAGGTAAGACGAGCACTTAATAAGAGCAAGTATTTTGTTTGATATTCTTTCTTTAAAAGTTGCAATTTTATGGATGCACCGATCTAATTTTTTCACTTCCGATACCGATACAAATATGAGGTCTAGTATCATCCGATACAGAGCAACGGCGCTGAAATGACTTAAGTTTCTTGAGTTAAACACAGACATACAAGTACTGAAATCCAAATGTCATAACACCAGTACAGCACACTTTGGTCGAACATAGGAAAAACAACATAACTTTAACTTGTTCAGTTAGTACAATTAGGAGTAGAATAGCCAATGTATAATAAATAACATAGAAACTGAAAATGTCAAAAACAATAGGTTGACTGCCTTGGTCAACATGTAAAAAAAAACTTCCTTCAAATAGTTCAATTACTAACCATTTAGTAATTGAACCACTTTAATTAAAATAAATAAAAAGCATGAGCATAGAATTAGACCGAGTAGATATGCCCTTGTGAATTGGGCATATTGTCACAGATACCCGATCTGGAATTTTTTATTTTATATAATGTTTATATCGAACTGATGTATTGGAACAGTGTCTGTCCTAAATCAGGTTAAAGGTATCCAGCAGTAATAATTAAGTTATGATCAGAATAAAGCCTTCTGTTGGCGTCTCATTCATTCAATGTGCAGCTTTTTAGTTATGTATTATCAGTTGTAAGGAGGTAAGATGAAAAACCTTCTAACCTTCTCTCCTTGGCTTCTTGTTGCTCAGGAGTGAAGCTCTGTATGCGCTCTGTACCCGTGGCAACGGCCTGTGTGTTGTACCATCGTTTCTTCCAGCGGGTCACATCCCGTGTTTATGAACCCTACCTGGTGGCCATGAGCTGCTTGTACTTGGCTGGAAAAGTGGAGGAGCAACACATCCGGACCAGGGACATCATCAACGTGAGCCACAGGTAGTACACATGGATAAGATGAAATAATACACTGGCAGATTGAAAACCTCCTCCTGAGCGGATATTGACTAAAGGGAATATTTGTCTGATTGGAAAAGAGCTGAAATCAAACTTTGTTCAACAGTTATTGCTTGGCGTCTGCACAGACGTTAGGATTAATGGTGAGAAATGAGGCATTTTTACCATATTTTTATTGTTATAACTTTGAAACCACATCCTTTAATATATGGGCTGTTGATAAAGGAGTGGGAATTTTGCTTTATTGTGATCTCTTGAATCTTTATATTCCAAAGAGCCACTTTTGTTCATTCAAATGAGACTCATTTAGGGCACCAATGTTATTTGACCCTTTGAAAAAAGATAAAGATCTAATACAGGAATTTTGTTGTAATTTTTAAAGAAGCACAGTTGTATTTTTATTTTTAAAGATTTTTTTGGCACTAGCGATCTTTATTTTGAAAGCATGCCAACAGGATTTATTTATATATTTTTCCCTCTTTCCCCTGTGAGTTGGTCTCTCTTTGTATAGTTTTTTTATTGGTTTTATTGAAAAAGAACTTTTATGTGATACTACAATAACTAAGGCTAGCAACCTAAAACGTAACAACTTAAAAATGTTCTTAAAAGCACAATAAGCTAGTCAATGTGTGGAGTTGGGCTTTGTGGGACGTCATTGTCGACATATCCATCAACACACAGCTGCAGCAGGCTTTTGTCATCACGCTGTTCAGGTTACAGGACTTTCTGTTCTGTCCAGAAATTATGAAAGTGCTGGACATTTTCCACAATCTGTAGACCCCCCTGGAGAAAAAAACTGAAAGCTGAATTTAAATATAAATGAAAAGCCTTTCCATTCTGTCTGTTTGTGTCTCTCAGGTACTTTAACAAAGGCAGTGCTCCTCTCGAATGTGATAAGGAGTTCTGGGACCTAAGGGACAGCGTGGTGCAGTGTGAGCTCCTCATCCTACGACAGCTCAACTTCCATGTCTCCTTTGAACATCCTCACAAGGTGTGAGTGTGTGCAAACATCCATGTGTCCCCGTCTTCCCCATCTAGTTTTCAGCCACTGTTATTGCCCAGTGCTGCTACTGATGTCTGTTTCTGTTTGCATAAAATTCCTAAATGTTTAACATCTTTCAATATAAATGAAGCTCGTTACAAGGAAACTGCATAATTGGATTTAAATAAATCCCTACTGGTGTGAAAATTGACAAACAATGCCATCTAGTGGCTGAGATGTAACACCCTAATGCATGTAACTATTTAATCAAAAAGATTACAAAAATCTAGAAGGAAGGAATAAAAAAGGGGAGACAAGTTAAAAGGTAAAAACAGAGTGTGTGTTGTGTTGCTTCCCAGTGTTCAATGCAAAGTGTGTTTTCTGCCCCTCTCTGCAGTATTTGCTCCACTACCTGCTTTCTGTAAAATCACTGGTGAACCGGCACGCTTGGTCTCGAACCCCCGTGGCTGAGACGTCCTGGGCTTTGCTAAGAGACTGTTACCATGGAGACATGTGCATCCGCCACACACCGCAACACATCGCAGTAGCTGCACTCTACCTGGCGATGAACAGCTATGGAGTGGAGCTGCCCGTTGGAGAGAAGGAGTGGTGGCAGGTGTGTTAACAGTGAGAATGTGTGGGCGTGTGTGCGCGTGTGTGCGCGTGTGTTTGCGTGCGTGTGTGTGTGTGAGTGGCAGAGAGAGGATCATTTATTGGGCCCGACTGCTTTAATTGGAAATTTTCCAGTTTCTGATCTCTGGTTTTGTAGAACTCTGTCTTCTGACGAATTCCACTTTCTCTTTAACCCTCTCCAGGCAGGAGTTGCAGATTTGCAACAACTTAGCCAGTCTTTTCAAGTAATTTGAGCTTGAGAGGGTTAAGAACTATAGATAGGAACAAAATTATCATGTTATTTTCTGCTTCCTCAGTGAATTGAGGAAGCAGAAGATGTTCTTTTCCTCACTTAATACCAGAATTTCCAGATTATGGCCCAGAGCATTTCTCAACTAAATGAATAAAACTCAACTAAATGAATGATCACCACATTTACTCCTCTGTAAGGCAGGTTATAGCTCATTAACATTTTCTTATTTTGCACACTCCTGAAAAATCCATGTGTACTGAATAATAAGTGAGAACAGTTTGGCCCAATTTTATAGGTATAGCCTCCCATCTGCTGTTATTTGTTGTGCTGTTGAGTCCATCCATCTATTATAACTTCAGTAACTATAACTATAAGAACATTCTTTGTTCAATCATTCAATTCAAATTTAGATTGAATCCAAAATACCTTTCTTATCATAAGGGGAAATTAAAAGCTGTCTTAACTCATCATAAAAGTATCTTCAGAGAGTGAATTTGGATGGTAAGGGATCTCAAGTAGTAGTCGGTCTTGCAACAAGTATGTAGAAGCTTCTCACTGAAGAACATTGCTGCATAGGAGTCGTATGACTCTCATAACATGCAAGCAGGTCGCTATCAGGGCAGCAAAGACAACATGACCTAAACTTGTTCACTGATGCTGGATGGTCCAGATGGACACAGTACTGGATTGGTGGTGGACGGCCTCCACGTCCCAACACAGCTGTGATGTCAGCAGGGAGGTGGTGGGGTCATTTTTTGGGGTGAAATCATGGTCGACCCCTTCAGAGTCCCTGAAGGTGTGAAAATGACCCCAGCAAAGTGGACTTTCTGCAGTGCATAATAATTTGGAACATGGTGTATTCAGCCTTGTTCCCACGGTTACGCATCATAAAAGCTGTCCAAAAGGGCAAATATCCTTGCAGCTGCACAGCAGCCAAAACCAGAGGAAATAATTGCCCAGATATGCATCACATCAACCAGGAAATGATGAACACAAATCTACAAAAAGATCAAATTAGAACTAGAGTAACAGCTTCTTCAACATGCTGCCACCATGAGTAGTATTCATTAGCAATAGCAGAACCAGAGGCATTGCTGCTCTTACACTGCTCTGCAGTTCAACATTATTTAACTAACACTACAAAATAAAGACAATCTGATTGAAGGGTTGGGTCTTCAGCATCTAATGTTAGTGATGAGCAAAATTAGAATTATTAGCTTTACGTACAGCATCATTCTGTAAACTCAGATTATCATAACACTGGCGTCATTCCGACTCCTGAACAGGTGAAACAGAACAACTTTCCAGAAATAAGCTTGAATGCACCAAATAATGCAGCTTTCCTTTTAGGTGCTTGTTGCCCATCTTCTTTCTCTGACTTTATTCTTAAAGCCCTCTTTTAATATGGTGTGTTCACTGATGTAATAAAAAAAAAAATTGGAGTTTTAAGTCCTACGAAGGGTAAAATGTTCTAATTTCAGTCATTTGCTCAGTTTTTTTTTTTGTTTGTTTCTTTAAAAGTAAAACCTATTAATAATACAAATCCTTCAAATCAGACACGATAACCCAACACATCACACATGGGAGTGCGTCTTTCTGACACATAAGTCAATGAAAGCTGTTAGAATGTAATTTTAAGAGCTCAGGAAGGCAGTAAATTGTAAACCATAAAAGTTATTGAGATCTCAGGCGGCTGCGAGGCGTGCGGGCTGGAACGAGCCAAAGCCATGTTGAAGTGGCGGCGGCCGCTGAAACGTCAGATAGCTGGAAGCTGTTAAACAGTCACAGTACAAATTAATTGAAGTGTAAGCTGATGTGTGGAGGCAGTTAAGCTGTCAGACGAAGACTGAAAGAGCTTTCAGGAAGCCGGCAGACTCCAACCAGGAGTTGGTCTGCTCTCAGCCACAAGCCGCTGGAGCCGGGCAAACACTGAGGCGGAATATTCCAATTGGTACAAATGTTGATCCAGAAGTACTTGAGAAAAGTGGTTTGTTCTTTGTTCTGCAGGCTCTGATGTTTAGGTGCCGCAACTTGGTTTATTTTTAGCGCCTTAAAAGCACCAAAGAGCTTGAAAGTTTTTCTATTGGGATCACATTGTATGACAGACCAACACGAAATAGTGTATATTGTGAAGTGGAGGGAAAATAAAACCTGGTTCTCCAAAGTTTTTTACAAACTTGATGTATAAATGTATTCTGGGTCAATTCTTTCTTGAACCATCTTTTCTCTGCAGCTGCAGCTGCAAGGCTAAAAGGACCATCTCAATCAAAAGACCTCAACATTTCTCCATTCTTCATGGAAACTAACATTTGGCAACATCTGTTTTCAAGTTTTGCTGCAGATTCTCAGGTGGCTTTAGGTCTGTACTTTGACTAGGTGGTTCTAACTACGAATATACTGATGAAATCATTCTGTTGTAGCTCTGGCTATGAGTGTATCATTGTTGTCCTTTTAAAAGGAGAACCTCTGCAGCGTCTGAGTTATTGTCCATGATAACCACTCTGTGGTTCACATCTGATCCCAGTAAAACACTACCATTAACTAGAAGAGCAAAGTTGGTTTAGGCAGACTGGTTCACTGTTGGAACACAGCAGGCCATAGAATGCATCAACATAAAAATGTAGGTAATAAAATGATTACACTGATGTGTGAGTATGGATGTTTTCTCTGCTACAGCTTAAAAAAATATTTAGTCCAAAGATGCTTGTGCTGTCATGCAGACTGTTACCTAGCGCTCTTCAGCTGGATTACATTACTGCTGTCTTCAACGGCACAGACGGCTTATGTAACTGTTGGGCATTCATTTATTGTTGGTTGCAATGCTAGTTTTCTTTTTTCTTTTTTTTTTGCGCCCCCTGTTCACTCTATTTCCTAAATGAGATCTGTTTTGTCACAGATTTTATTTAGCAAGTCATCCGATTCCGATTGAAACGGAGAAAAGTCTTGTTTCGGGTCAGACCTCCTGCTCCGTCCCTGAAGGCCGCTGAATCTGGGTCGTTTCAAATGGCATGTGCACCTTTGATGTCCCTCCTGTTTAGTGAGGCCAGGTGTGGAGCTGAAAGTCTGTGCTGTGTGTTTGTGCATGTGTGTAGGTGCTGTGCGAGGACGTGACCAAAGCAGACATCAGCGCTGTGATCTCAGACCTTCTCCAGCTGTATGACATGGAGGCCAAGTGTATCTGAAGGACAAAGCAATGGACTGGAGAGCCACGTGGAAGCTCTGTTGGTGTCGGTGCGGGAAGAAGGAGAACATCCTCTGATCTGTGCAGTGGGCGGCTGGGGTTCAGGTGCGTTTGAATATGCGTGCATCTGAGGCAGAGAAGACTTTGTTTTTGCCCCAGTTACCCTGTGGAGCTGAGAAAATCGTACCCGCAGTACCGCTGTCTGCCACCGAGGGGAGACATGTCTCACTTTTGGATGTCTCAACACCACATGTTTGTACTTCAGATACCACAGTGGGAATTTGAGAAGTCCTAGACCTCTCTGTGTAATTATTGGTACATTGGTTTGTAATAACAGAGAATGAATAAAAATGTTATGAAATTGTGAACGAAGATGGGCTTTTCTTTGTTGAGCTGCATCACAACACATATCTGCATTTGCAAATGTTTCTTTCACCAAATACAAACCAAAATGTATTCATATATTTGAAATCCAGAATTAATTCTGAGACCATTTATTATTAACAAGTCTTTTGAAATGAGGGGTGCAATACATGCTTCTATTGCTCTGCTTTTCCACTTCAATAATTATAATTTATTTATTTATTACAAGGATGATGCACCATTTTATAGGATAACCAAGGAGCTGTACTTTCTGAAGTTGTTATACAAATGCAAATCTGACTTAAAAGAAATTATTCTTCCTTATTTAACACTGAAATTGGACCTTTGTCTCCTTAAAGTCTCCTGCCCTTTCTAAAACTCCACCTTCCAGAAGTCATCACAACATGGCTCCTCTATTAACCCTTTAACAATGTTTTTACCAGCGTTGCACTGAGAAGTGGCTCATATAATGAGCTCTGCAGTTCCACCAGATGCTGACCAATTACTGCTGGCTAGTCTGAAGGAGCAGAGTGGGTACCGGTGGGGAGGACTGCTCTTTGAGACAGAAGCTATGAAGCTTGGAAACTGCAGCTCTGAGGAAGTGCTGTACCTCAAAGGTGTTTGTAAGCTGATTTTGGAAGATAATATGAACCTGGTCTGGAAAACATAAACGGACGTCATTATTTACATTTGTTTAAGGCTTGTTTTACAGATCTAAAATGTGTCCTTACCCATCCAATGGACATGTCGGTTTCCAAAATCTCTAGAATTATTTTGAAAGTCCATAATTTATATAATTTACAGGTGAAACCTGAAAATATAAAATTGATTTTATTTGCTTTTTAACTGAATCTTATTTTCTTCAAACACAGAAGTATAAGTTTATATTATCACATTATGAATATGATCTCACTTGAGGCACATCAATACGTGTAAACAGACATACTGAAAAACCGCTCTGAGAGGAAGAATCCATTCTTTCAAAAGCAGCGTGAAAATAAGGCCCCTTTCCAAACGCCTGGCAAATACTAAATGAATGTATGAAAACTTCTCAGAGGAAAATAAAAAATCAGGCTATTATTTTAACAAAGAGTAACAGCTCCAGATTTTGGTGATCCTAACACATGTAAAAAGGAAGCATTGAGTCTAATGTCCTGTCAACACTGTAAATATCAGCTGTTTGTATTTGCTGCATATGCGGCATGCTTCTGATCTCAGGTTTACCTTTGGATACCTGATCCTGAACAGTTCATGCCAAGGTAACGACATGTTGTCACAGTGAGATACGGATGGAGCAGATCCGTCTGTTTCTCCTGCACCAAACCCCTCTGTGACTCCGCTGAGCGGGAAAACTGTTAAAGTCCGTCTTCATTCCCTCCTTCTTATCGCAACAAGCTTCTAAGAAGTGATATTTTTAGCGGAGCTACTTTTAGGTGTGTGCAGACAGGTCTGTGTGTCTGTTTAGTCCAGGATGAAGATGTCACATGATCAGTTGTGACACATGTGAGCGCCCCCACTTCATCCCCTCCCCACTCCCTCTCCTGTCTCTTCCCGGGACAAGAAGCGCCGTGTGTGTGTGTTCCCTGTTCTTCACATGTCGCACAATATTCCCCATCTTGATTCTTCCAGTTTATTTTTCCACCACTTTCCCCCAAATCTGCCTGACTCTCACTTCATTTCCTCCAGTCCTCTCATGCTCTATTCTCTCCATCTCTTTTAACTGATACCTTCACTTCTCTCCCCTCTTTCTTATGTTGCCATCTGTGCCTCTCTGTGTCTTCCACATTTCTTTCCTCTCCCTTCCTCCTCCTGCCTCCTCTCCCTTGTCTCCCTAATGTTATATTAATAATGGAGAGGGCGCGTGTTCAGCCAGACTCCATGAATTAACCATCAGCCGGGAAGGAGTCAGAGGAGAGAGGAAGAGGAGCGCTAACATGGATGGATGGATAGATGGATGGATGGATGGATGGATGGATGGATGGAGGAAGAGGAGCTTATCTTCGTATCACACTTCGACACCCTTCACCCCGCTCCGATCGCCTCTCCTCTGCATGCCTCTGATCTGCTTACACATCACTTCAGCCTTTTACTCTGGGCTGGAGGGGAAGTCAGAAGGTCGCACACACACACACACACACACACACAAGCAGCTGCGTGCATAGGCACGTGCATGTGTGTTTATTTCAAAATGACAGTTTGGGATGTTAACGTTACATCAGGCCCGCAGTCTGAGAGGAGAGCGTCCTTGAACTGATAAAAGCTCAGCAGCCTTCAGACTGATTAGACATCAGCCAGTTGCTAAAAGAACAACAGATTCAGAGTAATAATTGACAATAAAAATATGTGCTTTTTGCTACACCTTGCCACCTTTTCTGTCCGTAAATGTGCTCTACTCTCTCTTGAAGTGGCGTAGTTTGAGCCTCACCTGGTTCAAATTCTGTAAAAATGAACAAAGAAAATCTCCTACAAAGCACCGTTTGCTGTCATCAGTCCGTTGATTCAACTAATAATCACCAGATCTGTCTGACGTTAGTCCAGCTGAAACGTCTGAGCGTCTCATGTGGACGCCATAAGAGGACTTTTTAACTGCAAATGATCAAGTGTTGTCGTTGCTTTTTAGGAAATAAAATGGGAACTGAACTATTGAATTACTTGTATCTTTTAATGTGTCTTTTAATGTATTTCCAATACTGTATACATAAAGGCTCTTGTCTGATTAAAGATAAGACAAGATGATAAGATGAGGTAAGGTAATTAGTTCAGATTACTCACACAAGAGGGAAATTGAAGCAGTCATAGCAGAAAGTAGACAGAACAAAAGAGTAAGAACAGTTCAGTGTAGAAAAAACACCAGGCAGTCTAAACTCAAGTCTTAAATGATAAATCTGCAGAATGTGCAGGCTTTTCAAAAACAATCTTTGAAAAATACAAAGGAAATGGTTTCCAACATCCATTTAAAGTGGTTCAGAGTTACACAAAACGTTCTCCAACGATAAAATGCTCTTTCAGTTGTTTCCATTTATGCACCATAAGGAAGGTTTTCCATGTGCAAACAAATGCACCACCTGCGTAAATATGAATTTTACTAAATCACCAAGTGACTAAAACCAAGTTTTACTAAAATCACCAAGTGATTTAGTAAAATTCAGCTTCTTTTGTTTTGGTAAAATGGGCCTGAAACAGAGTTTGTAACCAACTCTGAAAGTCCCCCCCCCCCCCTTCAAAAAAAAACGATTGACCAAAAGTCTCAGAAAGATGCAGCATTCATGAAATTGCTAAGATTTTGGAATATGGTCATAGAACCTTCAAATGTCTTGTTGCAAATAGTCAACAGGGTCACAAGAAATGTCTTAATTCAGATTGTGATTATTTTATTAAGCAAGATGCACTACTTGATTTATGCTTTATAACTAATTAGGTGACTTCGGGAGCTGATGGGTCGAACTGGATTTGATTCAGGGCATCAAAGCAGAGAGGTTGGGAAACAATCTGTCCATGAGTTCTGCTGCTGGGTTTCATTGATACAGTGTGTAGTATCATCAATGCAGGCTCACTGGACTAAAATAATAACTGAAACCATTTGACGGCTGTCAGGATGGGTAGGTATGGTGCAGCAGGATGAACTGACTCCGGAACAGCCCTGAACTCCACCCTCAGCACTGCAGTCGTCTCTGATCAGCTCAGGTCGATACTGATGTCGTTTAGGCTGTGGCAGCAGGAGAAACACCTCGCTGTCTGGCTCCTCCGCAGCCTGCATCTCATTTACTGATCTCTGCGCCTTAATTCGCAGAGTTTCGAGTTTAAGTAAAACGGGCTGCCCTCAGAAGCAAATGGGTGCTTTTGCACATCTTTTCAACAGTCAGCGACCGGGATTAGAGAAAGTTTTTCTTTTTTTCCCCTGTATTTGCCCGTGGGAGATGGAGAGGAAGAGTTTAAGATAAGAGCAGAGAAAGATAAAATCAGCAACAAAGCTTTTCATCACCATGTGTGTGTGTGTGTGTGTGTGTGTGTGTGTGTGTGTGTGTGTGTGTGTGTGTGTGTGTGTGTGTGTGTGTGTGTGTGTGTGTGTGTGTGTGTGTGTGTGTGTGTGTCAGCATCTGGACAGGCGAGCGAGTCTGCAGCCCATCTTCCTCTAGTGTAGAAGACATCTATTAATAAGTTTGTCTGATTTATCTATAAATACATTTCTCCTCCTGTTCCTCACAGACTCACTATTTAAGTACTTCTGACAGTCAGTGGGGTTGGCAGGGAGGAGGAGGGGTAAGTTGGTGAGTGGGTTACTTGGCAGAGTGGGGGATGTTTAAAACGTGTGAGCCGTTATCTGTGCGGAGAGACCCTGATCCTCCTGACGTTCACAGGGAATGCTGGGAAACGTCAGGTGTTTGCACCTCTTTGGCTCCATGCTGGTATCAGTGAACACGCAGAGGCCGGCGGCCATTTTTTCTGCTTCTGCAACTGTTTCCCAGAACAACCTGGTTTGGAGGTGGAGTCATTGATTACATCACTTTTTAGACACGTTGTGCATTTACACACAAAGTATAAAATACTAGTTGGATTCCTTTCTCTCCTGTTAATACTGTTGTTATGGAGGCTAAATTTCAAGTCTATGAATAGAAATCTATTGTGAAATATTCATTCTATCTTGCAGTTGGAAATTCAAAATGTACAGTGATTAAAACAATCCTTGGATCCAAATCAACTTATCAGTGTTTCATAAAGCCAAAGATTTAATTGAACATTTTCAGTACTTTTAAAATGTTTAGGTTTAGAATTTTTTTTACAATGTATTTAATCATCCTAGCATTTAATTTCATTTATTTATTTACATGCCTCTTACTGCTGAAGAACAAAAGCAAAGGTGATGTTAGATTCAGCTTTTGTAGAATTAAAGTTCTAAGCTACAAGCATGACCAGATTAATGAAACAAAATCTGACAAAATTCCAGGTTGGAAGAACCGCAGTGACCACAGGAAGTGAAGGTTGCCCTAGCAACACAGCAAAGGAAAAGTTGAACGTGTTAAGAAGAGGATTTCTTTTTATAGTTACAAATTCATGTTTTCGTTTACACTAAGTAGCAAAAGGTAAGTATTTAGTTTCTATAGGATTTTTAGTTTTGTTTGTCAACACAAAGAGTTGACATATGTTGACAAAAACCCAGAAAATTAAACAATGGAATATCGTCTTAAATTTAGTATTGAATACATTGTTGATTGGGAGAACTGTGACATAAAATGCAATATTTATTAGCAATAAATCACCACCTTTTGTTGATTACAACTCCATAAAATATTTTGAAATTTAAAAAATATATTATTATTATTATTATTATTATTATTATTATTATTATTATTATTATTATTATTATTATTATTAATTAACTTTATTATTATTATTATTACCAAACTCATTTTATACATTTCAGGATTTTCTACAAAAACGCAGGTGGTGTCGTCATCACGCAATTTATAGGCGGGTATTATTTGGACCAGGTTTCTCCTTTATGGCAGGCAATTGTATCATGTAATTTATTAATCCGCTGTTTGAAACAGAAATTTAAAAGTCTTTCTGAAGACGCTACGCTTTCATTTAATCTTAGAAAATGGAAACATGGTAATTTGGACGTAAATAGGAGTCATGAAAGTGAATGAACAAAGTATATTTTCAAAATCATTAATTTATTCACAGTGAAACTTGGACACAATAAAGAATTAAGTTATGTAGGGTGAATTTTAATGGGTAAAACTTTGTTTTGAATAAACATTCAATTAAGCCTTTCTTGATTATTGTTTTAATTATTTACTTCTTTTTTTTATGTCATTTGGAAAACAAAGTCTCATTGATATGATCAGTGAAATTTCCAACAACAAGATCAGGCTCTATCCTGACCCTGACTGGCCATAATAGTGATGTTAATAACACATCATACAAGAAAAGAAAGACCTTTTCTGCAGCTTCTTTACAATCAGTGTAAATCTGGAGTTTATTGGTCACACAGTCAGAACAAAGAGAAAAGGGAAGGAAAACATATAAAAACAGCTTTATTTTGGCCATAAAAGCGAGCTTTTATTGCAGTGAGTTGCACCAGCATGTCTCTGTCGGCCATCTTGGAGCTGATTTGAGCTGGTCAAGTGAATAAAGAAGCTGTCGCTTTAAGAACAGCAATAACGTTTTGGGTTTTTTCTCTGGTTTATACTTGAGTTTATTTTCCCAGTCGTAGCCTTTTATCATTTTTCTGGTGTTTGGTCTACAGTGATTTTGAAACTGTTGTTAGGCAGCACCACAAAAATGCTCAAAAGGAAAGTCTTTACAGGCTCAAAGAAAAGCTCTTAGAAGCAACTAGGAAGACTGAACTATGTAACGTTATGGAGCATTAATTTGTTTATATTTCACAAGTCACATATTTATTTTTAGTATCAACTTTTTGTTTTCCCTGAAGTGATTTTAATTGTCCTACTTATATTGAAATTCCAGGAAGAAAATAATCAAATAAAAATAAATAAATAATAAGTAGTGCTTTCTTCTTATTTTTTAAAAATAAATTGCTAAGGTTTCCAGCCTTGTCTATAAATGAACAGTCACTTTGGTTTTGATAACTTTGTCCAGAGATTAGTTTTAGTGAATGGCTTTTGGTTATTCCCAGATACTGGAATCACAAACAAGTATACAAGTTGGCCACTTTTTTGGGAACGCCTGTGTTTGCAAACAGAAACAGTGACATAGCCAGTCCCATTGCAGAAACTTAACACTTTTGATGAAGCTCAAAGCAAGCATTGGAATAGGGGAAAAAGGAAGGGTCAAGTGATTGCGAATGTGAGTCTGACTAGTTCGGATGCTCGTGATCTACTGGGGATCTCTTAGAACATATCCAGTGAGCATCAGTTGTGTGGAAGGAAAACACCTTGCTGATGAGAATGGATGAAACGGATAGTGTGGTTAACGCCACCTGATACTCCTTTGGGCTCAGAACAGGAAACTGAAGGTACAATTCACACAAGCTCAGCAGCACTTGATGACAACAGACTGGGGAAAACGCTGCCTGGTCCAATGAGTCTAAAGACTTTCAGATGGCAGGGTCAGAGTTCAGTGTAAACAACATGAAAGTACAAATCTGTTGTGCCTTTTATTAAAGATTCAGGCTGGTAACGATGTGAATAAAGACTTCTTGACACATTTTAGGATATCATTCACTTACCACGGCCTGAACGCGTCCATCCGTCCCTTTATGACAGCAGTGTGCAACTGTGCAACTGCCAGATGGAAGTTGCACAGTGTCACGAAGCTGTGCAGTTTTGACTCAGTTTTGATCTGAGTCAAAACTGATTTCTTGAACATGTGAAAAAGTTTACTGCATTCAGATAGGCTCCAAAGTCCCCAGATGTCCAACAGAGAGCGAGATCTCTGATGTTATTCTGTCCATATGGACAGAATAAGAGAGAGAGAGAGTTATTCTGTCCATATGGACAGAATAACAGAATATATATGGACAGAATATATATATTATATATATTTTTTCTACCGTTTTTTTGAAGAGGGGCCATGAAGAAGAAAAATTGAAAGCAAAAAATGGGGTCAGTGAGGGTATGGACAGAATAAACTAACTCCGAGTTTGACGTGTCTTAACACAAAAGTCGAACTGAACTTTGTGAACTTTGATAATCAAATGCTCTCAGTTTGATATATTTCAAGCACTCTAAATCATTTGACAATTTCATCAGAAATGTAAGTTACTCCCTAAAGAGAAATAATCTATTTCCTTTGCAGGCCGGCCCTGTAAAAATGTCTGGTGTCGCCACTGGCATCCATCTATCCATGATGTGAGGTTGACAGCCTGAGTATTTTATGACCAGTCTGCTTGCCATACCCGGGGATGCTGCGACCGACTCTCCTGTGCGCGCGAGCTGTAGCAGCGGCTCCTCCTCCTCTTCCTCCAAAAATGTCGCAGGAGCTTCTCCTCTCGCCGCGGCGCTTCTTTTCTTTCCCTCTTTTCTTTTTCTCCCAGCGCCCCTAAAAACCCCGCCGAATTTGTAGCTGCCACCGCCGGAAGCAGCGAGCTTCACCCGGACGCACGAACCGGCCTTTCTCCCCTCCCCACCACTAAGGTGTTTAAACACTCAGCCCGGCTCCCCCCCCCCACCCCCCACTCTCTCTCTCTCTCTCTCTCTTTTCATCTCTCTCTGTCATTCTCGGTGTCTCTCTCTCCTGAAACCGCCGCAGAACTCCGCCGACCGTCCACCAGGTGACTGCGCGGAGCGGAATATTCATCAGCACCGCCACCGTCGTCGTCTTTCATCCCTCCGCTCCTTCGGACTCCACGGGGACCGGAGCTGCCGCATCCCTGCATCCTTCCTCCCCTCGCCCCGCACCCTCTCTCTCTCTCTCTCTCTCTCTCTACCCCCCTCACCCCCCCTGCGCTGTGTCCTCTCATCCGGTTCGGGACATTCTCCGCTCCACGCACACGCACACGCAGATTAACGGGGATTCTGCTTCCCCGCCCGAACACTGATGCTGATGTCCTTGAGCTCGGCCTGCACGGTGAGTCGGAGAGTCCGTGCGTGGCTGCGTGCGTGACTGTTATTTACCCCGGGCGCCTTGTATTAATGGAGGGAGGATGTGTTGCTCATTAGTAGCATGTCGGACGGACTTGCAGAATGTGCTCGGCCTGATGTTCTCATCATAGGCCTTTTTTTCTTCTTCTTTTAGCTGTCAGAACTGACCACACAGCAGAGCAGAGCACAACAACCTGCATGCAGACAACGTTATGACATTAGGAGAAAGCGTGTGCGTCTGTGAGTGTGTGTGTGCGCGCGCGTGTCTGTGCGCATCCATCCCTGCGTGTCCTGTGTCAGTGGACGAGCTGCCATAACATTTTCACCGATCAGCACTCGCTGTTCTCACCCCTCCCGCCCCCCGCTCGCCTCCGTGTTTCTCGGACATCAGACGCGCTGTTCGTCTCGGTTCCGGTGCACCTGCAGCGCCGAGCCGAGAGCAGCCGAGCTGCGGGGTTTCGGTTCGATCCGGCGGGCAAAAGGGACCCAAACAAGTAGCCCCGGCACAGGATGGCGGGGGAGGGAGGGAGAGTTTGGCAGGTGGAAGGCCGGTGGCCGGTAACCTTGCGGAGGGACATTGGTTGGAGACAAGCAGCAGTCCACCGGCTGCGCTTCCTCCTCCTCTTCCTTTTCTTCTTCTTGGGTTTTAGTCTTTCATCCTCTTGTTGCTGTTGAGCTTCAGCAGCGGAATGAAGATCAAGCACGTCTGAAGGTGACCAGCAAAGGTCGTTTACTGAGTGGAATACTTATTGCTCCATTCCTGCACGATTCAGGTGGTGCTTTGGGTGGAGTTGGGGAAGAGATGGACCTGAGATACCTGGAGTGAGTCAAGTTTGAGCTCAGCCCTTAACTCCTTTGTTTCTCTCTTTCTTTCTCTTCTATCCATCCTCTATGATAATGCAGATGCCTGTGCCCTGTTGGCAGCTCACCTTTAATGGCACAGCCTGCATTGCATCCTAAGTGTGCTTGTTCCCACCGGGCCCTGTAGAAGTGTGAGTGGCGCAGGGCCAGGCGGGCCAGGCGGGCCAGGCGGGCGGCCGCACATACTGGAGGGTCCTCTGCTAGAGGTGACCCTTCAAACCTCTCTGCTGGAAATCCGGTGCTGCGGCTGCACAGGGGAGTCACAGAGTCGGGACGGGAGCAACACGGCGTTCAGTCACATGTGCTCACAGTGTGGATCTGCTGTGGAACTGGTGTGCTGTGGCAAGTCGAGTCGCCGACCCTTCTGGCCTGGAATGAAATCCCGTGAGGAGCCTCTCCTCTGCTTTGTACCATTCTTGACGTTCTTTCTGTAGCGATGAAGAGAAAACGTCCCGAGGGGTTGAAGAGTGGCCGCTTTTTTATTAAAAATGAAAATAAAAATAAGCAAATCACCCGTCCCCTTCGGGGGACAGTGTGCGGACGAGCTTTCAGGATAAATGGGCAGCCGGCTGAGGACTGTGCTGACCTTTTGTCTGACTCTTTTCATGTTAAAACACACTCCTCCCCCCCAGCTCCCCTTTCTTATTCCGAAAGTGCTGCCCTGTGTGACACATTAGTGTGTGTCATGACAGAGATCATAGAACTCATGTCTCTGGGCACGAGTGCTCACGTCTTTGTGTCTGCTGTCCATTTCCCCTTGCATCCTATAGATAAAGGCCTGCATATCATTGAGTTAGGGATGCAGAACAAATGAAGTAATGACCTTATTTATTTATTTATTTATTTTGCATTATGCATAACAGACTCACAGGCGAGCATCAAATCTTTGAGGGGAACAAACAGGACAGACTGAGAGTCGTGGCTGCAGTAGTTGTGTGTGTGTGTGTGTGTGTGGGTTTGTGTGTGTGTGTGCGTGTGTGTGAGGAGGGGGGTAAACAGAGGAGGATTTTCCTTCATGAGCGTTACAATATCAGACAGAATCAGTGAGTGAGAGATCAGGCAGGTTAGGAAAAAGTACAACTGACTGGGTATAGAAATGATGATAGTAACAAGAAGCAGACACAAAGATAGGCAGACAAAATGAAAGAAATAAAAAAAGAGAGGAAGGTGACATAATAGGCAAGGATATACAGATAAATATATGGTAGAGAAGGGAAGCAAAAGAAGATGGAGAGCAAAAAAGGGGGGGCTTCAAAGGAAGCTGGAGCAGGGTGACTCAGTCATAAACTAACACTCTCAGTCAGGATGGAAGCATGGCAGGACAGAGAGGAGAAGGGAGGGAGAAGATGCAAGAGGCAGAGGGAGCAGAGGGAGAGCAGGGAGAAGAAAAGGAATTCATGATGAGCTTCTGCTAGTTTCTTTCTTGGTGTTTCTTTCTCTTTTTTCCCCCTGCTCGTCCTTATGCAAAGCACCTTGATCAGAGTACGTTTTGTCATGCGTTTTGCTAAGAATATTTACAGCTGCCGGTAATTACTCGCGCGGGATGAGAGGGGAGGCTTTATGTGAAAGCGAGTTGAAGGGACCAGTGTCGGGTTGGGTTTGTTAGGGCCGGTTCCCGAGCGAGGATCAAATGGAGGGCTTTGCAAGCAGGTGCAACGAAGACGGCCATGCTCTCTGCTTCGGTTTTCACTAGAAATGCACCAACTGGAATTTGTTTGGATTGATTACTGATTTTTGCAACACATGAAGTTATGACAACAGCACTGACAACATCGCTAGCCTTCCTGCCTTGGGCAGTCATTAATTATTTACAGTAGGAAACGAGACGGCGTCAAACAGCGTGTTTCTGAGATCAGCAGCTTTAAGGCAGAGTTTTAGTGTTTTAAAAACAAGACAAAATCATTACAGAGTTGGCCTTTCAAGCTGGCTTCTACATTTTCCATTAGTGATTACCGTGATGGGACTTAGCATCTCTAACTGGAAACGGTTATATTCTCAAGTACCACATCAGTAAAAACACCAGTTTTTCAAGTATACAAGCATCTCAAGAGATTCGAAAACCATAACAGTGAGACTTGGGCTTCTCTAATTTCTGGGCTTCTCTAATTTCTGGGGGTTTGTTACAAAAACGCAAATGGAAGAAAAAAACAGCTTCTCTCCTATTGGCTCTGTCTCACTTCTCCATTAATTTTCAAGATTAAAGCTGGAAAAGCTGGGAATTCTCTGGAAATGTGCTGCGAACGTTGGCAGCACATTTCCAGATCTGATTTCTTCTTTTTGTAGACTTTTGTTTGTCGTTTTATTTTGTTGAGAAGTTGCATTTTTTGATCCTGTGCAGCTGGAAGGAGTTTTGCTCTTGGGCTTGTAGTTCAGGTATTACCTGAGCTTATGAGATGCTAAAATACCTTGTTGCCATGGTATAACATGATAACCATTGTGCAAAAGGAAAAGCCAATTTTTTTTTGCTTCATGAATGCAGAGAAGGACCAAAGAGCAGAGAGAGAAGGAGCAAATTCAAACCATCACTTCCTTTGATCACAACAGACAAGGATCATATCCCCTACTCCAGCATCTCTTTAACCGTACTGAGATTTAAAGTAAATGCAAATTAGGTGAATTAGCAGTTATTACTAACAATTGATGGTGTCATCCAGAACGTTATTGTAGAATATAGCCTCTGCTGTTAGCATGTTGCTAAGTGTCAAACTGTCTTCAGTCAGAGGATTCTTTAGATTCTGCTCCTGGAGATCCTTCCAGTCTACAGCATCACCATCCACACAGACTCTTTGAAAACATTTGGATGCTATGGGTTCCGACTTCCCAATGGGACAGTGTTATTTATTCTGTTCTATTCATCGAGTTATTAATAAATAGTTCAAGTATTACAGCAAGTATCAGCATCAAGTTAAAGAAAAGTGGTATAATAAAAATAATATGAATAAGAATAAGAAACTGCAAGGAGGGCAAAGTAATAAAAAATAATACTGCAATCTGAAATAACATACTCAGATTGAAAGAAATGTACGACTGAGTAGAGTAATTAAAAATGTGCAAGATGCGCATGGACATTTTGTGCACAAAAAAAGAGACTTCACAGGAAGTAAAAAAAAACATAAAAAAACTGAGATGTGCAAATAGCAGCAGGGATGTAAACCTATTGAGTTTGTTGGAGCAACGATGGTGGGAGAATGTAATAGCTGCTAGGGGGAAGGATCAGTGATAGCGCTCATTTGTGCACTGAGGTTGGAGCAGTCTGTCACTGAAGGAGCTCTGCAGGTCAGCAATTGCTTCTTGCATGGGATGAAAGACGTGTCCAGCTTTTATGTTAGCCAAAGTTCTGTCTTTTCTTCTCTGGAAGAGAAACACATTGTTATTACCTTATATTGGTGATATTAGTTAGCCTGGTTCATAGCATGACAATTATCAAAACCAGTTGGTTTCAGAGTTTGAACTGGAACGGCTCGTGGTTAGATTTATTGTTGTTCTCAAACATCACAAGATCCAGTTTCAGATGAAAAGTGAAACAAAGTATTAGAAGCTACCAGAACTTGTTCCTGGTTCACTGCCATCCACTAAACCACATCCATCCATCCATCCATCCATCCATCCATCCATCCATCCATCCATCCATCCATCCATCCATCCATCCATCCATCCATCCATCCATCCATCCATCCATCCATCCATCCATCCATCCATCCATCATCCATCCATCCATCCATCCATCCATCCATCCATCCATCTTCCACTTTTCTGAGATCAGTCTTGTAGTTAACAGGTCCAAGAGGGAACTGCTAACTTCCTTCTTCCCAGTGACATCCTGGTAATATTCTGGGTGTCCGAAGACATTTCCATTCCAAACGTGTTAGATAGTCCCCACAGTGAGTTCTGGGACTTCTCAGGGTCTCCACCCAGTGGGACATGCCAGAAAAACCTCCAAAGAAAAAAGGCTAGGAGGCATCCAGATCAGATTCCCACACCACCTGAAATTTGTCATTTCGATGTGGAAAAGCAGCAGCTCTGCTAGCTCCCTGTGAATGATGGAACTCCTCAGCCTGTCTCTAAGGCAGAGTCCAGCCACCCTGCAGAGGAGGCTCATTTTGGCCACTGAGATCCAAGATCTTGTTCTTTTGGTCTTGATCCATGGCTCACGATCACAGGCAAGGGATAGAACATGGGTGGACTGGAAAATGGAGAGCTTTACTTTTTGACTCACCACAAAAGTTCAGATCAGTGTCTGCATTGCTGCGGACGAATAGGCCTGTCTCAATTACACATTTTGCTGAATGACAAATTGTCCCAGGAGTTACTGCAATAAATGACAACATCCCACAGTTTCATGCTTCTCAGTGTCCTCAGTGGATCACAAGCTCTCTCTCTAATTTGGAGTCTTTATATTTGATTTGGATAAAAATGTCATCCAATTAGTTGATGACTTTACACTTGCTCTCTTTTTAATTTGACGAACTGTTTCACTCGAAAAAGCCGATGGAGTAGTGTCGCTTGAGAACCTCATGGACCCGTTGCTGGACTGAATATTGAATATTAACTAAAAAAAGCAACAAAAAAAAAAACCAATTCTGCTGCTTCTCATCTGCTTTGATAAGTAAACATGCTGTTTTGTGTACACTTATAATTTTATTTCGAAGATAATGTTTCAATATTGTGTTTACATCTTGTTACAGTGCCAAAAAGAATCAATAGATGTCAATTTAAATATCACACGCGGTGATCAGTGATCAGGGCTCACAATGTGCTAGTTTGTGTATTTATTTAGATGAGGTTGGATGGTGTTGTGATTTTATTCCCACTTAAAAAACAGATCAATAAAAGTCAGCTTTGACGTTTTTGGTGTGTGCTGTGCTCTCTTCCAGGTCCTGGTGGTGTAGCACTAGCTACCTCTAAACTGGATCTGCTTCCTGCCTGTGATTTATCAGCCACTCTTTCCATCTGTCCATCATCGCTTCATTCCTGTCTGCGAGTCCACCAGCATGTCTGTCCGTTTGTCCACGGACCAGCCGTGACCCTGGAGGGAGGGGGACAGAGACGAGGAAAGAGTGGAGTCGCCGGGGAGACAGAGGAGAAGAAAGCTGGATTCATTCAGACGTCACGTCTCTGAAGTGCTCCTGCTCGCTGTCCTTCATCCTCCTCACCCTCCTCCCCCGCCTCCCTCTGTTATGGAGATTTAAAGGAGCAGTGGGAGGTTAGGTCAAGGTAGATAGGAGGGGGAAAAAACAACCACCACCCCTTATGAAGAAGTAAAAAAAAGAGAGAGGAAGATTAATTCAGTCACTCAGTTTAAAAAACAATAAAGAAAAAAATTAGGCGCACATGAACAACCCTTCACCTGTCAGACGAAGGAGGAGCTGAGTAGATTACGGAGAGAACGGACAAAAAACACATCCAAATTATCTTACTGACATGTCAACAACAGCAACAATGGGGGAAATGGCAAACAGTGCTGTGGAGTTTTATCCCAAAGGGACTCGAGGCAGGGGCGGAGGAGGAGGAAGGGCAGATGGCAGCCTCACAGGGGGAGACTTTGGGGTCACGGTGAAGGAGCTGAGGGAGCTGATGGAGCTGAGAGGAGCTGACGCCCTACAGAAGATTCAGGATGGCTATGGAGACACAGAGGGCCTCTGCCAGAGACTACAGTCCAGCACCACTGATGGTGAGCACACATGGGGCCTGAATGGGCTGGCAGACAAACATGAATGGATGCTGAACCAGATTGCTGATTTGTTAAGAGCACAGACTGGTGCACGTTCTTAAATGTGTTAGAAAAAGTCTTTAAATTCCACGTAAAATGTTTCACATTGCATTCACAAATAGATGAGTGAATTGTTTCGACGGGCACGTCTGTGCTGAATGAAAGCGCAGCAGCATGAGCTGAAACAATAGTACAACAGTGAACGCTGCATCCAAGTTATTTGATCTCTGGTATCAACATTTGGCTCAAGTGGACGGCCCAGACTGTAAACACAACACACTAAAAACACGGACTGGAAATGAGCATGAATGTCGTTTCAGGCCTGGGTTGTTCTTGCTCAGGCAAACTGAATTAACTTCGGTGGATCCTACAGAATGAAAGCACTTAGGACAAAACTGTAGAAGCACACTTCACTTTGGCTGGTAATCCTGGTTTCCGGGTGAGCAGCATGCATACGGGTGGATGGACTGATTGATGAGTGGATGACAGGATTATGGTGGATGAATGAAGAAAAAGCTGAGAGCAAAAAAAAAAAAAAAAAAAAAATCAATGGGTGAATGAAGTAAAAGTGTGTTACTGTGGGATTAACCAGGAATCTCAGACAGCTCCAACCTGCAGATGTGCTTTGGTATGAACAACCATGGCAAAAAAAAAAAGGATTTCAGTGAAAAATTTGATTTAGCTACAACACCTGGAGTGTGTACATAGTCTTAGTTCACATTCATGCCAGTCTTGTTGAGTTAGCTTTTGTTTAACTCTATTTCATTTGCCTATAAATTCTGGTTTCCTATCATTTCTGGAGGTGTGAATACATAATTGAACTTTGACTAGACCTGTCTGAAACCCCAGGTCTCAGTTCGATTGAGTCCGGTGTAGTTCGAATGCATATGTGAACACCAAGTGGACTGTAGTGCAGGGCATTCTGGGAAAATACAATCAAAACAAATATGCATGTCTAGCGCTTGTCATTTTTTGCCAAAGACAAAAGAGAAAATCTTACATTTGCTAAAATCTGATTCTACTCCATATTTGTTTCCTTTTTGTGAAAAAGAAAGTTGCGCTCAGTGTCTTCTTCAAACGTTTTGTGCAATTTCCTTCTGTGATGGTGCAGCGCCTCCACAGGCGAGAGGGGAACCGGCTCGTCTGACTCAGTGCAGCGTAAAACAGAATCACCACAACTGAAAATGGAACAAATGTTGCAATTTTGGTTCTCAATTGAACCAAAATTGTCGACCAGTCTATCAGGTGTGAAAACACCCTTAGTTTTCCTCCGGTGGTCCTCTGTTTTCACAGTGAATCTTCAAATATCCAAAGGATACCAGATATTTGTATTGTTTGTTGATTGGTGAGCAGAGAGATCCTTAGTTTGTTTGCTATTGAACCTGCTTGGTCGTCCACAGTTGTGAAGCAGACATTTACTTTGTGTGACAAATGAGAGGGAATCTGTGAGATCTGTAGAGCATGTTGATTTTCACTGGTCGAGTGAACCTGATATTGACCCTCAGCTGAAGGCTGTTTAATTGTTGCAGCTCTTCTTTCCACAACTGTAGTTGAAATGTGCAGAGATTTACTGAGGCCAGCTGAATCAGGTGCTTTACAGCTTGTATTGGCCCAGCCACATTTCATTAAGCATCCACTAACATTAACATCATGGATTTAGTTGTAAAGCCGAACGCTGAGACACTTTTGTGGATACATTCTCATTGCAAGTCTATAGAGGGGGAAAAAAGAAGCTAATTGCACAGCGTAAGGCTATCTTTAACCTATTGCATGGTTTAATTTATATCAAGGACTTGCACCCTCTTCTGTTTTTCGGCGATCCCATTCATATAACCTTTCACTTTAATTTATTCATCAGTGTAACAACAAATCAAAAAACGGCATGATAAAAGCATATTAACATTTTTCTTATGTACCAACTCAGTAGCAATGTAACTTCATGATAAAAGAAAAGTCACACTCATAGCACTGGAGGTTTAATGTCTACATAATATGATCTTTAACCACACAACATGTTCCACCTCGTCACTATTTACTAAACAAAGATGAAGCCAAACTGGAAATCTGTTTCTGAAAAATTATGTGGGTCCTGTGATTCCACAGCGAGTTGAACCTTTAGAAGCTTTTTCCACACGCTTTTCTTAGGCATGCAAACGATGATTATGAATGAATTGTAGCCACGTTTCTGGACATATATCTTAAAGTTGTTTTTGAGAATCTTTTCTGCACAGCTCACTGTGCAGCTCACTTAAAGTCCCAAGGCAAGATTTCTGCCATGCTGTTGAATATTTGCTGCGGTGTTTGTTGATTACCCACTGTGTGTTAAGAATCTTGTCAGTCTGACTTTAGTATATAGTGCAGAAAACAAGTATTTGGTATTCTGGGAGTTTCTCGACTTCCAACAAATGGAGAGATCGATCATTGTCATCATAGGTGCACCTCAACTAGGCCAGACATTTCCTCTAGTTTTTGACCAGGTGTGCAGACACTGCAGTGGGGATTTTGGTCCACTACTCCACATACATCTTTAAGGTTTCAGCTCCCTCCAGAGTTCTCTATTGGATTCAGGTCTAGAGTCTAGCTAGCAGACAAGGTGGATGAATTGTCATTCCAAAAGCAGGTAGAGAGGGAATTGAACTAGTGACCAACTGAACTCCTATCACCGTCACCACTGTGTTCATAGCCTCTCACCTACACAACTGTAGGTAGATAAACTTGCAGCAGGAACCAGGTTATCCTAGGAATAGAAAATGAATGGATGATAGAAAATGTTTCCAAGTTGAAACCATTTCACTTGAAAAGTTTTGAAAATTGAACTTTAAAATATGCACTTGAGGCTAGACTTTAAAGACCATCACCTGTGTATGCAGTTTACTTCTACAAACATTTATTTCAGACTGAATCACTCTCAAAGAGTTGAGTGAATTTCCAGTGTTGCACCATGTCAAGATGTTGCAAGTCCAGTTGAAAAATTTTCTTGCAACTAAATAATTCACTTCCAGCTACTATCAATACAAAGAGGAAGCGACTAGGAATGAACAACAAAAAAGTGGTTGCACATGTAAAATCACAGTGTTGGGGTTAGACACATAGTAGTGTCAACTTTCTGCAGAGTCTTTATGTTCCCTTCAGGTTTGCTCAAGTGTAGAGAGCTCAATGGAACCGGTTTCCATTCTTGGTCTTACACTAACTACTAAATGAAATGCACCGTATCAGATGGGTATGGCGGTTCCCTGCCTGGTAAAAACCAGCCTCTTGTTCTCTGTTTTCCTTTGCCCAGAGAGTCTGGAACTTTGAGGAGTGTTGTGAAATAATTGCTTCACAATAGCGTAAACTCTGAATGAGAGGACTCTGTTGACGTTTGAAACAATTGGATCTGGTTTGACCCATTCGCTGAAGCTTGGCTGGGATGTATGTAATGTGCTTGTGATATGAAGCTTACTGGAAATTGCTTGCGCTGTAAATAACGTTCCCTGAGAAGAGCTGAGTCAAACACACATATTGGCAGCAATAAAATGTCTTAAACAAATCCCCCTGTTCCAAGTTTAATTATGCAATATTTGGAAGCATGGCCAACATGAGTGAACGGCTTGGTTCACCTCCTCTACTGTCAATGTCATCACAACTCCTTCTGTTTGCTGATTGGCCCGATATCCTGAGAAATCCAGTTCAATGGGAGAAATCCCAGATGGAGCACTGAAGGGACCTAGATCTTCTCTTATAAAATCTGTAAATATCTCATAAACACAAGGGTATGGTTTAGAGTTTCATCAAAATATTTTTTACCATTGTGACAATGATAAAATTGATTTAAAAGATCCCAGATTACTTCTTTTTAGGTAGCTGCACGGCACAGCTTCCTAATGCCACACACATGAATACTGGTGTTGAAAACAATCCTATTAGAGACATGATTTATATCACTTAGCAGAACGCTTCAGATTTCACTCTATCATATTTATGAATTTACTGACATTTATTGATGCTCTCGTGGGGCAAAAATAGTAAAATTTATATATATCTATATATCTATATATATATATATATAATTTTTTTTTTTGCATTATCTGACAAGCACAAATTTAAATTCTTATGGCAAGAAATTTTCATGAGGAATGGTAAAGATGTAGTGTCAATGTCCACAGTGGGTCTAACAGGGTGTGGTAACACGCTACGCCCACTACTTCAACTAGTTGTAACCTAGCAACACAACAGCGGCGACAAGTTGGCTGACAAATTCAGCAACAGAAATAAGGATAATGCCGAACTGTCAGATCGAGAGAAACAGAGATGGATGAATAAAGGAGGCTGAGCGAAAGTGTGTGTTTAACCGCAGCGACTGTGAGGTTTGTGTGTGTGTTTCTGTGAGTGAACAAGGGAGGTGGAGGAAAAGTGTCAGGGCTGCTGGTATTGAGTTACAGTAAGTCTGTGTTGAGTGTTGCTAATTTGATACTGTGAGTTGGTCAGGAATCAGTGCAGCAGGTCCCAACAAACCCATCACAAACCCATCACAAACCCATCACAAACACACACACACACGCACACACACGCACACACACACACACACACACACACACACACACACACACACACACACACACACACACACACACACACACACACACACACACACACACACACACACGCAGACTCGTGTTGGCAGAACCACCAAGCACAGTTTACCCACAGATACGCATAAATGCTGCTCTCCGGTCACTTCTTTGGAGCCACAGCTCAAAAGCTGCCCGTATGAACTGGAGTCAGAACCCAAAGCGTTTTAATCTGCTGCTGATCGGCTGCATCCTCTGCTTCCCTGAGTCCAAAAAGCAAAACCAAAACAACTGAGGGCTGGATTTAGCAGATCTGACAGTGAAATATGGGCAAATGCATAGACATGCATGGATACGCTACAATGCACTTGGTCCTGTACATCATCTGTAATGTGATGCATAAAGTCGGATGGGTCTTAAAACAACAGAGTGAAATCCCATTCCCTCTCTCTGCCACATATGGATACACCAGCACTGCGGTATGAGAGCATTACATCCACAGCAAACAGCCAGAATGTAGGAGGGACAGCAATTTGGAAGAGGGAGTGAGAGACTGTATGTGTTTTAAGAGGAGAAAGCTAAGGGGTGAGGAGGGAGAGCTTGAACAGCTTGCCGCATTGTCAAGGACACATCAAGGAGAGATTGAGAGAGAGGGAAGAGAGCTATGGAAGAGGGATGAGAAAGAAGAGAGGAGAAGAAAGAGAGCTAATGAAAGGAGGGTACGGCTCTCTGGGATTACTCAGCACTGGGTCACTTGTTTTGTATCGCTCCTCTCTTTGCCTCGGCCTGAACCCTGTTGAGTGTCAGAATTCCACGCAGCTACTCTGCTGCATGCGAATCCCTGCAGCAAGCATGTTTCATCCAGGATGGAAAGACAGCCAACCGTATCAGCCAACCGCAGCTCGCGAATCCCCGCCTTCCTCAGTGCTGGTAGCCTATCGGAAAAAAAGAAAAGAAAGAAAAACTCCTCTCAAAACATACACACTGGAGCAATGACATCACCTGTTGCTGGGCAGGAACCTGTTAGACACAGGAAGCCCTGGACCTAATATCCCGGTCACCTTGGAAACTGCTGAGGCTGAAGGGGAGAGGAAGCTGAGGAGACTGTAGATTGAGGTAGACTTTGCAAAAATCATACATGCTGTCAAAATATTTATTTAGATTCACACATGAGCAAAACAGACTTAAAATACAAAAATCTCTTGGCCTGACTCTGATTTTATAAAAGAAACTAATTCATCCATTTTCTAGACCCTCTTAGCCATTTTTAGGGTAGCAGAGAAGCTCGTGCATTAAGCAATAAATCAATTAATCACATCATGACAAATTAAAACGAGCTCAATAATTTCTATTTGCATGATTGTTTTTTTTCTTTTTCTCTCTCTCTCTCTCTCTCTCTCTCTCTCTCTGTTCCTACCAAAGACAAAAACAATAGTTGACAGTCTGATGCTTTGGTTTCATCCAGGCCCGTTTTTGAAGAATATTTTTGTTTACAGAGACTTCCGTATCCATTTTATTTATTGTTTTGAGTTGTTTGGTTCATTTATTTTAGATATTTAGAATATATTTTATGTCCAGTGTTAAATGTTTGTAAGAACTTCTACAAAGAATGTATAAAATGGCCTAATTTTTTACATATAAACAAATCTTCAGCAGTTATTGTCACTGCTACTGTAATACCATAAAATACTGATTATAGTACACGGTTCTTAACGCTAAATCGGCATCGATGTTTACCCCACTGTTGCCAACTTAGCAACTTTTTAGACAAAAAAAATCAATATAAGCCAAAAACATTGACATTTCCAGACTTTGTTACTTTTTCTCATCATTTAAAAATTCCATCCATCCATCGGTTTGTTCTTATACCAATCATCCATCAGCCCTCTGCCCCTCAATCTTTTTTCAGGTTTCATATTCAAAGTTTGACCTCTGTAGAAATTATTTCAGAAGTAGCCTTACTATTACATTTTAAGAACCGAGCATTCTGGATGTTTTTGTCTGAAAAATGATGAAAGCTGGTTTTGATTGGGTACTTTGTCAGCCTATCAGCTCAGGTACAATCAGCAGCCACCTGCTAAGTGAATGTGCAGCTTGGAGCTTGGTAAATGTAGTTTTAAAGCAGCGTGTCTCACTGTGAGCGAGTATGGGGTGCTGTTTGTTACACAGTCAAATATTAACACCACTGACTTGGGTTATCTAAAAAAAACGGGTTTCGTTTTTGAAGTCATATTTATTTTTACCACATCATTCAGAGATACTTTCGGTTCCAAGCTATATATTTATCTAGCTAAATATTTAGGTCTATGCTAGATAATTAATTAGCAAGCTGCAAACTTGCTACTAAATAGTTTGAGTTCATACAGTATGAAAACACAGTTCAACATAGATTTGAAGTGTCTTTGTCATACAACCTGGATGCCATTAAAGTATGAGCCACAATTTTGCAGACAAATATTAAAATTGAAAGAATAACAATCCCATGAAATCAGGTGCATCTCCGTAAGAAAGTGCAGAAATAATTTAGTATTGATTCTCAGTGTTTGGATCCCCTGGAAGCCTTTGATTTTGGGGGTCTATTTGTTTTCACGTTTCAGCCGAGTGTAATTTGTTGATGATCCCTCAATGGACCGATATATTTTGGAGGGAATTCATGGCATTTCTGTGACAGCATAAAAAAACCCATCGCTGCCTCTGTAGTAAGTCATGGAGAGAATATCTGTTAAATTTCCAACTTAAACTTCTTCGAGGGAGGAAGGAGATGGATTATCCAATCAAAGTGGTCCTCCCACTATTTCACTCCTCCCCCTTTCACAGTGTACAGCCAGCCAAATATTGAGGTACATATTTAGTTTGGAGCTTAACACCATCAAAAGTTCACAGTAATAATTTGAGTTATTTAATCTCTCATAAGAAAAAAAATGGCAGTTCATTATCAAAGTCATATTTTCACAATGTTATTTATGCATTTATGAATGTCACAGTTCGGTCTGCTTAATTAGCAAGCTGAACTAAACATTTAGTTTATTATCTAAATATTTCATCAGACTTTATATTGGGGCTTACAAGACCCAACTTTCATTTGGATAGTTCACTGCAGTTATCTGCAAGTGAATTTGAATATTAGCTAAATAATTAGCTTTGGGCTAAATATTTAGTTTGGAGCTACATATCTAATTTGCTAACTGAATAATTAGTTTTGAGCTAAACATTTAACTTGCTAATTGCATATTTAGTTTGAAACTGACATTTATAAATACATAAATAACATGTTAAAAATTCGACTTTGAGAAACGATCCCCCATTTTTTTTCTTACGTTAGGTTAAATAGTCTAAATTATTGCAGTTAACTGTTAATTTTGACAGTGTAATTGTACAAGTGGGACCCCATATGGGACCTGAGAATATCTGACTCTGATCTTCTTTAATTCAAGTCAAAGTCTCTGTCTTTCGGCCGCTGACTGTAGAAGCAAAGCAACGGGTGAATTATTTGATTAACTTTCTTTTACTTTTTAAAATCTTAGAATGTGTTGAGCCTATCAATTGATGAATTGATCTGTGTCAGTATTTTGTATTTAGTGTGGTTCCCTGATTTATTCATTTATTTATTTAGAAATAAACTATTGCCCATATCTGATTCAGGTGGAGAATGCTTTGACTTTTTTGCTGACTTGTTTGTTTTCTCTTTCCTGTGTCCTGAAGACTCTGAGTGTCTGTGGGGTCTTACAGCAATTAACCCTTTTATGCTTGATTATGATCCTTTGTGTCAGGATTTTTTTCCATTTTTTTGAAATTTTCTTAAGGCATAAAAAAAGGCAGGAAAAGAAAATTGTAAAAAGTTTTTTATTTCATTTGTCTAGATCAATTTTAATTTTCTCCAAATACAAAGTTGTTATTAGAAAAATACATAAGTAGTATTGTTCTTCAGGGGTTTTTTTTTTTTCACCTGCAAGAGTCGTCTGGCATGCTTTTTTGTCTGCCGGCCATATTGGATTTTAGAAAAACCATTTCTTGCATTTGCAGCTAGTGGCCAGTAGTTGATACTGTATTTTGTGATGCAGTAGTGTCCACTTCAGTGGTCTGTGTGCATTTATAACATAAACATCCACAAGAAGAATAAGAAAATGGCTTTTAGAAAGCTGCCCACTGTAGTGACCGCTATGCATGAAAGGGTTAAGATGAAATTTGGAATATTTTATATCAGTAATTCATAAAATTTCACTGGCATTAGCCTGCTAAGAATAACATATGGAAACAAATTATATTGTGAAAGGGGATGTTGGATGTGATTTCACCCTGCTCAACTCTTTGCCCTGACCAAACATTTTGGATGTTTCAGGTCTCAGCGGCGACCCAGCAGACTTGGAACGTCGATGTCAAACTTTTGGCCGGAACTTCATTCCCCCGAAGAAGCCCAAGACATTCCTGGAACTAGTGTGGGAGGCTCTACAAGATGTCACCCTCATCATCTTGGAGGCTGCCGCCATCATTTCACTCGGCCTCTCCTTCTACCAGCCGCCTGGGCAGGAAAGTGAATGTAAGGAGAAGGGTGGGAGAGGTGGGGTGGGGTGATCTTTACATTGTAAGGTTTTTACGTGAGGCAACAACACATACAAGCAAAGAAAGGCATTTCACCACAAAGAGGCATTTCTGTGAAAAATATTTAATCAGTATTGAATGGACAACAGGACTCAGCTACACACAGCTGGAGATGGATTGTGAGCAGCCAGCAGCTGTGCAAAGTGGCCAGAAGATCTATTTTGCCTCCATTTATTCACAGTGGAAATTAAAGAACCTCAGTGTGAGACACTTTGGTTGGTAACTGTGGTTTAATAAAAGGGAAAATGAATTCTGCTCACTAAGCCTTGCGTTAGAGAGCAGGGCTAGAGGGATCGCGCTGAAAGGTTACAGAAATATTAAGATGTTTAAATGTAGCAGCTTAAAGCTGAAAGACACTGTTGGAACTCACAAAATCTCAAAATAGTCCAAAATTCAATACTTCATTCTTTGGTATGAAGTATCAGTAATAGCAATGGTTTCTCAAATACTAAATGAGTCATGCTTGCAATTTTGAAGACGTAAAAAAATTAAAGTAGCATATAGTAAATTGTACAGTTTAGTTTAATTTGTCTAGCTAATTAGTCTTCTAATTAGCTAGACAATTTCCTTCTTCTGAAAATAATATTTTACTGTGCTTTAATTTTGCCCTCTCATATGTGGTTGTAGTGAAGGAAAACTACAGCTTCTGTAGGGAAGTCTGTTTGCACGTGCAGTCAGAGCCATGAGTGGTGAGACTACGACGTTAATTGACACAGACTTCTTTCATAATTTCATAATATAGTCTGCAGCCTTTGCTTACATTTGTCCTGTAATTATGATGCATGTCTCACATCAATGACAAGAAAGTCAGATAAAATGCAATATGACTATGCTGCCTGCAGATGCTTCCAAAACAATCTGATTTTTTATTTAGTACCATACATGGAAGTGCCACAGATTGGATGTTTTGTGGGGTGAAAAGATTGGACAGACTGCGGTGAAAGATTTGGGTTTGGGTTGCATTCAACAAAGTCTTAGTTTCAATGAAGATTCCACTTCCAAAGATGGATCAGTCAGTTGGGAACTAATTGACAATCAGTCGCAGATTTGGGAAAAATACGTAAAAATGATCACATGAACAGCTAAATATGGATGTGGCTTACTTTCACAGTCAGTGGCAAAATTATAGTTAATTCTAAAATATTTCAAAACATTTACAGCTAGGTCATTAATCCAGATTATAGATAATGTTTGTGTTTGACAGAATCTATATGCTGACCTTCTTGGTGACATCTTGGTTAAACAAATTGTATCAAATAAAGCCAAAAAATAGATTAAAACCAAGGCTGAGGCATTTGTCTTATGTCATTACGTAGCAATTCTGGAGGTAACGTTCAGCAAATTATTTTTATTTTATTTTTGGTTGTTATTTATCTTGTTTTGCTGTATAACAATAAGTCAAAATTGAGATAATGTTGATAAGGAGAGACAAAAGGCCTAAAAGAAAAAAAGGTTCAACTGTGGTGTCCTGGTGAAAGGAAGTGGTCTGAGTGAACAGAGGATGCAAATATGGGACAATGTGGTTCAGTCTGCAACCTCAAAGTGTACACTTGGTCACAGTGCACATGCAAGCTGCGAACTGGTGCTACACAGCCAGCTCTGTGCATGAAGCAAGCATGTTCAAGCAAGCTGGATCTGGATGGACTTAAACTGTCAAGTTAAATCTAAACTGAACAAGCAGCTCTGCTTCTTTTGACAGTGAACGGCTGCTGGGAACCTTAAGGAAAAAAAAAAACACCAGCAGGTTCATGCAGAACAGAGCTGATATATTAATAGCATAAGAAGAATCATTTGCCTGTTGTGAGGTTGCCATGTGATCAACTGAGTAAGAAAACAACACGGCTTGTTTGTTGGAAACCGTTACTGGTGAAATGTTCCTCTTTGCTTTAGGTAAAACCTTTATTCTGAAACTAGGTGACATTAATGAACAGTAATACCAAAATGTGCCTGCATACCTGGCATGGCATGCTGATGCTGATCCGGCCAAGAGGAAATTCAGGTCCCAGAGAAAGAGAGAAGAGCAGCATCTTTAAAAAAAAAAAAGCTGTGAGACATTCTCTCTCTTCTGACCTTCTCTAAGATGAATAATTGTACAATGTGTTGAACTTACATAAACGATTATGCTGCGCTTGAGATGAAATTATATAAGAGCAGAGCATCAACCATAAATCGCATTTAATGTGCCATGTTCAGGAACAGTAGCGGACTGGTTTTTGAGACTGTTTTGAAAAATATGTACAGTTAAGCCTAAAATTATTCACAGCCTTGACAAATATATATATATTTAAATTGACTGATATTTCTTCTTATTTGAAATATTAATGTTTTGAAGTGGGCCAACTAGAATCCTGACTTAAATCTGACCACATCCCAGAATCCGTAGAGGGAGTTAAAGATTAGGGTGATGGCAAGGAGAACATCCAACCTCAGAACCTGAGCTGTTAGCAAAACACATATCAGAAATATCAGTGGAAACATGTTGAGTACTCGCCAGCAGAAATTGGAAGTGTTTGATCGTTGAATTGCCCAAATTTTGTTTGCGAATGGTGTAAAAATTTATAAAAAGACACATTTATTAAAATGTAGATAAAAACAGAGATGCCCCTATCATAAGCAATTTTTTTGGTTGAACTTAAATATATTCAAATGAATTTAAATTCAACCAAAAAGGTTGTACAGCGAGGCATTTTGAGGGAAATCGGTGGATGAGATCGGTTTCTATATACAATGTACACTGTAAAATTCTGGGTTAAATATTTTGTCTTTCATGGTTATTATCATTGTAAGAAATGATTGGGGGCTCAATGTTTTACTGTAAAACTAAATGTTTTAACCCAAGAACAGTAATGTTTTTCCAAAAATGAACATGAAAGCAACTTATAAACTGATGTACAAATTACTGTTTTCACCAATAAATTTATTCAAAGTGACTTCATACCAAAAATTTGTAATTTTAAATTGCTTTATAGTTTCCAGATTTTTTCTTTCACAATTTTACTGTATACTGTACAATTTTACAAACCCTTTCTCCTATAATTAAGGAGATAGGGGTCAATTTATGGGTGTTAAGGGGCAGCCAGTGGAAATGTTTGACAGAGTTTGATTGAAATGTGTAAACTAATGTCTACAACTCCTCTCTTCAGTGTGCGGGGAAGTGAGTGGCGGAGCGGAGGATGAAGGGGAGGCTGACGCAGGCTGGATCGAGGGGGCGGCCATCTTGCTTTCTGTTGTGTGTGTTGTCCTGGTGACGGCGTTTAACGACTGGTCCAAAGAAAAACAGTTCCGGGGTCTGCAGAGTCGGATCGAGCAGGAGCAGAGGTTTGCGGTGGTTCGGAAAGGAAACGTCATCCAAATTCCTGTGGCTGACATGGTGGTGGGGGACATGGCTCAGGTCAAATACGGTAGGGGAACAGGGCGACCATCCTGCATCAGCTTCCTATGTTTCCCTCACTTTGAAAAGTTGTAAAGAACATGTAAGATAAAAAAAGTTAAGCAGATGTAGGAAAATCATATAATTAAAATGACATGAGTTTGGTATTAAAATGTTTATGTATCTTTTTCTGCTTAAATATAAAGTCAGCTAAAGAACCCTGATAAGTAAAAAAAAACATCTTGTTACATGTTTTTTCATGTATTTGAATGAAAAAATATGGAAATTTCTTTAAGAGACATTGCACTGTAATCATGTTGCTTTTGTTTTTCTCAGATTATTAACTCATTAAGTTGAGTTACGCCGATCAGAACCAATTTCAATTTCTCTTCAAGAGCTGTGACATAAAGACACAACAATGGTCTATAAAATGTATTATTCTAACCTTGCTTCAGTGAGAGTTCATTCATTATTTATCTTAGAAGTGAATGTGACGCCGTGATGTGTTTGTGGAAGTGGAGAGTTTCTATAAAAGTGTTTCATCTATAGTTTAAAAGAAAGACAAAATGATAATGGATTTGATATTTCAGACAGCTTTATAGTTATGGTTATTAGGTGTAGCATTACCAATACATCAGTTTCCACGTCCAGCTTGCTCCGTGACAGAGAGGCTAAGCGCCATAACTTTCCTCCCTGTCATTTTCTGACAATCTTGCTCTCTCTTGAGCTCTCACGGAGTGAATGAACCATGTACACATTTAACAAGTTGAAAAACTATTCATTTAAATATCCTACTGCAGCCTCTGGCTCTTTTGGTGAAACAACTGGCATACTGAGAGCTGTATGAGTGAATTTAGTGCAATTCTTTGGCTTCTGTTCAGAAGCCAAAGATATGTAAGTTTGTTCATCAAACTTACATGTTTTCCATGTAATGTTATTTAAATAGTTCATAAATAAATTATATTCCTGTTCAGTCACCCAATGTTACAGCATTTGTAAATATTCAGATTCAGTAAATAGTCCTCTTCTATATGGTTTTACATTGACTTAGTTTTTCACTTTGGTAAAGTTATGTTCTTTAAGCATAAACATCTATGTGAGCCTCCTGTGAAGGTTTATTTCTTTCCCTCCTTCCCTCTGACTCTTAGCTCATTTCCTCATTAATTATTCAGTCTATCAATGGACTGCTGGTCCCTGTAATATGTAATGGTATCCACTTCTTAACACGGGAACAAGATACTGTATATTGAAACAATAAGCGCATGCTTGATATCATTTGAACAAAAAAGACAAGCATACAAAGCTGATCAAGATGGGATTTGTGCTTCAGGTGACCTGCTTCCAGCTGATGGTATCTTGGTCCAAGGCAATGACCTGAAGATAGACGAGAGCTCCTTGACAGGAGAGTCTGACCACGTACGCAAATCTGTGGACAAGGACCCCATGCTGCTCTCAGGTTGGATCATGCTAGCATCAACTATATCATTTATATCTGCACTACATGATTATTTTGAAAGGGCATAGTTTCAAATACAAACTTAGGTCATTGAATTAATTAGAATCCTAAATCGCATTGTCAAGTAGAAAGGTATGGATTTAAGTTGATGGAAAGTGCTGGGCATGCAGCTCTACCGCTTTTTATTTAAAGAGTTCCTTGGCGGCACAGGAGTGAGCAACAGTGATTGAGGTCAGATTTGTTGGTACGTTTCAAAGGAAGTCACTTATTGTTCATCCACTCTTGGTAGGGTTGCATATGAACTCCAGGAAATGAGAAGGAATCCTTTCTGAACCACAGCAACAAGCTGCTCTTGCAGAACGATAAATTCAGACATCCTGCCTGGAAACCTTCTGGTTTTAAAAGGGGCAGTGATATGTAAAATCGACTTTTATAAATTTTACATCATGTTATAACCTTGTTCCCTCATCAAAAACATGCCAGGAGTGCTGTTCAAACCTCCTCTTTGATGGAGGTTTGAGAAATCCTTTAATCTCCCACGGCAAACATTCAACAAATGCTTGCTCTAACAGAGCTCCACCTGTTCCCAGAAAGATCCTCCTCTGTGCTGAAGTCAACAGCAGAACTTATGCCTCACAAACTACAGCCCACAGCTCCCTCACTCATCTCCTCCAGACTAGCGGCAGCAGCAATTAGCAAACAGCTGGTGGAACTATGAGTTCCTATGATGAGTCTGCTGAGCTCATCATGGGAACTACTTCTTAGTGCAATGCTCCTAAGAACGGTAGAGTAGCATTGTTGTGATGACATACTGAAGGCAGAGTGTTGGAAAGAGCCGGAGCCTCTTAAAGAGACAGAGGTCAATTTTAAGATGTTAAATTGCAAAATCAATATTTTTAAAGTTACCTTTGATGTGTACAACATTTTTATAACCAAAGGTAACATACTTACTTAGCCGTGCTATATAATGGCCCTATATGCATTGAAACTACATGATACCTTTAAGAAACTTCTCTCTTCACAGTTTTCTTCTAGTGTGTTAATGACTTTGTTAAAGTGAGCTTCCATTTTATCGCTTAAAATTGACACATGCTCTCTATTCAGTCTGACTGAGCTGGAGCTCTACTCTATTTAAGAAAGTGGCTAAAAATGTCAGTCTCTCGATGCGCAAAGCAGAAGATCTGGTTGTGACTACACATATGAACATCATAAGAACATATGAAGATTACAACTTATAGCAAAACTTCATAAATATCTCCTGTCTGTGAATGAAATCCAACCCGAAGTGTTTTTCTGTTCAGGAACCCATGTGATGGAGGGCTCAGGTAGGATGCTGGTGACAGCCGTAGGTGTCAACTCCCAGACGGGCATCATCTTCACCCTCCTTGGTGCTGGAGACATGGAGGAGGATGGAAAAGAAAAGAAAGGTAATCTGCCCTGCAGTGAGACACACGACTAAAACAATAGACTAAAACTGCGGTTTACATTCAAAAAATAAAAACTTTTCTTCTGGAGATGCAGTTCCACTCATTTGTAGTTTTGCCTACTTGTATCAGTTTTTATTTGTGTAAGTTAATTTCTTGTCATAATTATTTTAAACTGGTCCGATATGAGTAAGTATGACTACAACACACCCACATAAATGGATTAATGAACCAACCACAGAATTAGCCCACTCATGCCTAAAGCAAGAGTTCTGGTTAATGACTGAGCCTGATGATGATCTTGTGGCGACACTCGATGAAACTCAGGAATATTGTGCAATTTAAATTTCTGGACCCAAATAATAAGTTGCTCAATAATGCCACCCTGGGAATTTCACCCAGGGAATATTACCTTCTTTTTAAGGCACACAGGTTCTGTTATGCATGGAATTAAAATGGTTTCAAATGTACAAAAAACAATTTATTAAATTCTTTTAAAATATTCTTTTTAAAACCAGTTCTTTATGTCAAAAAAAAAAAAACTAAGAACAACAAAAGAACCAACAGTAGCTGAGGTCACTGGCAGAAGGGGCCATGATAGGAACGGCATCCACCAAAAACAGCAAACAAAAACCCTTTAAAGCACCAGACAACCCAGGAGGCGAACTGGGCGCACCGATGCCACACCCCAAACACCACCTTAATTGGGGTGTGTGACAGCAGTAAGGCAGTACTGCCATGCGGGTGCCTGCCGGTGGTTGTCTGTGGTTGTCCTCTTGATCAAGGCCAGAAGGACTGATACAGACAAAGTGGGGCTTCCAGCAGGCAACACACCAGTTACAAGATAAACTCCAAGCTCCTAAGCTACAGTCATCTTGTTTACAAGTGTGATTTTGAGAAGAGCCACCACTACTTCTTAGACCTGATCATGACTCTGTACCTTGAGGGGTTTTGGTCATGAAGGTCTACATCCCTCAGGGGCTCATTGATCTATTTGACATCAGTCTCTGTGCAGTTCTTTCTTATCTTTGTTTCCACTGTGAAAACATTGTCTTTCTAGTGGACCAGCGGTTTCTCATCTTGTGTCGACCCTCATGTGGATCCTCTTTCATTTTAAAGGCTACATCAAAGAGACAGTTGTCCCTTCATCATAAACTTTGCAGGTAGTAACAGATAGCAGGTAGCCACATGACTGGTGAAGGGGGAGATTACCCTCTTTTCCCATGAACTGATCATATCCATTCAAAATTGGGCATGGATTATCCCTGTCTAAGCCACCACTACCAAAATCAGTAAGGATTCCATCTTTCTCACAGCTACATTGTTGCATACTTTGTCTGGCCATCGCTAAGACCAACAGATCAAGAACTACATTCAAAATTAATCTTAAAAAGGAACAAATTTGGAATTGGAAGAATATGATATGTATTTAAAGAAGCGTACCGGTGAAATGTATTGTCTCACCGGTCACTATTGTGACTGTCAACATGTTTACACATCCTGCTCACACACCAAACCAATTTTTGCAAATGCAAATGTGAATATCATAACTAGACACTTTAAAGGTGATGCATCAAAAATCTGTGTCGTATGTTTATTTAAACATACATTGCTAGCCTCTTCTTTGGGAGGTTTGTGGAAGTTTTCCTCTCGTCAAGGTGCAACCAAAATATAAGCAGCTCTGGTCACTATTGTGACTGGTGGGTTCAAATGGGTTAAGTACATTTATTTTTGAAATGTCACATTGCACAGTCAATGTCAATGGAAACGCAGCTTGTAGTTATTGCTTGCTTTGTTGTTGCCATTCCTTTTTCTACTATAGTTTCTCCTTCCAATTAATACTTGGACATTGTGTAAATACTTAGCTTTTTTGGTAGTGATCTTTTATGACTAACCTAATCGTGGCCACACATGACTATCCATTTATTGGTCTAAAATGAAATGTTAGCAGATGACATAATTATTTAAAAAAGCCTCAGTGAGTAGCAGGCCATCATTTTTTGTGTATTTCCTTCCCTCTGGGAGTCCTGCCTCTTGGATAAGGGGAGGGGACAGGTTGTCACTTTAGTGCCCTGAAGCTTGTTGTTTTCATAATCCATGCACACTCTCACGTTGCTCCACGTGTGTGTGCTGGTGCTGCAGTAAGTCAGATGCCTTACTGATTTCAGAAAACAGATATGACAGGAAGCACGCCCGTTTACACTGATAGATCATTTAACAAACCAGAGTGAGGGGGGGTGGCCCTCTCCATCCCCCCTCTCTCTGTTTCTCTCCCTCTCTTTCTCTCTTTTTTTAGATCTTTCTCACTTGTCACACCTCCTCGCAGCTTCTTCCTTGTCTTTTCTCTGCTTATCCACACCTCTCACTCCTTGTTTACCCCATTGTTCTGTCCCTCTTCGCACTCCCCTGTTTTTCCTTCTCCTCCCTTAATTTGAGCAAAAGAGAGGCTGTAGATTCAATCAATTATTGAAAGAGCAGAAGGGGAGGGTGGGTGGAAGGGGGATGGCAAGGAAGAGATTGAGGGTAAAGCGTTGTTTGGTCAATGCTCAAAGCATTAGTCTATTCTCAAATCTGTTTTGGAAGTGCCCTGCGTTCAGGCAACGCAGGCTGCACAGACTTTCAGAAGCACTTATAGTTAACGTCATTAGCAGCTTCCACTGCGGCTCTGGCTTCTGCACAGGAATGTATGTGCTATCATTGGCATCTTCAAAAAGAGAAAACATCATCCTGGAACGCAGCATCAGACTGGCTGATGATGGCTAGTTTCTGAAAGAATACTCTCGTGACTCCTCATTCTGCTATCAGATATGTATCTGCGGTGTTTATCGTGAGCTGGATTGTTCAGGCTGTCATGATTGGAGCTGATAAATGATTAAAATAACCGTGACATGCGAGCTTTTCCTCTCGCCACGTTTGTTTTCTTTGATAATTCTGTCGTTCATATTCATGCTGAGGGAATATCATATTACATCTTTCATTCTTTGCAGTCATTTTAACAAATACTCACTTGTAATTATGATCACATTCATTGCTTGAGTTTCTTCTTTTTTTCTCCTTTTTTTTTGCCAAATTTCCACCCAAAATCTTTCTTTCTCACAGAGGACAGTACTCAGTTGCTCATCTCTGCAGATGCCACTAACAGCACAGTCACCAATGGTATGTGAGCATAAAGTTATCTGCCCTGTCCCTTTCCTCAGTCAGTGAATGGATCCCGCACTGTGCAGTGACAGTGACAATATGATGGCATTTAACAATGTCTTTCAGTTTCCTGATCGACTGTAATGAGATGAGTGCACTTTGCTTTCTCTTTCCTTTGGTATTGTTTCTGTGTTTTCATTTTCTGATTCTGGAAGTGTGTGATTGTCCCCAAAATCAAAAATGTGATATGTTTGAGTGTAAATATAGTTCTGTTTAACTCAGCTTTTCTCTCTCTCTCTGTCTGTCTCTCTCTTTCTGTCAGGAAAACAAGCTGATGGCGCCGTGGAGAACAATCAGAATAAAGGTAGGTGTTTTTGTTCAATTCAGTGTAATTAAGAAGCACCAGTTCAACAATATGTCGTCTCAAGGCGCTTTACAAAAACAAAACAAAATTAAATTCAATCCAATCAGACAGACAGATTCCAAGTCAGATACATCAGTTCTAGTTGATTGTAGTTATCAATCAATGCAGTCAAGTTAAGTTTATTACGTAGCAGAATACATTTGAATACAAATACAAGTGCAATTTGTATTTGCTGTATCAACAGTAACTTCTATAAAAGAAATGTAAACATTTGTTAAAACTATCTCTATATTGTAACAATAATACATATAATCTAAGAAAAGATGGATGTCCTCCAGCTCCTCCCTGAGATACTACTGCACCACTCTCAACCAAAGACAACCAATCAGGGGCAGGTGACTGACAGTATTAGCTCTGTCAGTCACCTGCATGTATTCCTGGCTCAGTGTGCTGATAGAGGAGAAACAACTTACCGTTACTGGAAAATCGTTTATCCACCAAGTGGCCATGCTGATTAGCCTTAGCATTTATGACAGGTTATGTTAGTTGCGGCAAAGGAAAGAGGAGGAGCAGCGCCACACGGAGGATGACTGACAGCGCTGAGACCTGCTTCCTGGCTCGGACTAATTATTTCTAGTACTTTTTTTTTCTTTTTTTAAAGTTGCTTCTTCAGATTTCAGTTTTCGAGCCGAGTATGGCTGCGGCACTGACCTACTTCATTTTAATGTGCTTAAGTAAAAGTTTATCAAATGCTTTCTTTTGATGTGTGTTTTTTTTCTAGCCAAGAAGCAGGATGGGGGTGTTGCTATGGAGATGCAGCCCTTAAAAAGTGCAGAGGGAGGAGAAGTGGAGGACAGAGAGAAGAAGAAGACCAGTGTCCCAAAGAAAGAGAAGAGCGTTTTGCAGGGAAAGCTCACCAAACTGGCTGTGCAAATCGGCAAAGCAGGTGCACAAATCAGCCTTTAATATGTTTATTTGTTTATGTGTGGATGAATGGAGTGCTTATTAATTCAATTCAGGTTATTTATACAATTATTTATTTGTTAATTCAATTCAGGTTATTGATTCAAAGTTGTTGAATTCATAAACTGATGTCAAACTTTGTAAATTAAAACACCTGATGAGATGTTTTGGGCAATTTTCTTAAAGATGTATAGCTGCTGGAATCAAAACAGTGTCTTTAGCTGGAACATTAACAGGCACAGTGAAATGCCTGTTAGTGTAAGTAAAAGTTATTGAAATTATGTAAATAATTATAAATAATATGTAAAGGAGTGTCAGTACATACAACAGTAACAGTGAAGACGGGTTAAAGAGCATCTTTAGTGAAATTGTTGAAAGTGAAATGCTGATATATAATTGTATTTTTCATTTTTTTGCATTTGTCCTTTTCAAAGCTCCACAGTTGATATTTAAGTATTGTTAATAATCTCTTCCAATAACGTAATTACCTTGTCATATTTTTAAATTTTCTGCCAATTTTGACACTTTTGTACACAAACACATGGTGGGCTGTCCCTCCATTTCTACCACCACCCTCAGCTTGTTTTCTAAGGCATATGCACATTGGCATATGTATTATCACATTAACTAGCATTACTGCCTCCTAATATTTGGCAAATGGTATTTTATATTGCCTGAATCCCCAAAACAATTATTCACATATTTCAACGCTTTTATAAACTGAGAAGAAAAGTTAAATTTTGACGCCATTTGAGCTGCTTGTAGATGCAACCACTTTTAAACCTCTTAATGACCATCATGTTGGCACACATGGGATTTGTTTTTTTGTTTTTTCATATCCTTGAAACCATTATTATATCATGGAAAACCCATAGTATTTGGAAGATTGACTTCCAGATACTGAATTTTGGTCCAATAACATGAAAACAAATTCACATTGTCTTTTTATAATTTTGACTTCTTTCCAATAAAATCTTAGTTTGTTTTAGCACATTAGGTGACAAAGTCTTCGATCACGCAAACTACACATATCTCTGTTGGGCTTCACTCTGCCAGGTCTCTTTGCTCCATCCATAAACAAACAAGCCAATAAGAATTGGGCAGCAAAAATCTCCTCAGTGTAACCCGATAGTTTTACGGGTTGAAGCTTGAGCATTATGTGGAAAGGAAAGTCGAAGCATAATCAAGTTTAAAATGAGGGGAAAGACATACATGACCAATCCACACACGCGCAAGCACACGCACACGCATGGATACACACACACACACACACACACACACACACACACACACACACACACACACACACACACACACACACTAAGGAAAAACATCATGCACGCATTCAGAGAAAATGCTGCAGCTCTTGCTTTGTGAAATATTTAAAGTTTGACCTAAAAAAGGCTCTGAATCTTTCATTCGCCCACAAACAGAACGTTGATAAAAGAGCTGTTTAAAATGGCATCATTCAGTTCAATATGGGCTCCTGGTCTTACAGCTGCAACCTGGTTCCACGGGAGAGGAGCTTGGTAGAAAAAACATCTGCCTCCCGTTCCAGTTTAGAAACTCAGTAAACTTGCAATCTGATAGCAAAGGGTTGCATTGGGAACATACAGTGCAGTGTAATAACTTCATTATTAAGGACTTTACATTGTATGTTGGAAGGCGAATTCTAAATTCTGTTTTGGATTTAACAGGGAGCCAAAGAAGGCAAACAAAAATTTTTCTGTTTAATTCTCATCAGAAGTCTGGATGCAGTATTTTGGATAAGACGAAGGCCATGGTTATTGTATTGCTGTTGCCCTAACTAAGTCAGGTAAAAATGAGGGATTTCAAAAGTTATGATAATTCTTTTTCTAAAGAAAAATAACTATGTGTGTATGAGACTGATCCAAGTAGGAAAATTGATTTCATAACTTGAGACAAGGCCTCACTATTAGGTTGACAAAGTGTTTTTCTCCATTTGATGTGTTTAAAAAGTAAAGAAACATGTTCACAAAGGTATGGTTCAGCTGTTTGTCAATTGTTTAATACGAACCATCAGGAACCCTCACGTCAAAGTAGAAACAGGATGCTGAAACTGAAGTCTGTGATTTATGATAAAAGGTCAGAGAGCAGAAAATCTTATTTTTCATTGTGTTGAGTGGGAGCAGGTGGGATGGGCAATAATTATATTATTAATTGTTATTGGGTGTGTGGAGGGAATCAATTGCAACACAAAATATTATTTATATTAATGATGATAAAAACTGATATTTTGCAAACGCTGAACAGAGATTGTTGCTTTTGCAGATTTTTCCCCCCACAGTTGATTTCATAAAAACATCAATAAAAGTGAATACATATAAAAAATGATTGGATCAAATAATTATCAGCTGCTTTGTAAAATGTGATGTAACTGGTCTACTCTTTTAAATGATGAGCAGGTTTCTGTTGAAATTAGTATTTAAAAATTGTGATAAATGTTTAATGTTTTTTCTGTCATTTTAATTGTTACAGCAATAAATACTAGAGCTAAGAAGAAATGGCAACAAAGTTAAAAATGGCCTCTGGCAAAATTAGCGATGTTAAAAAATGCTCAATGTGACATCTGACAAAACTATTATGAATTTGAACTGATGAAGATGACGAAAAGTGGCTCTTTTATCCTGGTTCTTGTGTTAATATCGTTCCTTCATAGTTTTCTTTGATTCTCCAATCCTCTTGCAGACTTATTAGGATGGATTGTGTTTTTGTTGTTTTTACCTGAAACATGTTGCATTTAATATTTACGGCCAGTTTTGTAAGACAAGTTCTCTTCCAGGATTGTCTTGTGGTTTCAGTGTCTAATAGAACTGCCAGTGCAAAAATAGGATAAATAAAAATACGTTTGAAAAATTCTGTTGCAGCTGATGTAAAGCAAAAGATGCCTATTATTTCATATAATAGTGCGACTCTAAGCAGAATGCTTCATAACTTGCTGTTTTTAATTTCACTTCTCTTTTCTCCCTGCAGGTTTGGTGATGTCAGCCATCACTGTCATCATTCTGGTGCTGTACTTTGTCATAAACACATTTGTCGTGAAAGGTTTGTGTGCATGAACCATTTTAGCAGAACAATGCTGAACGCTGACTACTCCATGGATCAAACTCGAAATGAAATTGTTTGGCTAAACATGATCTCCGGTTTGTGTTGCAGGTCGTACATGGCTACCAGAATGCACTCCGATATACGTCCAGTATTTTGTCAAGTTTTTCATAATCGGAGTCACTGTGCTGGTGGTGGCTGTCCCAGAAGGCCTACCTCTTGCTGTCACGATTTCTCTGGCCTATTCTGTGAAGGTATAGCCAACACACCCGGTTCATGTAGTCAGCCTTCAATTCAGTTTTACTCCAGGTGCAGACACAATCTGAAGTAGTCAGTGTGATGTTTAAAAAGTCTTTCTGGTGTTGTATTGAAAATTTCACAGTGCCTGTGAGTGTTCCAGTTACAGACATTCAGGATAGTTTGTCAAAACATTACTTCTTCTAGAAGTCTGTTTATGTTTAAAGTAATAAACAAAAAAACAACCTTCGCCCTTTTCCTCATCCTTGTCCTGTCCAACATCACATCTCTCCGTGCACTGATGCACAAACCATCCATCATCATTTCCTGCCTCCTCCTCATCCACCCCACTGTTCTCCCTTGATATCTCATAACAGAAAATGATGAAGGACAACAACCTTGTACGGCATCTGGATGCATGCGAGACCATGGGGAATGCCACGGCCATCTGCTCCGACAAGACCGGCACGCTCACCACCAACCGGATGACTGTAGTGCAGACTTTCATAGGTGAGACAGAAGAAAGTGCATGTTAAAGATGAAAGCTGCATACACCAGGTTAGACAGAAGAGAACTCCTGTTGCATTTAAACAATTGTTATTTCTAAACTTATTGGTGGGTTTTTTTCCCAAAGGGTGGATATTTTTTCTACAAATCTATGTCCTTTGAGCTTATTTATTTATTTATTTGCTACACAAATTGCTGTCCATACCTACCGGCAACGTTGGTAAAGATTCATGACCGGTCTTAAAATAACTGGGTTCTTTATCAATCAATCATGTTTATAGCCAACAAGGCAGTTCAAAGTGCTTTACATCATGAAAACATAAAAACATCATAAAAGTATGATACAGTCAACAGTTGTGAAAACCAGGAACAGATATTACATTTTTGTCAAATGCTATCATTGAAATCATCAGTACACATAAAATATGCTGATTAATGTTCAGTAACCATGAGTCAAAAGCAACTCTAAACAGGTGGGGTTATGAGTCTTGATTTAATGGACCTGCTCCTCCATGTGTGGTTCTGGTTCTGGGGATACAGAGCAGGACAGAACCAGAAGACCTGAGTGAAGGTCGATGCAACAGCACCAGATATTTCATTCTTTGTGATGCTAAGCTGTTCTGTGATTTACAGACCAACAGTATTTTTAAAGTATATTTTCTAAATTTCACGGAGCCGATGGAAGGACTTTAGAACTTCCTCTGGTTTTAATGTGAGCAGCAGCGTTCTGGATCAGCTGCAGCCGTCTGATTGATTTTTTAGGCAGACCGGTGAAGACACTGTTGAAGTAATCAATGTGACTAAAGATAAATGCACGGATGAGGTTGTCTTGATCTTGCTGGGATGTCAGTCATTTAATCCTTGAAATGTTCTTCAGGTGACAGAAGGCCGACTTTGAAACCATCTTTATGTGGCTCTGAAGTTTCAGGTCTGAGTGCATTAATGCAGACTTCCTGATGGCAGAGTTTTAGAGAGAGTAGGAGTTCTTAAAGGGACAGAAACCCAATTTCAAGATATTAAATTATGAAGTTAAATTTTCTTTTAGTCATGTTTGATATCTGGCTCTTTAAAGGAACCAGTTTTGTTAGGGCTTTGTGACAGAATGATTCATCGTGAAGCTGGAAATAACCAAAAGTAGATGGGCACACTGACACTAGTGTCCCCTACTGTGCACCTTGGTGGTAATGATTGGCTATAAGTGGTTTCCATCTGACCATTCTCTTCACACAATTGCTGCTTATTGGATAGTTTATCTCTTCCTCTGACCATACTTTCCAAATGATGGAGGTACGTAGACCAACAGTTTTGTGAAACAGTCAGACATTTATGTCAGGCACCAAAAGCCATGCTAAATTCAAAGTCACCAAATTCCTATTTTTTCTTTCATTTTAACATTTGTTCTGGATTCCAGTAAGTCTTCTTAATCGCCTTGATTTGCCTCAATGAATGGAGTTCCTGCCTTCTCACTAACTGACTGTATTTATGTTGACAAGCAATTGAAATCGTGTCACACAGAATGACCCTGGAGTGTTTATGTAGAGGTTATCATTCAAGGTGGTGAAAATGCGACTATTGTTTCAGGTGATGTGCACCATCGTGTGATCCCAGACCCTGGCCTGGTCAATGCTCGGACACTGGATCTGCTAGTCAATGCAATCGCCATCAACAGCGCCTACACCTCCAAGATCTTAGTGAGTAACCCTCTGACAAATGCAAACATTTGTTCTTTAAAGCAGCACTTTTTTAAAATAATAAGAACCTGGGAATAATGTTGTCTTCTTTAAAGGGGACTTATTTTCTAAAATTTACATTTTGCATGTTTCTATATTTCCACTTGGCTTCTGAAAAGTATTTAAAACAACCCACCCAGTCAGTCATTAGAAATAAGTTATGAGCCATTTTATAAACTTATGGAAATCAGCAGGCACTGTCCCTCACCTCACAACCCCAGGGCACTTTGCCTGTCACCTCGCAACGCAAGCAGAGCTCCAACATATTTGGTCAGCTGGTTTTACCACCGTATGTGCTGTGCAATAATTGATGGTTAAAGACAAGCGTTTTATTGTTGACCTACCCATAACCACTTGCTTCATTATGGTTGGTTGTGCAGGAGGCTCCACTTTTGCTTTTCAAAGTTTATATAATTGTGTTATTTTGCAGATATTTTCACATGCTTGTGACCCATCCTAACCTGTTCAAGGAAGCATAACAGCTCACCTTTAAATCATTTGCTGTTTCATTCATCTGTCCTTCCTTTTCTGTCTCTTCCTCTCTGCCTCTATCATGCTAATTTGCATCACCTCTATTCTTTAACAGCCACCGGATGTGGAGGGGGGTCTAGCCAAGCAGGTGGGCAACAAAACAGAGTGCGGCCTGCTGGGACTGATCTTAGACCTTCAGCGGGACTACACCACTGTAAGAGAGCAGATCCCTGAGGAGAAACTCTATAAGGTAGAAAATCACAAACCAAATTCAGTTTCTAACATAACAAGTATGTAAGACACCTGGTAGATAGAAAAAAACATTTGATTTTCTTTTAGATCTTTCTTTTTGCGCCCTCCTTTTTCATTTGCAGGACTTTTAAACACTAGTCAGTTTTAGAATGCACTATAAATTATGATCCCCTTCATCAGAACATCTTCAGTTTCCTCACACCATGCACAAATATGTCCTGTTTTTGACTTAAACAACTAAAATGAAAATGCAAGAAAAATTCTTCAACTAAAACCTGTTGCATCTGAAGAAAAAAGCAGTTTTTATGTACAATAGTTGTGAACAGGTTTAAGCCCAAACTTATCTCGTCTTGGGATGTTTAAAGTAGTTTGTATTATGGCTCCATGAAAAAACTGTTTTGCGGTACTTGGCAATATAATTGCTGAATGAAAATACTGATTATCCCACATTTTCCAGGTTCTTTTTTTTTATTTCCTTCTTCACAATGTTCCCTACCTTTGTTAGCTTTAGCATCCCAGCCTAAAAAAAATCTACATAATGGGTGGATCAATGGCAGGAAATCCTCATCCAACAGGCCTAAATATATTATTGATATGACAAATTTGCATGCCTGTTGCTTTACGCCCAATATCTTATTACGCCCAACTGGTCTTTTGCAAATGTGACACATAGATATTGACACATAAAATAATAATTAGAATTTGATACTTTATGCAGATTTAGTTACTGTTCCTCTTTATCAATCATCTTTCTCTCTCAGGTGTACACATTCAACTCAGTGCGCAAATCTATGAGTACGGTGATCAAGCTGCCTGATGGTACCTTCCGCCTTTACAGCAAAGGAGCCTCTGAAATCCTATTGAAAAAGTGAGTGGTGCTTTCAATTCAAGTCCTTCATTTTTATTACAGCTGTTTTAAAATTCAGTCCCACTGATTTGCTTTCTCGTCAATCAAAGATGTCCAAAAGCAGCGAATGAAAGCAAATTGTGTTGAAGTTTAGCGAAAAGTTTCAGTGTATCGCCAAAAATGTCATTCTTTGTTTTCTCTCTCAGGTGTTCCTACATCCTGGATGCCAATGGAGAACCTCGCAGTTTTCGTCCACGTGACAGAGATGAGATGGTCAAACAGGTGAGGCTGATTCATGGGTGCATATTTAATCATTTAACTCTATAATCAGAGACAATAGTTCTGGAGACAGACACTGATGAACTGTAAAAGTACATCTCCTGGTGGTAAACCCGAGCTGAACTTTGATTAAAAGTTGTTCAGTGGGGAAGCAGGCGAGAGGCTCTGCAGATCATATTCATAATTTCAAAGAAATGCTGTGACTCAGAATTCCTCATTGCTGCTATATTTGAACTAGATTTCATTCTTCTTTTTAAATGAAATTGCTGCAAAAATGAACAGCTTGATCTTTTCAGCTTACACTTAGCAATATAGCAAATACAAATTTGGTGGCACATTTATAGCTTTTAAGTACCTGCTTTTAAACCTGATAGTTGGCTGTGCCATCTCTCCCTGCCAGGGTTTGCTTGACTTCAGTCTAATCTGACCAGGCCACTACAAAATCAAGATTTTTGACCTTGCTGGTGTTCAGATCATTGACCTGCTGCATTAACCATATGTTCCCTTTCTGAGTTTTCTGGTTGAGGTTTATGGTTCCATTAAGGACAGTTTCACACCTCAAGGTGACCCATGCAAGCTTAGAACAAATCAATGTGTGGATGTGCCATAATTTTCTGAACATTTTCAGGATTAAAGGGTTGATGTCCCAGCAAGATCCAGAGAATCTCATCCATGCATTTATCTTTAGTCACATTGATTACTGTAACAGCATCTTTACAAGTCTGCCTAAAAACATCAGGCAGCTGCAGCGGATCCAGAATGCTGCTGCTCATGTTCTCACTAAAACCAGGTAGACAGAGAGCACATAAAACTCGATAATGTTGTAAAGAGTGCACTGCAGCTGACGCTGTCTGATTACTTTGATCAAAATTATTGTCCACATTCACGGTTTAAGCTTTCATTTTTACACTAAGGTTATTCAAACCTCCACAAACATGACATTTAAACAAAAATGTGACTTCAGCTTTGGCAGACTTACATTTTCAAATGTGCTATTTTAACAGTCTTGTTACATGTCAAAATAGCTCCATCTGCTTTACTGTAATACAAATGTTAGCAAACAAATGCATGTATTTGTGAATTTTCTGAGAGTTTGCAGCCCAAGCGTGGTGTAACTGACTGACAGGCGGACACATCTAAATTTGGCTCATGATGAACACAGTTTGTGCCGTGAGAAAAATAACTGCTCCTTCCACGACTTGATTCCAGCTCAGTAGTTGAGTTTGCGTTGTGGCAGCTTCATGTCACCTCGTTTCTGTGTCACGCTGTGCCGTCTGCGGCAAGCCGGGGGTCTTTCCCTTCAGCTGCGTCACATTGGATCCATCATGAATACACCTCAAACCTCATGTCTGCTTTACATATCGGAATCTAAATGACTGGTGAAGTCAGCATTGTGATGTGTTTTATTAATTGACTGCTAGGTGATTGAACCAATGGCCTGTGAGGGATTGAGGACCATCTGCATCGCCTACCGTGATCTGCCATCAAATCCGGAGCCAGAATGGGACAATGAGGCGGAAATTGTGACAGAGCTGACCTGCATCACTGTGGTTGGAATAGAGGACCCTGTTCGGCCCGAGGTACGTGGCTCTGACGGGGTCCTGAAGTTTTGCAGTACATGAAATCTTTTAAATCTGAAATATGATTGGCATGTTGTTTCTGTCTAAATAAATTCCTTTGGCCTTTTCAAGGTGCCTGAAGCCATCCGGAAGTGTCAGCGCGCGGGTATCACAGTGCGGATGGTCACTGGTGACAACATTAATACAGCAAGGGCCATTGCTGCCAAGTGCGGCATCATACACCCTGGAGATGAGTTCATCTGTCTGGAGGGAAAAGAGTTTAACCGGCGAATCAGGAACGAGAAGGGGGAGGCAAGTTTGGGTCTCCGTCAAGTTAAAAGGAACTTCAATGCTCCAACCAAGATGCATTTCTTTCTGTATGTACAATACAGACGTTTTAAAAACAATCCTAGTTTCTTCATGATCAATCTAGTTCTTTCGGATGTTTCAAAGCTCATTTTTAGCTGCTGTAGATGCAGGATGAAGCTCCTCTCAGGTCCTGTTTCAGGACTTAACTAGATGTTTTTTTTCCTTTTACTTATAAGTAATTACAGATAGATTGTATTTAAATTAATACCAAACCACCAGGGAACTACAGATGAAAATTATCTCTTGTCTCTAAATCTGGCATATTTACAAGGTCGTTCAAATGGACTCATGTTGATTAATATGCACTGTCCCTTATGAAATAAATTCAAATTCAATTTCTGATAGATATAAATTGCCATTAGGCGATATAGTTTTTATGACTTCTTACTATAATAAAAATTTGCAACATAAAAAATAGCAGCCAAAGTAAAACAATTTTTCTATTGGAGTCATTTAAAGAAGTCTGACTGATATGAAGCTTAATTTAAAAACAATTAAAAGTGTCTCTTCATCGTAATTTGTAGATTTAGTTCTCAGACGCCCTTTCGCCAGGGAGGATTTGTACATTTATTTCTGGCCTCCTGTTGCTCTAGTTAAAAAAAAAAATGACATAAAAAGATACCAGAACGACATTCAAAAGCTTTTTCTAGCCTTCCTCATCTGTGCTGTCTTTAGTCATTCACATTAGAAGCAGAGGTGACGTCATACTGTGTGGGAGAGGCGTTTTTGTAAGATAGGACTCGAAGATTATTTTAAAACATGCACAGATTGATTGGAAATTGATAACATAAAACAAATCAAAGCAGCATTCTTGTATCAGCTGAAAGTCTCACTGAATAAACTCAAAATATTTCACGTTGTTTAAACAACTTCTGACAAATCACTGCTTCGTCTTTAAAACTTCAGACAAAATAACCTTGACAATTTATAACTTAAAGTTTTCTTCTATTTGTAAGAAGATTTGCACAAAAGAGTGTTCTTGATATTTCTAACAGAATCTCTTCAGTAAGAAATGATGTCAGTCGTCAGACAAAGAAAATGGTTTTATTGGCATCAGTATCGGTAAATGTTAGCCATTTCTTGTCCGTATATGAGTGCTCTGGAAAAGTGACTCTTTTAAAAATATTATTGTGTATAAAGGCACTTAACTGTACAGCTTTTCATTTCTTTTTCTATTGAAAAATGTATGAAAGGTGGCAACACAAAGACAGGCTGATTACTCTAAGAAATGGAAATGGAAATAGAGTGAAATATTCACCACAATAAGGTTTCTATTGCAGCTTTGTCCTGAAGTTGCTGAATCCACTGAGGTCAGAGCACAGAATTAAAAACAACATTTATTCAGAATACTTTCATCCAGCCCATTTAGCTGTATAATTTGAATTTAGCAGAATGCTTAATGAGATAGCTCACTGATTAGTGGTGTGGCTTTGCGTTTCTAAGGAGTGTGAATTTAAATATACTCCCTAAAACGTAGGTGTAAATCCTAATTATGCCAGCCGTCTGCGGCTGATTGAATGGGAGCTCAGAGCGCAGTGTCTCTCTGATCCTGGTTCCTCCATAGAGCCCAGGATTAACAGTGACATCTAGCGAAGCACCGCTGAGTTGGTTCTTCTGTGTTAATCTTCATCACACGTGCTTCCTTCTCGTCTACAGATTGAACAGGAACGTATAGATAAAATCTGGCCCAAGCTGCGCGTACTGGCTCGGTCCTCGCCGACAGACAAGCACACACTGGTTAAAGGTGAGGCTCCAGGGTTTGAACACCGAAGCACAAGTGTGTTTAGAGATCACAGGAACATTTTGAGCCTGTTTTGCTCTCCTCCAGGCATCATTGACAGCACCGTTGTGGAACAGAGGCAGGTTGTCGCGGTAACAGGAGACGGGACTAATGACGGACCAGCTTTGAAGAAGGCTGATGTGGGCTTTGCCATGGTAAGCTGATCCATAATTATTCACCTATAATGTTCATGAGCTGCTAAAGGCCCACTATGCCTCCATTTGTGTTGGTGTGTTTACAGCTGAAGCTTTAAGTGGCTCTTTATGTGCTGGGCCAGGCTGATGTGGAATTGGCACTTTGTGGACAGAAAAAATGGCTCGTTTCCTGCAAATGTGCATGAATTACCACAGCAGAATGGCAGTAGTCCTTATGTCCTTATTTTTTTTTATGTTATTAAACTCAAATTATGTGGTTAATTTGTTTCAAACTCAGAAAATTATGTTGTTCATTTACAAAAATGTGAAGGACATTACTTCTGTATTTTTTTATATTAACTTTGCATTTTATAAATGTAGAAATGTATATATAATCTATGTAAATTATATAAAATATTGTTTATTTAAATTGTGTTTTCATCTAAAATCTGGCGATTCAACAATTATGATTTTGCAGCTGATTTTCCACACTCCAGGTTTTGTAAAACTTTACCATGTTTATTATGTAACACTCTTAAAAAAGATCACATGGTTGACCAAAGTACTGCAAAATAGTACTTTTGCACAAACACAATTAAAATTGTAATGACTAACGTAGCACAATCAAATCTGAGCAAACAGTACAGTCATACAGGATTGACATTATGTTAAAAGTTAAATTATTAAAAGTGGGTTTTCAAGCGAGATTTTAAATTCTCAACTGAGGGAGTTTGTCTTATGTGTCGAGGCAGCTCTTTTCAGAGCTTTGGGACCACAACAGAGAAAAACTGATCACCTCTCAGTTTCCTCTGTGACTTAAGAGCCTCCTGGAGGATCTGGTCAGGTAACCCAAGGGAGGAGGCTTAGGGGTGCAACAGACTGGAAAAACATGCTGGTGCATCAAGAGACTTAAGAAACAAGTTAAAGAGCTTTATGACTGACCTTGAAATTTACAAGCAGCCAGTGCAAAGAGGCTAACGCTGGACTGATGTTCTCCTATTTGATTGCACCCATTAAGAAGCATGCTGCACTGGAAGTGACCTCACTAATTTCTGTTAATAAAAAGAGGAACAATAATCCAACCAGAAGGTTTTGAAAGGATGGATTACAAATGAAAGAGGATGATTTTATCACAGCATTATTGTTGCTATCAAACCTGCAGGCATCTATCTGAACACCTAAGTTGGCGACAACAAGATTCAAATGAGGGCTCAAAGTAGAGAGATCAGCTCAGGGGGGAAGCTTTTGGGACTGAATAAACAAAATGTTTGTTAAAATAAAAAAATAAAAAATTACGGCCTATGATGATTCGGTGTCGGCAAAACAATCAAGAGGAATCACAATACTTGGTAAAATGATGTGTTTGCAGTGAAAAAGACCTCTTTCTCCTTGATTGTCACTTCTAAAACATCCAGTATCAACCAGATCAGACTTGAGCTTTTTATGGATGAAAGTTTTAGAAATTGGAGGGTTGATCTCTCCGTCCTCTACACAGATTGTGAACCAGCTGATTGCTGTCTGAGGAAGACCTCCACAGTGACTGAAGTGAACCTTGACTCATGTCACATCCCTCTGTCAGCCAATGGATTTCTGACATGACTTGTTGGTTAAATTTGGCAGGTGGTTTAGCTGTCAGTGACTAAAAGAGGCAACTGCCTTTACAGTTCTCTTGTTCTCTGTTACAAGTTTTTATTTTACACAAGAGGCCGAAACACACATAAGGTCGTGGGTCCTCCCGGCCCGAAAGGTTCTACAGTCAATGCGCTTACTCACGCCAAGTGGCAGCGCTCAGAGGCAGAGCAACACGATATCGAGACAGTGGCATTCCAAAGTAATTTGGATGCTTGAACGCTCGCATGAATCATGTCATGAGTCGTGTTCCTCTCACTCCGTCTCAATCTCTGCCAGGGTATCGCCGGGACAGACGTGGCTAAAGAGGCGTCCGACATCATCTTGACTGATGACAACTTCAGCAGCATTGTCAAGGCCGTGATGTGGGGACGAAATGTCTACGATAGCATCTCCAAGTTCCTGCAGTTCCAGCTCACGGTCAACGTAGTAGCGGTCATCGTGGCCTTCACTGGGGCATGCATCACTCAGGTGGACATATTTCTTAACACTTATACATGCTGACAAACATGCAAAGACACACACACACACACACACACACACACACACACACACACACACACACACACATACGCCTATACATAATGCGGACACATAAATGTCACTTCTGGAAGATTCACTCACCTTAAATCTGGGATGACAAGGCAAAGCAGGAAATGCTTTTATTGCATTTTTAAACTACCCTTTGTAAGCAGAGATGTCCTGGCACTTGCAAAGAATCACAGTCATTCATTTGAAAGGAATGTCAAACTGCACACATGGATGTATGTGTTAAAAATACATAGAATTTTCTTCATATAACTGTTATTAAAATAAAGTTATATGACAGGTATATCACAAATAAAACAACTGGATCTGTGACAGAAGCAATATAACAGAGCAACATGTATGTGGTAATGTGGGACACAGGGCAACACAAGACGAGATTTTAATCAAGACTTGATTAAAATAAATACATTTATTACATAAATACATTTATGTAATAAATGTATTTATTACATAAATACATTTATGTAAATACATTTACCATAAATGTACTTACCATACATTTATGGTAAATGTCTCAAACTTTACAAGTTGCGTGTTTAATTAACCGTCATCAGGCCCAGGTTTGTCTCTTCCATATTTTTACATTTCTACTCTTGTCTAATTCGGAGTTGATTTTAATGCCAAAAGTTGAACATTCTTCCTGGGTACTTTCACTAATATATAAAAAATGTTTCATGATAATCTGAAATTATGTTTGAAGGTTTTGCTGCTCAGTGCAGAGGTCTAATCAGTCTAAGTAGATTTTGAGGGAGTGATTTTTGAAAGCATTTCCAGGAGGGAGATTCTCAGTGCTCTGTCACCATCACTTTTTAATAAAGTTTCCAAAACAAAGACAAAGGCCCAAAATCAAGGCATTCAATTTTAGAGGATGTATACTCCATTTAATGACTGATTCCTAAATTACTTAATAATTATTTCAATAATCAATTAATCCCAATTAATCTGATCAATCATTTCAGCCCTACATTTCAACAATGAGTCTGATAGCCATAGACCTCTGTATCATCTCAACATGGTTTGTGAAACAGGAAAATGTCTCTGCAGGATTCTCCTCTGAAGGCGGTGCAGATGCTTTGGGTGAATTTGATCATGGACACGTTTGCCTCGCTCGCTCTGGCCACCGAGCCCCCGACTGAAGCCCTGTTGCTACGAAAACCCTACGGCCGAAACAACCCGCTCATCTCTCTCACCATGATGAAGAACATCCTCGGCCACGGAGTGTACCAGCTGGTCATCATCTTTACGCTGCTGTTTATAGGTACAAATTCAAGCAAATGCATTTTTACCAAGTTCCCAATCCATTCTAACTATCTATCCATCTAAGCATGCAGCCAATCTAAACCTTCTTGCAGTTCATAGAAAGTTAACCTGGAAAGACTGAAAGTGACATAGAAAGTGCCAAATGGGAGAAACTATTTCCCCGCTCAAGCTAAAGTTGAAAAGATATATTCACAAGTTCAAACATGGATGTTGTTTGTGCAACTGAAAATGTCAGATTACTTTTGTCAAAGAAAGCAACAGAACATAATTCTGCCCAAGTAGAGACACACACACAAATAGCCAGCCAGCCTAGCAGGGTCTGACTCACTGGATGTCTGCTGTTGGTAATTGGCCTGGTCATACTTGCTTGAGAATGCTCAAACGAACAGCGACACGCAACATGGCTGTTTTTATTTCACTTCTCTTCAAGTGAGTATAACGGGCTTTTTCTGGACATGTAACTTCAAGGACAATAGATGTCCAAGGACAGCAGGAAAATCCAAATAAAAATAAAGAGTTATGTCCTTTACTCGTGCAGCAAACTCTCTGGGTTTTATTCAGAGGATTCAGAATTTCAAAGTGGCTGCTAGAATAGTTATCCAGGCTTTCTAAAGCCTTCTGAGAATTAAGCTGCTTTTGGTAAACCTTGTATTAGTTAGTGGTTAGTGTTTTTTACAACACTAGGTTGACCTGTAGCTGAAAGCATTTCTCTGCATTGTGTGTGAAAAATGTTTTTACAGCAGATGATCAAATATATCATGTTTTTAAGATTCAGAAGAAGCTAATTAATATCATAATAAGATCGTTCAGTTGATCGTCTGTTGGATAGCATATTTTCAACTAAACTATAAAATATTAAAATCTTATTCAAATTGAATTCCTGTGTTTTGACATCATTAATTTTGACAGGCACCTGGTGAAAAGAAGTACCAATTGATCCAGTTTGAAACTGAACCGATTTGCTTAGCTTCCAATACTAGTTCATTTGTTCAGTTTAGATTCATTTCAGTTTATTTATATAGCACTAATTCACAACACGTCATCTGAAGGCATAAAAAAAATCCCTTCAGTCCAATTATACATACAATCCAAATGACAGATAACAAACGGTGCATTAAGTTCAGTTCACTGTTTAAATCAGTGTAAGAAGATTTCTGTCTAAGAACATTTTCTATGCAAAATGAAGTACTAAACTGGCAGTGGCCAAGTTTTGAGCTGCAAACCAAAACACAGACAATTGCAGCATAATGTTTCCTCTCTTTCACCCACCAGGCGAGCGCATGTTTAACATCGACAGCGGTCGCAACGCGCCGCTCCACTCCCCGCCCTCTGAGCACTACACAATCATCTTCAACACCTTCGTCCTCATGCAGCTTTTCAACGAGATCAACGCTCGCAAGATCCACGGAGAGAGAAATGTCTTTGACGGCATATTTGGCAATCCCATCTTCTGCTCCATTGTTTTGGGGACCTTTGCAGTGCAGGTCATATTAACCCTTTGACAGACATTCAAAAAAAAACATATTGCTATGTTTGTTGTATAGTGTTTTGCTTTTAATTCAATTTCAATTAAATTTAAATGCAATTTATCTATATGAGCCCAATTCACAGCACTTACTGTCTCAAGGCAATATATTCCTTTCTTTTTTCACTTCCTGAGTCTTGCCTCACTTCCTTGTGTCTTTCTTCTACTCCCCTTTCTTTCTTTCTTTCTTCTTTCCATCTGTTCTTCACTTCTTGTGTTGTACATTCAATTTATTTCTTCCTTTCCATCCTTATATCACACCTCCCTTAATTTGTTTCTTCTTTCCTCCCTTGTGTTTTTTTTTCCTTTTCTACCTTTCTATCACTCTTTCCTCATCACTTCTTTGCATCCTTCCTCTTTCTGGTTTTGGCTATATTTTAAGAAATATTTGTAGAAATATCTGCAACCTGTCAGGACTTGTTTCATGCTTTAATAGAAACCTCAAGGACTGAAAACACTGGAAATTTGAGTTTGAAGAAGGACAAAATTTTTAAATGACAAATGTTTGCTGGAGTATAAAAATTATTGTAATATTATAAATATTGTAGTGATACACTTGACAAACACTGTCAGAAATCTACAGTGACTAAACCAGGCGAAGCATTTTGTGTTTCATAATTATTCCAGTGACGGCTGCTGTGTGCAGCTCTGCTGCGTGTTTCCATGTGTCAGAGTGATGACATTCTCCTACCTTGTGCTTCTGCTGCAGATTGTGATCGTGCAGTGGGGAGGGAAGCCCTTCAGCTGCGCCCCTCTCAATGTGGAGCAGTGGCTCTGGTGTCTGTTTGTGGGTGTTGGAGAGCTGCTGTGGGGGCAGGTAGGAAGCTTCTCAGCCTGCTGTGTCTTATCAGTCAGCAGTGATCAGCCTGGGTTTCCCTCAGAGGAGACCAAAGGAAATATTCATAAACTAAGTCTTCTCTGATGGAGCCCAACGGCCCAGTGTAGTGGCAACTGTGTTAGAAAATTTTGTCCAGTTGGTCAACTTCTTTTCCTAAGCTCTTTTATAATTTCTCACACATCTTTTAAAAAATCTAATATAAGAAGAAAACATATGTGCTGTAATAAGACTTACACAGAGCTGTAATGTGAGTTTCTAGTGTAAAAAAAAGAAACTGACACTAGTACAAAATGGTTTTAAAAAATATTTCCAATCAATTACACATACATTCAAATTAGTCCTAGTTATCAAACAGTTCATTAAGTTTAGTTTATTATTAGTTTCAAAAGTTCAAACTTTTTAACTACTGAAATTCACCAGAGACTCTAAGAGAATCTAGTGGAGAGGAATGACTTCCCCTGTGCAAGAAGGACTTGGCTTCCTTAAAACCTCAACTCTGACTTTATCTACATCAAGTTGTTTTCCCACTATTTAAAATGTTGCTGGAGTCTTTTCCTCACCAGTTATAGTGTTCAGCATTCTGTGTCAAGAGCCATCACAGTATGTCCATCTTACCTGCGTATTATATCGACACTCTGAGTTAAGGGGAACTTTGACACAGCTACTCTTCCAGTTTACTGCCTCAGGTTGGTTCAGCTGTGTCTTCTGCCTTCATGTTGAAACTTCTTATAAAGTCCCTTATACTTGTGTTCTGAAATGCTCCTTTTAGTTTGCATAGCCTGCATGTGGTGTGGCTTCTGTAAGTCATTTTCTCCTTCATGCAGAGGAAACAGGATCCTGCGTATATGAACTGTCTGGCGACTGAGTTCCGCCATCTGCATTACTCAAAATTAGGTCATAAATTAACATGAAGATAATTGAGTTTTGACATTTGTTAATTGGGTCAGAATCTGCCATTTCCGCATCTCGAATCATCAAAATAGATTTCATACTTCCCGCCCCTGGCATCGCAGTTCTGTGCACAGTTGAGTGTTTGGATGGATCTGGATCTGATGAAGTATCGGCAAAACAGCAAATACAAACTGAGGTTACTTGCTTTGTGTGGCTGTGGGAATTTCCCAGCAGAAGGATACGGAAACACTGTTTTCTAGGGGTTTGTAGAAAAGGTCTTATTCTCAGGTATTGCAGGAAGAGATGCAATGAAATAAATGAAGAATTTTTCCCTAAAAGACTCTGGAGTGGGACCAGGTGGGTGGCACGTCATGCCACAAGCAGGAATGTGTTTTCTGACTGTCACACTAACCACATTTCAGCAAGGAGGAAATGTTTTTCACCCAAAGGCCCCAGAGATGCCTCCAAAATCCATCAACCACAAAAAGGGCACTTAAAAAATTTATTTAAACTATCATAAGCATAAAAATTAAAAAAATCATTGCAGAAATACATTCACATTCAGGCATTAATATTAATCATTATTCATAAACTGTATTTTGTAGGTACTGAAAAACAGTGACACAAATCGTCTTTTCTTGTTGGTCTCAAATTTGGAGATGTGAAGCACTTTAGTCAGTGCCAGCTATTAGAAAAAATATAGTAAGATAAGGTTTTGACTATTTTCCTGCACGTTGATATTTTCAATCTTCTCTTTCATAAAAGAAAGAGATACCATAATACCAGAAATGCCCTCGATTAACTAAAACCTGCTGACACTAGAGAGCGCCACTAAAAATGCTTCTAACTATTTTATTGGTTCAAACATCAAATTTACCTTATTATGCCTTCATAGATGCAACAGAAACTGTTTTAGCCAAGAAGCTAACATTCACAGTTATCTTTATTTTCACTCCAGGCTACTCTGCTAGATAGTTTTACTTCCCAATCTATATTTGTTTTTGATTATTTTTCACAGAAGTAGAACCAATAATTGGCAAATTCTCATATTTAATTTGGAGTTGTGCTCCACACAAAAATCCGCAAATAGTTGAATACACAAATACTGAACCTTGAATATTTATTCTGAAATTGGCAGGATTATAATCTGGCCTTATCCAGAACTGCTTTGTTTCTCCTTTATAATCACTGAACTGATTGTATTAATACCAACAAATGTGTTTCACAGGTGATTGCCACCGTGCCAACAGAGCGGCTGCCATGTCTGAAAGAAGCTGGGCTGGGCCTGGAGCCTGGGGAGGAGGAAGGAGAGGAGCTGGCGGAGGATGAGGAGGAGATTGACTGCGCTGAGCGAGAGCTGCGTCGCGGACAGATCCTGTGGTTCAGAGGCCTCAACCGTATCCAGACTCAGGTACCACATGACCGGACCTCCAGTTCAATCCGTAACCATTACTTTGTCACAGGAGCACACACGGACACCCAGGCATTTCAACCTGAACCTTCACTCGGCCATGACACGTGTGCAGTTTGTTTGAGGAGATTTACCGAAAAAGGACATCTGCACCTGAGCAATTTATTGTGCATGATGTTTGCACTACTTTCATCAAGTGGTTAATAAATGAATGCAAATCATTCAGCATTACTTGTGTAAGGTTGCACAAACCCAAATAAACTGCCAGTATCATGGTCTTCTCATGCTAACGAAGCAGACTTTTGTAAAGAGATAAAGAACTTCTTAGAACCTCTCTTTATTTTTGAGCAATTGTAGAAAACTTCATGGTCTTTATCTGACTTGTTCTTACTCTTCAAAAGTCAGTCTATCTCATCCAGTCTCTGCTGTTCTTCTGTATTGTGCCAAACATAATAATTTCTTTTCTCTCCGACACAGCTGACATTTCTGTTCTACCTAAATCCTCTCGAAATGGGTTTCTCTATCTTGGAAGTGGTACCAGAGAAGCACATGGTCACCATGAGGGGGATAAATGCTGTGGCTGTTTATCTGTGTTCCTGTGTGCGTGTGTAGGGGGTGGGGGGGTTGTGCGAGTGTGTGTTGCCGCACATGTGCGTGTGTGTGAGGAGGGTGGGGGGGGATAATGTTGGGTGTATGAATGTGTGTGTGTGTGTGTGGAAAGGATGATTCTTAGTCTCCAAGGTGCTTGAGTTTTTTATCTAATGATCTCAGTGTCGTATGTGAAGATGAACATTTACCTGCATGAATGCAAGCTCTTCTCAGAGCTTCTTAAGTGCCTCCCTTACATGTGCTCAGTCGTCAATGAGAGTGTTTGCTCTGAACACAGAAATATGCAAATAGGCCTATACCACCTTAAACCAAGTCTTTTCCACTTGAGCAGCCAGATTTTCTTGTCATCTTGTAAAGAGGTCTCAATAGCTGGGTAGGTCTGCCCTGGGCCCACATCTTTTAAAAAGCATAGATGTATCTTTGGTAGACTATTTCTAGATAACTTTTAAATATGAGAGCACATATTTGATAGACCATAATCCTCCACCCAAATCAGTGGGTGGAGATTTTTTTTTTGCAGATATAAAGTTTTGAATCTGTGCAAAAAATAATTTTCTTTGAAGCCACACTGGCTTTGCCTGTCATCTGCATATAGTCAAATAAAAGTTCTTATAGCATCATAGCATTTAAGCAAGTTGGCTTTTATTATGTTCTTTTTATTTTTATCTTGTGAGACTTTCCTCTTAAGCAAATTTTGAGACACAATTAGACATCATAATTGCATTTTGTGAGGTTGGTGGAGGCTATCGCTAACATCCTGCTAATATACCATTGCTAGCTGGCTAACCAGCTTTTTAGAGCAGCTACACAGCCAGAAGGCTGGATCAAGTTTCTATGTTTCTTTGGAGAGTTAGCTCTTCTATACATTCATAATGATCTTAAATGGTCTTAAAGATGGTGAAACTTGCAGAAGCCCTGTCTCAGTTGCATCCAATGTTTTAAAACATTAGGAGCCATTTTATTTTATTATTTGGATATGGTCAGAGACTGAGCTGAAAATTAATGAATTTCAAAAAACGATTCCAAATAATACATATATATTTTTTTAATCTTCTGAAAACTTGGAAAACTATTGATGAGGACTAATTTTGAAGATTTGAAGAAAGTGCAGCTGCATGGCAGGAAAATGTAATCAAACAAGAGATGACCCAAGACTTTTGCATAACAGTGTTTTTAGTGAGGTTAGGGGAAAAGGAAAGGGAAGAGAACCAAGGCCCCCAGAAAACATTTCCCTAATCACGAACACACTCGCAGGCCGGCCCCTCCCGCCCTCACCGAGTGATGCTGCTGTTTTGTCTCTGTCCTGCAGATGGAGGTAGTGAGCACATTCAAGCGAAGCGGTTCGTTTCAGGGAGCAGTGAGACGGCGCTCCTCCGTGCTCAGTCAGCTCCACGACGTAAACACTATCTCTACCCCCTCTCACGTAGCTCTCTCCACCGCAACAGCCAATACCAGCCCAGCTCCTGGGAGTGAGTTCGCCGAAAGCATGTACACACATCTCCCACACACACACACATACACACGCACGCACACGCACCCAGGTACTTGCACACACTCATCCACAGACACAAACACATGTTTACACACTGCTGCACGGCACGTGGACTGCGGTATTTTTACTCTCTCTGGTTGTGTCCCCTCCGGCTCGCCCGCTGCTCGTGTGTGTGCAATGTCTCCTCTGTTTTTTGGCTTTTCCTTCTTACTCTCCCGTTGGAACAGCACCCAGTCCCGACCGGCTGTGTGGTTCTGGTCTGATCTGGACTGGTCCAATCCCAGTGTGGCTCTCAGGCCAGAGTTCGTTTTGTCATTGAGTGTTGGTTCGTGCAGGAGGCGGCTGACTGCTCACTCTCTCACTCTTTCTCTCTCTGTACGAGGCGACCCATGACACGCTCTTCAAACACAGATTGGGACTGATCACTAATTTAAAAAAAAAGAAGACAATTGATTTTCAGATGTCAGCGGAGTCCTGAAGCTCAGGGAGTGAGCAGCAGCTCCTCCTGCACCACCTATTCTTCTGTTTGCATATGAGGTCAAGCGTAGTTCTTTTGGTTTTGTTTACTCCTAACATCTCTAACAAGTGGTGTCATTTCTCTACTCTTAAAAAAAAAGAAAATATTCTGTAACTGTCATGTGATGACATTTTAAAAATGGTACATTATATCTCACTGCATTCAATTCATATTCATCACCAAATGGCTTCCATATGGCTTGTGTTAAGATGTAAACCTTCGAGTATAAAAGCCCATGCCTCGCTGCTTTTTCTAAGAGTAAAAGCATAAGGAGCACTTCCCTTTTCCCCTCTCACTCTTGGTTCCTCTCTCCTTCCTCTGCTGCTGTCTTTTGTTTGGTTCTGCAATGTTGTCAACTGGTTAATTATGTAACAGTATTTCCAGCTCTGACGTCACACGTTTGGGTACCCCGCGCCCCCCAACCCTGCCCCGACGTCTCCAGAAAGTCCCGACTTCTTCCTCTCTGTCCTGATCTGGGTTTTTTTTTTTTTTTTTTTTGTTTACACTCCCTCTTTTTCTCACCATCACAGCTCTCTTTCTTCTTTGTTCTCTATCTATGAAAAGATACAGGTTCCCGTTTGCGGAAAAGCACTCCTCGAAATGTCTTCTGATTGTTCTTCATACGTAGAGCTGTTCTGTTGTAGAGCTATTTAGATTGTAACGGATCTAAATGCAGGCTCTTATGTGTAGCATATTGATAAGATTTATTTAGTCCACTTTCCTTCCTTTTTCCATCCTGTTTTCACCCCCCGTTTTTTTGGATCTCACTTCATCCTTTTCGTCATCCTCCCTTGTTCTTAATAATATAGCTACCACACCTCATCTTTTTTTTCTCTTATTTATTTTTTATTTTTTGAATGTCAGTTCTGCGTGCGTCTGTTTGGAAGCGTGCTAAGATGTGAGTGCGTGTGCATACATGTCGGTAAGCCGCAGCTTGACCCTTGCAGTTACCTTAATAGTGCTTGTATGCCTGTGAATAAGTGTGTGCATGCATGTGTGCTGTCTCTTCATTTGGTTGTCTTCATCTGCCTTCTCAGTTGCTTATCCTTACCTTCCTTGCTCCTCTCCGTCAAACCCTCCCCACCTCCCACCTCATTCTGCCCCACGCTGACCGTCCTCCACCCATCCCCCTCCTCCCTTCATCACCTGCGGTGGTAGAAATAGAAAGGCCTGGGTCGATTGTTGTCATCCTGCACAGTCATGAGGACACACCTGAGCTTCATGTTCAGATTAAACATCCTTCACTTTGGCTCTTTGTAACAACATGAACAACAAATGTGTTCAGATTTGTAAAAATTGGCTGCCAAATGAAAGAAGATAGTCTAAATGTTGAAGGAGGGATGTTCAGTCAGTGTGGAGCTTAGCCTCAGGTCGGGCCTCTGCCAGCTCATTGCTTGCTGTTTTAATTCTTTGAGTGTATTTTTAACAGGCTTGGTTCTGATTGTCACTCAGTTCTGGACTGCGACATAGTTTGCAGCCTCCGTTTTGTGGTTCAGTCCCGTACTCAGACAAACAAATCAGGAGGGGAATGCAACTAAATTTGTATTTTACATGATGCAGGTTTACTTCTCTCTGAATCATGTTGCCAAGCAGCCCACAGGCGAGTGAAACACACAGATGTTTTTAGTGGTTTGAACTCTCAGAAAAGGAGTGTAGCTGGAGCTTTATGTATCTGTATCAGTCTCGATTATCTTTAAACAATATCTTCAGTTGAAATTGTGATAAATTGCTATGATCAACAAATCCCTATCAAAGAGGAGGGGGGTCCTGCTGGTGACGAGCATCGTGCTGTTTGTGTAGCCCTCTGGTTTCATTCATTTCTAGGCGCTGGATTGAAAACTCTTAACGAACGGCGGGTCTGCAGCCAGGCTGCAGCTCTGAGCGCTTTCTGATTCATGCTTCATGCTCAAGTCAGCATGCAAACACGCTTGCAGCGCCCAGAGCCTCACGTTTAAAGCTAAAGCTGTTTGTCAAGAGCTGCTTTAATTAACATTGGCAATAAAAATTCTGCTGAAAATCCTTTTCTCATGAAATGGTTCTATGATTTTAATAACATAAAGGGTTTTCACCAAAGATTGGATCTTGTTTAGGTTATTTTAATCATTTCAATTCAAATAACGATGCGCCTGTTCAACGGTCTGTTAGCTTGAAGAGCAAATCAGCCAGTCACATGGCAACAGCTCAATGCATGTAAGCATCAGAATATTTTGAATAGAAGAACAGTTTCTAATTTCTATCTGAAATTTCATCCTTTGTGACCCAGCTTCATCTATAGAGCATTGGTATAATACAACCGAACCACATCAAGTCGATGGTTTTGTCAGAAAGAGACAGCTTTCAATGTCAACTACACTGTTGTATCCTGATTTCTAAGTAGTTTTGGATACAAATGCATAAACATGTGGATAACGCCTGGGTCAAAATCCAAACCAAGGAAATGGAAATCTTGACTGAGCTCATGGAGAATAACATCAGGTTTATGATGGAGGATGTCAAAGACAACCAGATACTATTTATGTCTGATGGACATCAAGAAGGAAGGAAGACTTTTATAGAAAACTCACACACACAGACCAAGAGAACAAAACATACACATAGATAGATTTTAATGTCATTTAATTGCACATTAAAAAATGGAAAATTTATTGAAAAAAACTTTGTTGTGAGGCTCCAATAATAATCAAATAAATAAGTAATAATAAAAGTATCACTACAAATATATACAATAAAAGATTAAGCCAGTGGACGTTCAGTAGTCTTACGGCATGAGGGATGAAGTTGTTGTGGACTCTGGCTGTTCTGCATTTGAAGCTGCTGAATATTTTCCCAGAGGGCAGCAGGAACAGCAAAGATCACAAACAAATGAAGGAAGTACTTCCAGCCCTCTGGTCACCCTAACAGGTTTGATTTGGTAACCAGTGTCTCGGTTCTGGTTCCGTCCATAGATAAAGCTGTCCGCTCAGCAGAGAGGTGTATGGAGTCCAGTTCAGAACTCCACAACTAGACAGCAACTACACAAATGTTCTGTCCAACACCGAAGAGTGAACTTATTGGCTCAGAACTCACCAGTGCAGGTCCATCTCAGGGTCACTGTGTTTAAGATGATGATGTAAACATTCTGGATGTGGAACACAGGTTGTTTGTTTTATAGATGTGTTGGGGATTGAACATTGAACAAAAACGAATAAATACTGAACCGAAGAAGCTGCTTCTGGTTTCATTTAACCAGAGCAGCAGTTCATATATGATCAGTACAACATGGCACCGCTTGGGTCATGCTTGACTCGTCAAGTGACAACAAAGCAAACAAGAAACAAGAGAAGTCCACTTGTCTTTTACTAAGGCAGCTATTCATCCATATCATGACTGTCTGAAACTCAGCACCCCAAAGAACTATTGTTGCCCAAGTGACTACTTATGTATTAAGAATGTTAAATAGATCTGTCATGATAAACAGTAAATCAATTAATCACACGACAAATTGAAACAAGTTCATTCATTTCTATTTTCTTTCTCTTTCTATCAAAAACTAGATGACAAAAGTCTTCATTCTAATTACCCCTTTTCTGGAAGACAGTTTTGTTTATAGAGACGAAATAATTCATTTTATTTGTTGTTTCAGTTTTTTGTTTATTTGTTTTGGTTATTTCTCTTCCAGTTCCAGTGTTAAAAGTTAATTGAATTTAAAGTTTATTGCTCTTTGGGAAAATCTTATTGCATTTCTTTGCTATTTCCACTGTATCACTTGGAAACGATCTCAAAACAACAATATTATTGTTTATCATAATAATGTCTGGGACAATTTATGGTCTAGCAAAATTAGCTATCGTGATCAGAAGATCATGTTTTGAGTTTCTGAACTTCTGGTCACCATCAGGGCTTGCGATATTCACTAGCTGATATTCCAGGTTTTGATGTTTGATCAAATTTTGACATGCTGTAAATTATATTGTTGCCCAAGGTTTCATTCTGTAATTTGACTCATAAAAATGGCGACTGTTGTTAGCGTTGCTTCTAAGCTGACAATCATCCTGAACGTTCGCCCAGCGTTTCTGTCTCTGAATTGATTCTTACTGGCTGGAGCTGGTTTCATAGAGCCAATCACAAAACCTGTAAATGTGTGGATCGATTTATACCACAGGTACAACATATTTTACGCTTTCAATTTATATTCAACAGTCTTTATTCTATAGTTGTCAGTTGTTGCGAACAGAAGAAAAGAAATTCAGCCTCTTTCTCTGAGCTGATTTTAATTCTCTTTGAACAGATCATGTTTGAGTCCAGCTAAAGAAACTGTGAAGGCCAAGTTCATTTTCTGCCATCCTTAATACTGCTGCAGTATTAAGTGGAGAGTTTGATGCACTCTGTATCCCTGTACTATCATTAGAAATGAAAAAATGGTGGGGAATCTTATAATTTAGGCTTTTGGCACAGTCATCATTAGCTTATCTTCAACTTCAAATAGACTGTCCTAAAATGAATTCATGACAATCAACTTTTTATGAATTCATTTATATTAGCTTTTATGCTGTTGTAAAAGCTAAACTTTCAGAGCATTACTTTCAAAAATCTTAATGAAATGTATTGATAAAGAGTTTGATACTTTGTTTGCAGTCACCCTCTTTAGTAAAATTTGCTTGTGCAAATTCTAAAATTAGCCCCAGCTAATGCTAAGGCTAAGGTTAATGCTCTTCATCAACATGGTATTTAGCAGAAGCTAATGCTAGTAAAAACCCTGATATATTGTAAACTAAGTAATAATTTACTGTAGTTTTATCATGTACCTTTTTTTTGCTTTTTGGAAAAGATAAGGAACCAAATACTTATAGATAATTATAGGTAATGTAATTAAGAAACTGTTTAATAAAACGAATGTCCTTTGTTTATCCTGCCTATTGCAACTGGAGACAGACATCAGCTCCCCAACCCTGAAAGGACAAGTTGATATGGACAGTGGATGGATGGATGGATGGATGGATGGATGGATGGATGGATGGATGGATGGATGGATGGATGGATGGATGGATGGATGGATGGATGGATGGATGGATGGATGGATGGATGGATGGATGGATGGATGGATGGATGGATGGATGGATGGATAAAATGAAAAGGTAAAGTACAGTAATAGAGAAGCAGCAAGGAAAGGATGAACATCTGACAAGAAGCATCAGCAAATCTGTAAGGAGATCCACTGATGGATCCACTGATGAATCCACTGATGGATCCACTGACGGATCCACTGATGAATCCACTGATGGCAGTAAATGACAGTATGTGCTGTAGAGGAAATCATCAGCAAGCAGGAACCAGAAAACAGGTCAGAAGCTAAACCAACAGTAATCTAAATAAACACAAGGGAAACCCAGCAAGACCAGAAAGGAGGAAACTCAAAAGGAACTATTCACATTTGATTTCTGTTACAAAATATTTCATATGCAGTACTTTTTAACAAGACAACATGTGGCTATAAAATCCCTAGCTTTGCGGTCTTTGTGGTTTTGTTGATGTCAGTCGGTAGAGGAAGAGGTCGGTGACCTTTGAGGAAGATGTTGACGTTCAGTGCAGGTCGACCGTTTCATGTCTCCATCTGTGGGAGTTTTGTGGCGATCTTTTTGAATCTTTGGAACTGATCATTTCAAGTTGTTTTTGGACAGGAAAGATGGTGGATGAGTTTGATGTTCAGATCTGAACTGGTCTCCGCCTTTAGCTGGAAGGATGAGGAGAGTCAGCGATGGCGGCTTAGTCATTAGATCCTGAAGCGAGGCGACGCTGTGGGGGAACTTGCTCCATCAACCAGTCATCTACCTCAAAGCTTCTCCCTGTGTTTGTGTTGCAGTTGTTTTGCAGCCTCTCATGTTGCAGAGCCCGTTTCCTCCTCGATCTTTGACCATCCTTGTTTTCCCATCAAGCGCCCCTGAAAGAGCCAGCAGGGAGAGAGAAAAGAGAGAGAGAAAAGAATAAAGATGTGTGAGAGAAATACGTAATCCAGCAGTGCCCTGACCTTCTGACTTCTCCGGTCACATTGTGGGCGTCATATACTCGAACGTTTACTCTTTCCATGAAGACAAAATGAAAACACGCGAGCGCTGAAGAAGTGAGGCAGTAACATTCGGGACCCTCGTCAGTCTGCATGAGGTGTTTCTCTACCGTCTGAAAGGCTCTTTGGAAAAACAGATAAGCACTGAACCTACTGCTTGACCGTCTGTCTGTCTGAGCCAGAGTCATATATAGAGACGTCAACTGCAGCACTGATCTCCATTGAGCTGCCTAACCATCCACCTCTCATAATCACGTTTGGACTCCAGTCAGTGTTGCGGTCAACATAAAGCTTCATTTCGAGCTCATTTGGCCAAACTGTCTCTATGTAGGGTTCTGCCTGCCTCTGTCTGTCTGTCTGTCTGTATATCTGCACTGACCTGTCTTGATTTCTTTTGAGCTCATGCTGCTTCTTCTCCTCTGTTTGGGTTTGAGGGATGGTTGCATGGACCAACTGCCATGGCAAAGGAACACGTTCCTGCACGCAGCCACCATAAACTGCATAACATACTTTGAAGTATACTCATGAAACTCGCTCTGGTGTGTGTGTGTGTGTGTGTGTGTGTGTGTGTGTGTGTGTGTGTGTGTGTGTGTGTGTGTGTGTGTGTGTGTGTGTGTGTGTGTGTGTGTGTGCGTGTGTGTGTGTGTGTGTAGGAGAGTGGAAGAGAGCATTCGTGACACGGCTCTGATTCAGCATGACCTGGCTGCCTCTCTGTATGTGACGGGGCTGACGCCCGAGCTGCACTCCGGCCTTTGAACCAATCTCCTTCTGTTTCTAGTGATCTAGCGAATCACACACTCTTCTAACCCACTGATTCTCTGTGATGGTCACTCTTCTGTTTTGCAGTTTATTTTTTTATTATTATTATTATCCTGCAGCAACGTTACCATCAGCATCATCCTCATCATTTAAGTCACTCTGCTCTCCTCTGGTTCTCGACGCTTGCATGGCTGCAGAACAGTTTGCACATGTGCATGCGTGCGTGCAGGCAAGAAAAGATGCTGACTGCCTAACTGACTGACTCACTGTTTGGCTCTCCATGTGTTGTGCGTGGTTGAACCAACTCTCTTTAACAAACAGCCTGAATGACAGACAACTGCGTGATGCATGCAGACATCAGCCACCGAGCTTTACAATCTGGAGACGTCTTCAGCTTCTGGTTACTCACTTCTGCTGCATGCTTCTTTCTGTGTTCTCTCCATGTATGTGTGTTCGTGTGTGTGTGTGTGTGTGTGTGTATGCGTGTGTGTGCGTATGTATATATGTTAATTGCCATAGGTTCTTGCTAGCTTTGTTTTTTTTTTACTCTACATGAAACTAACACTCTGACCATCCTGCTTTTCTCCATTTGTGCCTAACAACCATCTCTTTGTGCATGCATATGACGCAGTGGTGTGACTGTATTACCACCCCAACACACACACACACACACACACACACACACACACACACACACACACACACACACACACACACACACACACACACACACACGCCCACACTCACACAGATTATCCATGGGTGTATGATGCTTCTGTGGTTTTTGTGGTAGTGGCAACTGAGTCCTTTTGTCTCTTGGTGTCTGATTGATGTGTGAGAACTGACAAACCTATCATCATCCAACTAATTTTGAAATACATTTGTTTATTTATTCATTTTATTTTTGGCACTTTTGGGACACATGATCAGGTGGATGTTGTGCTGGCATTCAGCAACATATCTCTGCTGTCCAGTTATTAACATGCACATTTTGAGACATGTCCCCTTGTACAATTAATAAACCCATGGAGTTTATTTATGTTGCATTTATTAATAACATTTAAAACTCAGGTAAACAAAATCATGATAATTTTATTCTCACTTATTTACATTGTAGTTGCTTTATATGCACACTGAAAACCTCGCATTGCAATTCAAGTTTGGTTTCTGTGTGTTCCTTAAAAAAAATTTTTTTCCAATCAGAAGACGATTCCAAAAAGAGAGAATGGACAAGTTACGTCATAAAGACTGAAAACAAAAAGAAACACCCTGGAAATAAATTAAATGTAACTGAGAAATACTGGAAAATAACATTTAAAGAAAATGTGCATTGTGAACTGAAACACTTCCAAAAAGAAACATAATTTTTGCTGACTTTTATTTAGCTCGGTATTAGCATATCGGCTATAATGAAAGACCTCAATACCTCAATAGCTTCAGGTACCTTTGATACATTAACATTAGAAATAAGAAGTTAAAAAGAAGGAAAGAAAGCTAGCACATGAGTTTTCTTCTAAATTTCATTAGCATTAGCACAAGCCATAAGACGCTCTATTCTTCTGGCTCCAGCTTGTGGACCACTGCAATATTCGTAATGTTGATTTTGGAATATAATGAGATGAGTGGAGCAAAAGTTTTCTTCTTGTTCATTGAGGACAGATCATATTTACTGCCTGTTAGCCTCATAGGATATTTTTAAGTCTTTGCCGGCATTATTTCTAGTTTTTGATTGTCATGTTAACTAATTCCAACTATCGCTGATGTTTGTAAATGTTGCTATAATCTGTGAATTAAATTGAATAAAAATGTTATGCGTTCTACTTCAATTAATTCAATTGATCAAACCTAAGAGATGATCAAGGAATCACGAATGCATAGCTATTAGATAAAGCTTTGTAGCCATTTGTGTGATGGCTATAAAACTTATAAGAAGATGCAATAAAGAAAATGCAATTTTACAAATGTTTTCATCTGTAATAAATATGTATATGTGTGTAGTAAATATTTATTAGTCTGTCAGGATTAACTGCTTTCATAGATGAATCCAGCTGGGGAAAAGCATTTTTAATTCCATATTTAATGTTGAATAAAGCTAGAAATGATGGCCTCTTCTTTCTCCTTCTAAGGTGCCAAAATTTAAATTGAATATTTACTCTACCATGCTACATGTAAATATGACTGTAACACTTCAACAACATGGACTCATTAAAAAATAAGGCAAATTTCAAAAGATATTTGATGTCTTCCAGAAACTCTTGTGAGGCCATTTTAACATCAAAGAAATAAGAAACACTATTCTGATCAATGCTAAACTTTATCCACCTGGTCCTGAGTTTCCATCGTTCAGTCTGTCACTTTCTGTCCTCTGGAGGATTCAAGTCTGTTTCTGGGTCTTCCCCTGCCTCCTTCCTCCAGTTCTTATCTCTGACTTTGTCCTTCTTTTTTCTCTTTTGTGGTCTCTCCCTCGTCTCCCTTCGCCTTGGCAGATGCGAGTGGTGAAAGCATTCCGTAGCTCGCTGTACGAGGGCCGGGAGAAACCAGAATCCCGCAACTCCATCCACAACTTCATGGCCCACCCAGAGTTCCTCATCAACGACCTCATCCACAACATCCCGCTGATTGACGACACTGACGTGGACGACGAATCAGAGCTCAGCAGATACCAGCACCTGCACCCGGCCCTCCGCAAGCCGCCGCCCCCCCCGGCCCAACCCCCGGCCCGCACCAGGCCGACCCGGCCCTATCGCCAGTACAGCCTTCCAGTGACCCCGTGTAACCGCAACAACAACAACAACAGCAGCAGCAGCAGCAGCAGCAGCTCCTCCACGGTCAGCAACAAGAACAACATCAATGTTTCCCCTGACAACCAGAGTCACCATCACAAACACCACCACAGCCATCACGGCAGGCCCAGGCCCGTGAAGGCCCCCGCCCCCCACCCAGCACATCTCTTCTGCGTGGAGACGTCCTTATAACTGGGAGAAAGGGAAACCCGAACCCCACTAAGATGAGGGGAGGGACGAAAGGGTCGAGCGTGAGAGAGGACTGAGAACACACTGACATTTTCATCCAGTCTCCCTCAAAACAAGCTCACAGAAAAGAGGACGGGTGGAGGGGCGGGGGGCGGAGAACGGCTGGAGACTTCTGCTCGCAGCTCTGAGAACAACGTTTCCTCCTTTTCCTCTCTCCGGCTCTCAGTTTGATTTTCCACCATGTCGTCCTGGGCAACGGTTCGGGTGGGGAGGGAAGGTGGTTGTGTTGCCGGGGCAATGGGGTTGGGAGGGCAGGTGGGACACCCACAAAAAAACCATAACAGCTTCTATACAACCGGTCATGTGACTTTGGGGGCTGACTCACTCTGATTCTAACAGTGTTCATTCTTAGTGTCGTTGCCACCTACTTACCCACCACCCACCCAACACCCCACCCAACACCCCACCCAACACCCCACCCAACACCCACCCACACCTCTCTGGATACAGCCACTCTAAGGTCACTGCTCTGCTTGCGATATATGTGAAGCGCTTTGTTGAAGCTTTACCTAGACCTCAGTCTCCTCCATCTCACCTGCATTTATTTCCCCCATGCTGGTGTTCATTTGTTTCCTTACTTAACAGATTTTGTTCGCCCCTCTGTTTTTCAGTCTGTGTACGTGTGTCGTCTTTTCTCTACTTGTGAAAAAAAAACCTGACAAGAACAAATAATTGCGAAGAAAAAAAGCTATTTATTTAAATCTATGAGTCAACTGACTGGATGCAGAACTAGGTGGGGGTATCACATATGCATACAGAGTGAACATGTAATTTCAATGTTTGGGAAGCAGGTCAGGGTCGCTCCGCAGCCCCCCCAACACTGAACTGTTCATGTTCGTCACATGACCTGCTCTCCATCGTGATCGGGATTTCTCCATGACTCATAAATCCTGCGGGATCTCCTCCCATGTCCGCATATTTCTGTTTTGTCCCATGATCTTCTCTCTTGCTGTTCCTCCTTTGCTCATTTCGTGTCGTCCCTCTCGCTACTTTTGCAATGGAAATATGTAAGAGAGCTTTTTTCCTTTTTGAGGAAAAAGCTGATCGCTAGTGAAGCATTAACCCTTTAAAACGCCATAAAACACGCACGATGCACAGGCGACGTCCCTTTAAGACTCACTTGTACCTACTTCGCTCCTGCTCTGACACGTTGTTTGATTTGATCTGCCGGATCTTTGATCCAGTGGTTTTCCCCAGGAGGGAAGTCAAAGTTGTCCCTCAGCTTTCGGGCCCAAATCCAAAGTCAGTAACCAGTTTTACCTTCAGGCTCAAAGTTGCATTGGTTCAATCAGATCCAACCAGTGAGAGCTTGTGTGTCAAAATGTGAAGTTCTTGAAAAGAAATGTCATATTTAGGCGCTGTCCACACAGAGACGATTTTAGTTGAATCTCCATCAGTTTTGCGGCTCTGCAACCTGTTGTGTGGACGAGGGGCACAGGTACATTCTCTCTTTAAAGACTGAAATAACTTACCTGCTGTCTGTCAACCACTCTGAAAAGCTTTTGTCATGCCTTTCTTTCATTTTTGTTTTTGCTGCAGAGTTTTCTGTCCTGCCTCTCTGTCTTTAGCTCCCTGTCATCAGGCAACAGTGCAATTCAAACGGGGATGAATTTGCACCCCAGTGCTTTCTCCTCTAGGAAAAACATTTCTGCCTTTATATTGGCGCCCCTTCTGACGTAGCACCCCTATACCTCTATAGTGCACACCCACTTTTTGCACCAATGGTGTGGACACATTTTATGCAGCGCTCGTCTCTGAGTGTTCAGGGTCCTTCTGCTATAAATACAGACATTATGGAGGATACCTATAAGCCCAACACACTCTTCACACACTTCACTCTCTAAGCTGATGCAACATCTGAAAAGTGTTGCCAGGTTAGCTTTGTCTCTCTTAAGTGAAAAGACTTCCAACTCTTTGCTTTGATCCAACGTTTTGCATAAAAGCAAAAAATATTTTCCCAAATATTCCCTTTGTGACACATCTCTGTCAAAGCTGTCCAGCGTAAAAGGGCTCAACGTGCTGGACAGCCAATCATCAGACAGACACCTGCGCAAGGTACCGGTGCAGAGCCTGTGGCACCGTCACCGATTAACATTCCCATCAAACATTCCAAACAGCATTCCACGCCAGATGTTGAGGTCACCCCGCTTCATCTCCCCCTCGCCCCCCACTCACACCATGTGCCTCTGCACATGGTGTGAGTACAAAGCTTAGTTCATGTTGCCTCGGAGCGGGACTTGGCTAAACAATGCAAGCATTCCCTAATGTTCCTCCCTTTGCTTCCCTCTTCCGTTGATCCCCCCCCCCCCCCCTGAACTGACCCCCTCCACCAGAGCAAGGCAGACAATATGCAACAGACTGCCATGTCAGCACACTCAGACACAGCGAGTCACACGTCTGTCCTGCCTGTTGTGTTTCCAGGATGTTCGCAGAGCTCTCTGGGAAACACCCTTACCTGTAAAGAACTCTTTGTCTTCTTGAATGCTCATCCTCATCATCATCGCCCAACCCGCCGGAGCAGCGGGCGGGCGACTCTGTATTGGTCAGTCTGTTTTGAAGCATGCATTTGGTATCATTAATGTCACTCTATGTGTTGGTAAATCATTTAGGCTACTTGTCACTTCTGTGTGCTATTATCGCTCCACATCTGCTTTCTTCCTCTTTACCTCTCACACAAAACACACACACGCACACACACACCCAGACACGCATCCTTACATCCCATTTGGAGTTTAATCTGTTCCAGCACCTCTGAGCACAGCGACATCAGTGCTTTTTGTAGGAAACGTGCAGCGCGCCGATTAAACGGGGGAGAATGTGCAGAGCGGGTGCGTGTGTGTAATTTGACTGTGCAGCTCCGGGCTTCTCCGTTCGGCCGTCGGATCCACGCATCCATCCAGCCACGTTACATGATGTGGTGAGACAGTTTCACAGAAGGTGAAAACCACAATGTGAAGAAGGAAAAAAGGAGTATATTTATTGAAATCATGAAGTGTTCGACTGCACCACAACTGTACAGATCGTCCAAATCTGCACATGTGCATCTTTGATTTTACAGGTACCATGTTCCTGTTACACTTTTATTTTTTAAGTTAAGTTTCTTTCTTTAAAATCCTATTGCTTTTCGTAAAGAGAGGAACAACAACATGGAAGCGCTTGTATTATATTATTATTAATTATTATTATTAATTTTTTTCCACCGGTGCTCCCACTGATGGAAAAAGACAGTTGCACATTCTCCTGAGCATATTCTGAGGGCTGTGTTTTCTGTCCACTGAACAGCTCCCTGAGGTGTGCAGAGGAACTTCAGGTCTTTTAAGACACCGACTCTGTAAATAAGAGAACAGGAGACAGAAATGTACCTCATTACGACCTGAGGGATCTGACAAAACCTTTCTGGGGGGGTTAGAGGGGGGGATGTCCGTGCAGAGGAACATGAGGCGCCATGCAGAGCTAGAGTCTGCAGAAGTGCAACTGCGTCCTCGCATTGTTTAGGCTGCTCTCTTAGATCTGCCACCAGTGTTTACTACCATGGTACGCGCGGGTCAGAGTTAAGGTTTTACATTATTCATTATACATATTGCTGTAAATATTCTGTCGAGAACGCCCTCCCTCCCCCACTTCTTGCACAGCAGCAGTGCCGTTCGGCAGACAGAAAACACAGCCTTAACTGTGCTGAAATGACATTTAAAGAGCAAAAAGTTGTAAAAAAAAACAAAAAAAAAAAAAAAAAAACCAAGAGCAAAAGCAAAACAAAAAAAATCTAAAGACTATTGAATATATTAAAGAGTTACCTGCCTGTTATTTAAGCAAATAAATATCTATATATGAGAAAGAACACACCTGTATACTGTAGACTAAATCTGTATTGAAATCTAAGAGAATTTACTGGGAAATAAGTCCAACACCTTTTGTCTGTATGAAAGAAAAAAAATCCATCAAAGTATTCTACAATAATAACTTTGACAAACTCTGTTTGGTCTTGTGTTGTTTATTCAGGTAATAGTCACTCCTTTCAAGAACCAAAAAATCCTGAATAATTTATTTAATGTATATATATAGAGATATACTTATCTATATATAGGCTTTTGCTCGCCTGCTGTAAAGACTCGTTTTGTTACCCTGGGAAGATGCAGCACTGTGAAGAACAAATTGCTTCCTGAGATTTCTTCTGTGTTTGCTTATGTCACACGTAAATGTTTTTTAAATTCAAACAAATGTTAATACCTGGCAAAGATAATCTGTGCAAACAGAAAAAGCACTTTCAAATGATTTTTTTTAAAAATATATTCAAATTGATTTGATTCATTGTGGGAAACGTGTTGCAGCAAAAACTCCTGTCAAGTGTTTGCGGTAAGTGGCAGGGAATTTTTTTTAGAAATCTTGGGTATCTTTTTTTTTTTTGCATTCTTTTTTCAGTTTGTCTAATTTATAGGATTTTGCAAGATTTGAGTCCTAACTTTAACTCGACATTTGCAAAAACCTTCAATTAGCTTCTTTTCAAGGTGTACTCACCAACAATTACAGTTAGATGTGCCTCTGCTGCACCATATCTAATAATTCGGTCATTAAGGTTCTGGAGAACTGACCTACAGGAGAAGGTCATTAAGACATTTCACTCCTGTGTTTTGTACCTGTGGCACATCTAAAACCTGCAGGACAGCAGCCCTAGAGGACTGGAGTTTGACACTTGTGCTTTACATCATCAGGCCGCTAAGTTAAAGGTCATAGACTGATGGCCAGATTTTCATCTTCAGAAAGAGGTCAGACAAAAAGCAATGAAAACAAGTTCCTGAAGATCTCATGTTTGGCTGTTGTGGCGTTTCTTTCTGGATGTTTTAAGTTTTACTCTAGATGTAAGAATCTTCATGAATCCCTGGAATACTTACCCAAAGTGTTGGGATGTTTTTTGGAAGCAAGATGTTCCTGGTCATTCCGTTTGGTCAGCAGTGGACTTGGCTTTGAATGTTTCCATAGATATTTGCTCAGTGTCCTTATTGCTGAGTCATGAACTCTGACTTTAACAAATGAGTCCTGCAGTGTTCGGTTTACTTGTTAGTGCGCTCTGGGAGGCCGGAGGCTCCTGTAAAGGTTCACCACTGTTCCATGTTTCTTTACTTGTGGATAACTTTAGAAATGTTCATAACCTCATCCAGAGCAGAATTTCTTTAGCTCGTGTTGCTTTTGGACATTTTTAACCACCTTCATGTTGTCAGATGAGTTATCTTCGTGATTCAAGAGGTAAAGCACTAAAATCAAATAAAAAATGTGGCTAATTCATGTCATAAATTTAAACAGGACCAAGTTAATTTGGAAAGTTTTTCCCTTTAATAAATCAAATTCGATCACTACGTTTTGTATTTACTCAAGTTATTTAACAGATTAAATATGTTTGACTATTCAAAACATAAGTTTGATTATGTCCAAATTTGATTAACGTTAAGACCATAGGAACATGTAAATGTGATTCCTTGAATGATTTTTATTTCATTTGAAGGAGTTAATGAAAAATTATTCATATGTTCTCATTTCTCATTGAGAAACTGTCAAATTTGATAAAGTTATAACCACTATGGAAAAGAAGTCGTATTTAAGTCTCATATGTCGAGGCGCCATGAGCTGGTCTGGTCTCTCTGGACAAGACGACCCAGTCTTGTGCATTCTGACCAGGTCCACCTTCTGGGTCTGACCACAGACTACATCTACACATCTGGCAGATGCAGTTGCATCTGGCAACCTTTATTATGCAGAGCTAAGATTCAGAACCTGCACTGTGTAAAAACAAGACCTCACAATACCAACATACCATAAAAATTGTCAATACTTCATGAACAAGTGACACCAACCAGGGTCAGTACATTGCTCAGCTTTAATAAAAGCCCTTTTCTTTTTTTACTCAATAGATTGACTCACGGGGCCAAGTGAAGCAAAACCATGTTTTTCTTCTCAGTAAGCTGAAATGGTTTACCTTCATTAGTGAGAATACAAAATGCTCAGTGTGTCTGGAACAATGCGGTTAACTGATTAAATTTATTCATTGGTGCCAAATATTGGTCTGACTGAACGAAAGCATCTTAAGTTTATTACACGCTAAATTTCAGCAAACCCTGATAAAATTCTCCTCACTCATGTTGAAAGTGAACTAATCAGTCTTTACCCCCCAGAATCGGAACCAAACATTGAGAAGCATCATTCAGTTTTTATGCTCTAATCCAGAACAATGTTCCCGAAAACTGCAAAGATGCTGAAACACTGAGTTCCCTAAACCAAAGATAAAACCACACCTGTTTAGAGTTGCTTTTGATTAATAAAAAGTGGATCTACAATTTTAGTTTGTTACAACTTTTTATTACTTTCTTTTATTTACTCCGGCAATTTAAGGTTTTATGCCTCCATAATGTTGCTGAATGTCATAAACTCATGTACTTGCCTTGCTTTAACAGCCACTGAGGTGGGAGCACAAACCAGAGGATTTGTCAAACCAACTGAGGCTGAAAGCTTTAAACATACAAGGAACATCTGAAGGGTAACCAATATACCAGTAGGTGGCAGTAAAGGGTTACTTTGCTGTTCCACTCTCCCAGGAAATAAAATGAATACAAAAGCACTTGCAGCTAAATGAGCTAAAATACAGTACATTCAGAAGTTCTTCACTTTTTCCACACTGCCAGGGGTGATATTGTCGTTTCCAAGCACGTTGTGACATAAAACAGCACTGATAACTATAACTTCAGTTATAAAACTGAAGTTATAGTTTGTGAAACAAAAGAAACATAAAAGAAATTTGACACTTTTAATTGGCCCTTCTTTAAGAAGCCCTTCTTTCCAGCACATCACCACAAAACTGCTATTTACAACCATTCCTAAAAGTGTTGCACTAAATGGTTCAGTGAGATCCACCAGGTAACAGCTGCTGCTGCTAGTCAGAAGGAGCAGCAGCTCCTTCTGGAGGAACTGCAGGTGAGGGTTACTCTGTCAGGTGGAAGCTTTATGGAAATATGTAGCGCCTTGTTTACTTATTTCACTTTTTTATTATTTCCACAATAAGTTCACTGACTGAACCAAGTGAAGTGAATTTATGCTTATTTTCTCAGTAAACTGAAATGGTTTGCCTTCATTAACAAGTCTGTAAAATGATTACGAGTTTTGTTCCAGACTCGCAATCTGGACACTCAAACGCTGGGAAAGATTTTACAATTTCTCAAACATGGATGACAAATTCAAAGTAACAATCCAGTTATGTCTTTGATGAGAGAATAACATAACATGATGTAAAATACTTTTTTTTTAAGCTTTACATCATACCCTACCTTTAAATTAATCTTTCCTCAAAATTCTAAAAACAAACATCAAATTATGACAACATGGAAAAAGATTGAGATTTTACTGATCCATGAAATGTTTCTACAACTTAAAAGGAGTCCACTTGTGGTAAATTCAGATGACTGGACTTGATGTGGAAAGACACACGGCTGTGTATATTTGGTCCTACGGTTGACAGTGCAAACACCAAACATGAAATCAAAGGAATCGTCTGTAGACCTCAGAGACGGGAGGCAGAAATGTGAAGGATCCAGAAAGACTCCTGATGAACTCCGCCTCCATCGTCAGCCAATGGAAGAAGACTGTAAATAGTTATGTAAATGTGATTTCTAAAGAATTTGGCAAAAAATTTCAAACTTTTTCTCACATTGCTTCTCATGGGGTATTTGTGCGTAAAATTTTGAGGAAAGATTCTTTTAATAAGGCTGGAACATAAAATGTGGAAAAAGTGAAGTGCTGGGAAAACCTTCTGGATGCACTGTAGCTGGGCAGATAAATGAAATGAATCTGCTTTATAATTCCATCCAATGGGGACTGTCATCTGTTCTGACAACCATTACCAGACTTGACCCAATGTTCAGGAAAAGTTAAGATCTTTATCGGCAGAGCTTGCTGTTTAGAAAGAAAAAAGAGATGCATTAATATCAACAGTACGCAACAAGACTCAGCAGATATTTAGTATTTTACACACAGAGAATGGGATTTATTTGTCCAACATTTCTCAGAGCATTTACTTCAAAAGAAATATATATTCAAAATTAAACACTTACAGTTTATTAGATGTGATTTAAAAAATTAACTGTGATCAGTTTCTTTTCTTTTAATGTACATTTCAATATACACACAATATACAAATTGCTCCGGGTGCTGTAGGAGCTTTGCTGATACGACCAACAGCTACAAGTGATGCAGAAAGTGGGTAAAAATTAAGATTACATATACCATTTGTTACCGATACTACCTTTAAAAAAATACCAGGCCACGTTGCAGCTGCGTGTCCAGCTTCGTCACCTCCCATCAGCAGAACTTTAGCATAAAGAAAAAAGGTGGCGCTAAATACATGTATTCTTCGGTAAACAGGTACTGGTTCACAAAGAGATTTTTTTTTGTCCGATAGGTAGAATGTGTTTTCTGTTTTTCTTTTAAGATAAATTACTTTACAATTTGGGAGATTTTAGATCACTCTTTGTGGACCCTTACCGTTATCTTATCAAACAAACACTAAGAAAACTAAAGCCTAATAGTTATCAAATTACTTCTTATAACAGCAAAAACAAAACTGAGCAAAGTGCTCCACATTCATTAATTGGGAACATTTGGTACATTAAAATAATAATAATACAAAAAAAAGGTACTGTTGTTGCTGCTGAATGCTGAAGCCAGTGAGAAGTTTCTGTCTATTCCTTACCATGGCATCAAGCAGGAAAAGGGAGTTCAGAAAGCCACTCATCCCCCATGGCGGAGCAACCATTACCTAGAAGAAACTGTCAACAAGGTTTAGCAGTAACGTGTACTTATCCCACCAGAACACAAGAAACATAAATCACATGCACATTCTGCGGTTCTTAGGCAGCTCTAATTAACACGGAGTTCATCCATCCTGATAAGGTTCAGTACAGAGTCACATACTCTGTACTAAACAGAGTATACGTTTGTTCAGTTTAGTCTCAATATGAGAAAACAGAAGTACTTGACCCTACATTTTGAGCGACGTGCTCGCGCTCTCTGCACACTTTGGGCAGAATTCCACTGAGACGTGGTTCTTGTCTACATGCAGGCACACGCCGCCAGACGTCTCCTTCTCCTCCACCTTCACCCGCTTCCTGGGCAACGCATAATCATGCTCGTTAGAGCGAGGCCCCTGGAAAAGTGAGGAAGATAATTTCATCCCATTCACACCGCTCAGTCTGGACAAGAGCTGGGCTAACATGCTCTCATTGGCCAGCACAGCTCTCAGATACCTGGTTTCATCCTCCAATTCTTCCACCCGTTTAGTCAACTGACAGTTCTCTTGTTTGAGCACGGCGTTCTCCGTTGACAGAACGCCAACCTGCTTCTCCAGCCTGTTGACGTGCTCCTTCTTCTTGAGACGGTTCAATCTGGCAGCGATGGCGTTTTTGTTGATGACGTGGTTCGACTGGTTTTGTCGGTTTTTCATCCTGGATCCAGAAGGCGTTCTGTCTGGGGATGAGCGGGATGAAGCGTCAAACTCCAAGTCTTGGTTTGTGTCGCTGTATGTTTCTAGATTGGCAAGATCGACCCCAAAGAGTAGAGAGGAAGAATCTTTCTCTAGAGTCCACTTTAAATCTTCAAACAGGTCGTCTAGCTCGATTCCTGGAGGATCGTTGTCATCAGCAGGGCTGGGGAGATCGTGATCATTTTCCACCACGTCCACCTCCTCAACATCTACTGACGGCATCTCCGTGGCACGGCTTCTTCTCCTTGTGATCATCGTGTTGTGCCAATGGGATGGCAAAGACGATGAATAAAGAGGCTCTGTGGAAACATAAAGCTGCAATGTTAAATCTTGCAAATAAACTCGCATAAAGTAAATATGAATTACAAACAATTTTCAATCAGTCAATTATTTAATCTCCAAGTCTTCCAGTAAAACAAGATAAATGTTTCACTACAATCCCTCAGTTCCCTATGTAAAAAAAAACAGTAGAATTTTTTACCTTTAAGTTATATACTGCTACTAAAACGTTAGTAATTATTGTACATATGATCTAAAATAAGATCTTTAAAATCGCCGTATTAAAATATTGTTTTTGATAAACACGTTGACAGTAAACTGCAGGAGGTACTCTGGACAGGTTTATATAAAAATGGAACCTAAACCTCTCATTTAGCGCCAACACGTCGTTACGTGATACAAGTGACGCACGTCCTCAACGTTATACCAACGTTGGGTAATCTGTCAGCTTTCCCCTGCCTACATGCTACAAAGTCACATTATTTTCGTGAACTGTCTTCTAAAGTGGGTTCTTTTGAAGCAAAAACAAACAATAAACACATACTGTGATTAGCATTAACATTATAGTCGGTAAGGTAAGCTATAGGCCTCTATAGCTTAATGTAGGCCGCGCTAGCTTCCCCGTGCTTTTCATTAGCATACAGCTAATGATAAAAACGGTGTTATAGCATTAGTTTGGGTATACTAAAGTCACTAAACAATGAGTTAAGAGTACCAAAATGTAGTAACTCTGTGTAATGAAAGCCTGTTATGAACGAGAAATTTCCTGACTGTGCCTTAAGTTAGCCTTTGTGTTTAGCCACAGGCCAAGAAACTGAGCTCATGTGACGCAGCATTTTCTTCGCACAAATACTTACCAGCCCAACTCAAAAACACAAAAACTGTACAAAAGTCAAATAGAAAAACTGTGTCGGCGACCAAAGGCGTTATGAATATATATATATTTCTTCAAATTGAACACAGCTAAAACTTGTGAAGCGCGGGATACCTTTGACCGTCCAAAAGCAACTTCTTCTTCTTCTTCTTCTTCTTCGTCTTTATGAAAATTTGCATTCAAGTTGTTGCATCATCGCCATCTCCTGGGTCAGACGTTCATTACATACTATTACATATTTCTACAAGGCAAACATTTTTCGAAAACTTTTCTTCCAGTTCAGTGTTATTTTATTGAATAACATATCTTTAAAAATGAGTTCCCAAATACGTCCATGTATAACATTGTCCTTTTATTTTCAAATTTGAACACTTTGTACAGTTTTCTCAACATTATGATTACAAAAATCATGAGCAATAAGTATGCTTATGATATGAGTAGGTTTCCAATCAAGTTGCAGTGGTTAATTCTTATTCATATTTAAATTCATTTTTTATAAAGTGCATTGATATAATATTTGTTGTGACTTGACGCTGTATAAATAAACTCAATTGAAACTGAATTGAGAGAAGCACTTCTTCTGACTTTAATTTATTAGCCACAGGTCAAGAAACTGAGCTCATGTGACGCAGCATTTTCGTCTTAATTGTTATTGTTATTATTATTATTACTATTATTATTTGTAATCTTTTCTGAATGGCTTCCGTAGTCCTTCCTTTTCTCACTATTCCTGTGCAGGAATCTACTTCATTCCTGTGGTTTAATTTTGCACACATAATCTTAAATGAGTTAAATAATGTAATTAACAGTAGTCTGGTGATATTTTGAATATGTACTGATAATTATTCACAACAGAAAAGTGTGTTTTTTGAACTTACTTTTCACCATTCTAAGGCTGGTGATATTGCTGAGATTTTTTTTTGTTGTTCCAGTGAATCTTGGAATCACAACTGCTGCACTAGTCTGTGCTTAAAAATACAATATATATCTATGTAAATTTTAAAAAATTGCAAATGATTACTACATTTATTCTTGATATGATTCTGAATCTTTTGGCAAATATCAGTTGTTTGCCTCTTTTCTTTTAAAATCTAATAAAATCACATTTATATTTAAGGATCCCAGTGCATTAGTACATAACTCTTGTCATGTTCTAATCTCTTGTCATGGTGTCACTTACATGCACTCAAAACTATTTTTATACACATTCAATTCTTTCCAGAAACGTTGGTTTCTGGAAACGTTGGTCATCTTCATCTTCACTGTGGTAACTCTAGACCAAATTCACCTGGGGAGCCAGTGGTTTTTTCAATCAAGGCACAGAAAAAAATGAAATAAAACAAATAAAAAACAGGACAATATGTCATCATTTACTATGTCAAGTGAGCCAAACGAGCCACATGCATCACAAGAGCTGCAGTTCTCTGAAAGTCCTTTTTTCATCCATGCATTGTTTTGTAATTATGTGTACTGCATCAGCCCTCTAGAATCTTTATATATAAAAATATTACATCATTCTATTTCATCTATATTTAATCCTGCTTTTAATAACTTACTTTCATGTTATTTTTTGTTTTTCTTTCTGCATCCTCACATACACCTGAATTTTCACAATGTGACAAAAGCAGGATATTAAGGGAAGATGCGTTTCTTTTATCAAACAAGAGCCCCAAATATTTCAAATGATCCATTCTTCCTACTTCACTACATTCCCACATATTTAATTTGGAGACTTTTGTACAACAGCTTTTTATAATATTTATAAGGAATTCTATGTTCTGTGATGTCTTTTACAATTCTTCAATCACCTCTGAATCATCGAGAAGGAGATAAGAGTTCTTCATATGACTGTAAGTAACAGCCTAAAAATGCAGCTAGGAAGAGTTTCATTTTCCATGTGATAACCTGCCTGGACCATGTTTCTATTTTAAAACTACTACTTCTTTATATTTTTTACTTGTTCAGTTTTCATTTTAATCCCATCCCTCTCTTTCCATAACATATTCATTTAACTCCTTTCTGTTCTTGTCCTGCTGCCATATTGACCACCGCTCGTCATTAATTGTTGACACAAAATTATTTTTTTTCCATAGAAAAACAAAATTTATTCCAAAGTGTAGAGAAGAAAATGAACTACACGACACTGCTTGTTTTCACCTAAGTCGTCATGTGAAAGAACTTAACACAAAAAAATAGAAATAAAAACGTGTGTTCCCCACCGAAGTCGGTTCCACATCATCATCATCATCACAGTGACCCAACAGTTCCCAGATCAACAATAATCCAAACCAGAGACTAGATAAAGGACATGTTCAGTGTTTGTTGGCATCATCAAACACAGTAAAAGCATCAGGAGTTTTTCCATCAAGGCTGCAGGTGTCATGTTTAATACGGTGTATTTGGCAACATTGTCTTTTCCTAACTAATTCATCATTTTTTTTGACTGTACAGTTGCAGCATTTACACCAAGAGATTATTATTTTAGAACTGTGGAACAGAGTTAGTAGCTTTTCATGGTGAATAAAACTATGCCATTGTATTAAAAGCTGAATATTTGACGTGAATCACAAACAAAAGGTGGCACTTTAACTAGTTTCTGTACGCAGATCCAGTTGGTTATTCATGAACAGAACAGACAACATACAAGTTGGTGTCTGCGTTCAGAATTTATCTGCTGAACAACTCAACTCAAAACAGCTTGAGTCCACATTTCAGTCTATTGACGTCACTTTGGTTCCAGATGAGACCCTCTGTGGCCCTAGCGGGTCCAGGGACCCCCGGGGCGTTGTGTCCCCGGCTGCTCTCCATCTCCACTGGCTGCTCACAGACCGTCATCGTCGAGTAAGTCTCCACCATGAGGGACGACGGGTCAGCCGACTGTCCAGGAACCTTCCCAAGAGGAAAGTTCTTCCATAAGACCTTATCGGAGCACACCTGCCACGGAGAACCTCTGAGCATCTTGGCTTTTTCGGCCAGAGCATCCAATCTCTGGAGGTCGGCGGACGACTCGCTCCTCTCCCCACTGCGCCTCAGCTGCTGCCGCTGCGTCTCCTGCAGGCTCTCCAGGGTGTATATGGGCTGATGTTTCTGCTGCCTGGGGAGGCTGAACTCCACAGCTGGGGTCTGGGTGTAGATGGAGCAGAGCTGGAGCAGTTTCTGCTGGGTGTCCTGAGGCAGCGGGTGCTCCATGTCGTCCAGGATGAGCTGCAGCAGGTGAGGCGTGGAGCCGCAGGGAGCGTCCAGGCACGCCGACAGCAGCTGCTGCCATTGCAGCTGGATGCGGTTCATGAAGATCCTGTCCTTCATCCGGGCCTTTTTCTGCGTCTTCCGTTCGAAGTGGAACTCAAACTTGTTGCTGTTGCACAGGAGGAGCTCCGAGGCCCAGGCGGACAGGTAGAACACCCTGAGGTCTGTCTGCTCGGCGGCTGCCACCTTCAGCTCCACGAACAGCTTCTCCAGGAGCAGGTGGATGAACGAGGGCGAGTTGAGCATCTTCAGCAGAGGCAGCCAGAACCGCAGGAAGGGCTGAGGGACTCTTGGTTCAGAGGAGCCGGAGGTCTCAAACGGGTCACAGCCTAACGTTTCTAGCTGCTCGACTGTCGGAACCAGAAAGCCGTCCTCCAACAACACGTCGACCAGCAGATCGCTGGAGTCCAAAGACAACTGCTTGATCTCCCCCAGCAACCAGCTCATGTCTGCAAGGGGAGCCAGGCCCCGGTCCTCCTGGGGCCCGTCCAGACTCTGGTACCGCTCTCTCTCATAGGAGATCAGAAAGTCCCGGGCGGCCTTGTAGACCTCCATCTCCTTCTGCCTGCTCAGCAGATCGCTCTCCTGCCGCTTCAGCTCACCATCCTCCTCCTCTCCATCAGATTCTGACTCCCAGTCCTCTTCTGCGCCTCCTCCCAGCTGCCTGGACCAGTACTCCTGCTGGAGCCACTCCAGAACCGCCTTACATCCCTTCCGGCACCACTTCAGCGTGGGCAGCTTCTTATGGGTGAAGTCGTGCCGCAGGTCCACCACCCACTCAGGGATGTTGAGCTTCCCGGCCAGCCGCCTCAGAGGCCGGGCTTTCCTCCCCTGCTGCCTCTCGGTGATCAGATTCACAAACCGGACCAGGGCCGCTCCATACAGCAGGACCAGGTCGTCTCCGCTCAGCTGTCCGGACCGGTCCAGGACCTGGCCCCGCACCAGGTCGGCCGTGCAGTCCACAGCCACGGGCGTGTTGTGGGCATACCGGCCCCTCCAGGCTGAGACCCTCTGCAGGGCGAACCTCTGCAGGGCGGGATCGCTGGAGTAGAGGTGGTCCAGGACCTGGTCCCACTCCGCCTTGTTGACCCAGGCCACCACATGGCGCCTCTTCTTCGAACTGCTTTTCTTCATGGCGGAGGAGCTGCAGAACCACGGAGAGTCCAACTCAACACCGATACCACTGATACACTGGAGATAAACACACGGAGAGAACAGAAACGAGGCATGAAAAGGTTCGCGGCCCTTTTCTTCTTCTTCTTCTTCTTCTGCTTCTTCTTCTTCTTTTCTATTATGGCGGGCAGCAAGCTTGTTTGAGGTGCATACCGCCACCTACTGTACAAGAGTGTAGCAACACGACTTTACAACTATTAAATGTAATTTTTTTAAATGTAGTATTCTGAATATAAATGAATAACGCTTTAATTAATCCGTAAGGAAAGAAGATTATACAGACATCCACCATCTTTCCCTCATTGCCCAATTTTCCTTTAAGAAGATATTTTTAATCAGAGTGGCGGAAACGTGCTTCCATCATAAATATTCAATAAGAATGTCAACATAAATAAATAAAATAAAGTTTAAAAAAGTGATCGATTTAATGTTAAAACTGCCTGCCACTGGCCTTTAGTAAAGTCACCATGTTGTGAGCTCCGCCCTGCTGAAACCTCTGCAGAAAAAAAGAGCCTCTAAAGGAAAAGTTTGGAGTTTGCTTTAAACTGATTTACCTTGTTGAAGAAGATTTGTCTCGTCCTCTTCGCTTGTGCAACTCGTGAAGCTGAAAGTGTACGAGGTATGTGTTTAAACAAACAAATGCTTTTTCTTTCACGCTCAAGTTGGTCTCCGTTTGCGGATCCCAATTTGGGAAACGACTCTTATGGATAAAGGGCGATTCCGCCACCATCCGCATCTTTAATCGACTCTAGTTTAAAAAGTACAACACCTTGACACTTCAAACCCGGACTGGATTATTCTGATCTAATAGCATAATATTTATAACCATGTTGTCGTGAAACATTTTTCAGATTTGTAGAACTGCAATAAAGGGCAATTTCTACCTTTTCGTTTTGAGATCTGCTCTGTAATCCCCAAACTTCCAAAATCCTCCAATATGCCATTAGATATATTACACACGTTTCTCCAGGCCAGACATGTTGTTATATTTTTAGATAAATATAAGTATTAAAGATATAGGAGAATTTAAGGACTGAGAGGTCTTTGTTTGCTTGGGGATGCATGTTTTGTCTCTGGAGGAGCAGGATACCTGCAGTCACAATTTGCCCTGACAGGAGGACAAATGCACCACAGATGCCAGCCAGGGGGAAAGAGTGTACAACTAGCAGGAGAGTGGATCAAAGACTAGATGTCCCGAGAAACTCTAGTTTTATAATGGCCCAGAAGGACTCGAGAGCTGAAGTTTTATGGTCCAGAGAGACAACAAACAAACTAACCTCAGGAGACGCAAAGACAGTACCTTGAGAATGTGTATTCTGTTTGCCACTCCTTCTATGCAAATATGTGTAATTAAGCTACACCACAATGTAATAAAATATGCATTTGCAGAGAAGCACGTTAGAACTGTTCCGGAGACAGAGACAACAGGATGTCTCTGGGCAGAGTTCTCCGTTCAATTGGAAGATTGCATTAGAAAATTTAACCGTCTCCCTGTGTCTTTATTAATGTCCAGAGAGAGTGTTAGGTAATAGATCCAACGCATATATTTGTTGATTCATTTAATGAAGTATAAAACGTTTTCCAAGAAGATTTTAAGATGTTCAGATGGACACAGAGAGACTAGTTTCTTTGATAAACCAGCAAATTTAGAACTTTCATTTCTTTTCCATTAGCTGAGTAGACTGCTCAATGTGTATGTTTGCTAAAAACTGTAGAAGAAAGACATTATTACTCTCTATGTCTTTATCACAAGTCATGTCATCACTTCAACATTCAATAGCAATATCACATGCTTCATTCTTCATCCAACTGAGATAGCAAAATATAAGTGAATCAGCAATATCTCTTGTCTCTAGTTAACTTACAGAATTAGTTTCAGTGTCCTGCTAGTGAAAAGTAGTCATGAGAGGTCCAACATCTCTATATGTTAAATATTAATTTGTCATACGTTTCTTTCAGATTCTGACAGGGTTCTGTCGCTTGTCGAGCAAAAACCTGGATTCACAATTTTTCACAGAACTTGACAAATACACCCCTCACTTCTTTGAGATTTTCAAGAGCAAAGGGGAAGTGTTGGCCAGAAACTTCAAATTTATCTGCAACAAGTCAGACCCGAGGTGAGTTTCTCAGAAACAAAGTCATTATTTTATTATCATGTTGGGAACACATTGCACAACCCCACTGTGTATGCAGAGCTGTTAATTGATTCTTCTTTACCACAGGAGTGATGTGTGTTTGATATGATTTTTCAGAGTACGGATATTACTCCGACGCAAACGGCAGTGCTCCGTGGCCTTCCTGTGATCCTTGGAGATGGGAACACAGACTTCAAGACATGATTTGTAGGTCATCTTTATTATATTTTTATAATTCCACACCGCAGTATGTCCCATTTAATTCTGCTCCTTATGTGACTTTGATAGCTTTAGTTTTAGTTACTGTTCTTTCACTCAGCCTGAACCAGTGCTACTGTACTTCTTACATGATGCACTGATGAAATATCCTCAATCAAAACACTTTTAGTGGTTCTCTGCTGTCTTTCGAAAGGTTTCAGTTGCAGTTCTCTAACGTCACAACATGTGAAACCCAAATGTCATCAAGAACAAAAACTGTACAATGAATTTCATTTAGCTGATGAAGTGCAACATGTAAAAATGTTATGAACTTTCCCTTCCAACATCATCAACACTTATTTATCACTGACACTCTTGGGAAATGCGCTCGCTGTACTGTCATAGGAGGCTGATGATGAGTGGACTGCCATAGGTGGGACAGCTGTGAAGTGTTACGTTGATATGTAATTGTGGTGTTGCTTCTATTGATGTTAGGACTGCGAGGACCCAGACGTTTCTCACACCCCCATTGGGATCCTGACCATCATTCCTGAGGACAGGCAGGCCTCCCCTGACTCACTGCACCTTGAGTCTTTATCCATCTATTTTGGAAGGAAATCTTGTCATGAATGACCTTGGAAATCTTCCACATGCTATGTGCTTGCTGTTTGAACTTATTTATGCTTTGAATTTGGAGTACACTCAACAAGTACACCTTTGATTTCATCCAAAGGGTGTTTCTCTCACTTGGACATAAATCCCTAAAACCAAAAATACAATCACTCAAAAATCTTCTGATGCATTGACTGAATGTGATGTGACATTATGGATCAACGTTGATACCTTTACCCTTATTGGAAAAGTGATTTTTATTTCTCTATTGATTCTTTTTTAATTGTTTTGATTCGTTTTGAAGACTGAGGGCCATTTGAAGGATTCAATATTGGATTGAAGGCTGCCCTAGAAAAAAAGTTTATGGAAAACTTTGTTTCCAGGTTAGTGTGTCTGTAACCACACTCGAGAATCCTGTATTTAAGGTAAACTTGTTTAATTATTAAACATTTTTTTCCATTCAAACTGTCGTCTGTTGGCTCTTCGTTGGTTCTTCTTACTTGAACATATCAAGGCAATCGGTTTCCTGATATTTTGCAAGTAATGTGAACGCTTTAACGTGTAAGCATAACTTATTTTTATGACTACTGCTTAACTGACATAACTCACACATTGAAGTAGTCATAATTGACATTTGATAGTCAACCTTATGATTTGGAGTTACCTATACTCAAGTTTACTGCCATTACATGAGTTGTCTGAATGAACATTTTACAGTTAACCCAATTAATGATTTTGAGTTCATGGTACTCAGGTTTACTGCCATTATCTGAGTTGTCTAAACATAGTTGTTTATAGTGTTACGGCCCAAGGCTAGTCCTTTGGGGGTTTAGCATCCAGATCTTCTCATTGGTGCTGATTGGAAGTGGAGGCAGCTGGCCAGTGTCTCCATGAATGACATCAGATCAGCATAAAATGCATCACCTTTTTCTCATCAACCCAGCCCTTTTCTTTCTGTCTGCCCACTTCTCCTCTTTTTTCCCTTTCCTTTCCAACCAGCTATGATTTTTGTTAAATAAATCCTATTTTAAGTTATCCCATGCATTGCTTCCTTTAATTTGTTATGGTATCAGAGCCAGACCATAACAAATTGGGGGCTCATCCAAATTTATGTTATAGTTTGGTGTGACAGTTTTCTTTTTTGTTAGTAAGTTTTGTTTATTAATTTAATTAGGAAGTTAGTGTGGGAATCTTGAGTTTAGTCTGAGAGAAATGTTTTTTTTTCTCTTCTTTTTCTGGTTTGGGGTAAGTGGTTTGCTTTCATTTCATCTGATGACTCAAATGGTAAGTGTGATTGTTGACTGGTTTGTGCAATTAAGTATGACTGATCTGAACTGATTCTCCTTCAGGCCTCAGCGTGTCTCCCCTTTGGGAGTCATGTGCTCAAAAAACAGTAGAGTGAGATCATATGGTTAGAGCAATTGTCTCGGGGGCACAGCCGTAGTGTTGAGAAGGTTGCCAGTTTTCTGGTCGCTTTTTTCACTCTACTGGTATTTAGTGCATAAGTACCCACCGTCCCTGATCTCTGAAGACTAGGGTTGAGCTAGTTAGTGTCTGATAGGCAGTTAGAGGAGGTTCAGGTTGGTTGTTTTGTGTTGCACAGATTGTCAGCAATTTACTTTAAATTTTGAAAAACTGTTTTCTGATTAAGAACTTAATTATGTCTGTTGAAGATTTAAATAAAAATCCATCAGCAGGATTTCTGGATTTGTGTTCAAGAGAACAATTAGTAAAAATTGCTGAGCACTATAAAATAAGTGTTGGTGATAAACGGTTGAAAGAAAATGTTAAAGCAATTTTAAGGGAAAACTTAATTGAAATGGGCGTTTTGTCTTTGCCTTCAATGCCTGAAGATTTGGATTTAGAGGTTGTAAAGCCTAAACTTTTGGATTTTGAACAACAAAAAGAGATGTTAAGATTAAGAATGCAACTGGAGAAGGAAAAGGAGTTGGCTTTGGAGAATTTACGACAGCAAGCAGATTTGGATAAGGTTCTTGCTTTGGAAAAACTAAGACAGGAAACTAAATTGGCAAAAATAAATTTGGAAAGTGAGAAATTAAATCTAATGAAAGAAGGCAAATTGTCTGTGGAATCTTGTGTTATGGACTCAAAATGTAAGGCTTCTGACATTTTAATTGACTTGCGTTTGGTGCCTAAGTTTAGTGAAAAAGATGTTGAAACTTTTTTCACTTTGTTTGAAAGGGTTGCAGAGACAAGAGACTGGTCTGATTCAGACCGCATAGTTTTGCTTCAGTGTGTTTTGGTTGGTCGTGCTCAGGAAGCTTTTTTCCATGTTGAGCTTAAATGATGGCCAGGATTATGCCAAGGTTAAAGCTGCAATACTGAAAGCGTATGAATTAGTCCCTGAAGCATACAGGCAGAAGTTTAGAAACTGGAAAAAAGGTGACAAAACTTATGTAGAGTTTGCAAGGGATTTGGAGATTCATTTCAATCGTTGGTGCACTTCCTCTGAGGTTAAAACACTTGGTGACCTCTGTAATTTAATGGTTCTTGACAATTTAAGAACTCTGTATCTCAAGGCATTGCAATGTACATTAATCAACAGAAGGTAAAAACTGTATCAGAAGCTGCAGTGTTGGCAGATGATTTTGTCTTGACACATAAAGATACTGGTGGAGAACACACAGATGGCATGAGTGCTCCAAACTGGCGTTCAACACGTTCTGGAGGGTTTTTTTCAGACCGCAGTATCCGTTAGCCGGACAAAATTTGTAATTATTGTCACAGAAAGGGTCATTGGAAGAAAGACTGTGCTTTGTTGAAATCTAGAAATGAAAATGGAAATCAGGTTAAACCAGCACCACTTGCTGCATCAGTTTTAAATGTTTCTGACAAAATGACTGAAGTGCCATTTCCCAGAAAACCTGATTTGAGTTCTTATAAACCATTTCTTATGGAAGGAGAAGTTTCTTTAATTGGAAGTGACGTCAGGGTGCCAGTTACCATTTTAAGAGATACTGGTGCATATGATTCATTCATTCTGTCATCAGTGTTGTCTTTTTCAGATGAGTCTGACACTGGATTATCAATACCTGTGTTGGGTATGGGCATGTCTGTGTTTTGTGTTCCAGTACATAAGCTTGTGCTTCATTCGGAGTTGTTTGAAGGAGAAGTAAGGATGGGTGTTAGACCTGCACTACCTGTGGTTGGTGTCACAGTTATATTGGGGAACCATATAGCTGGAGGGAAAGTCTGGCCTGATCAACCAGAATCTCCAGTTATTGTTTCAGTACCTTTGGTCAGCTGTGGTCCTGACGAAAATGAAAAATCACACCCAGAAGTTTTCCAAGCATGTGCTGTGACACGAGCAATGAAAGCATCCAGTGATGATCATCCGGATGAAAACTTTGGAAAAGATACACAGATGTCCTCTTTTTGTTGGTCTAATTTCACAGAGTGATTTGGGGCAGGAGCAAAGATCTGACCCCACAATACAGCATTTGTTTCAGTCTGCATTACCTGCTGAGGAGATGCAGAACCATGCTCATGGATACTTTGTTGAGAACGAGGTACTGTTAAGGAAGTGGATGCCATGTGGTGACGATGTTATTGGGCAGCCAGTTTATCAGGTTGTTGTGCCTTTGAAATTGCGTGACTTGGTCTTGCAGGTATCCCATGATAAGTCCGGACACATGGGAGTCAGAAAAACCTATGACCGCATTTTGAGAAGTTTTTTTTGGTCGCGGCTGAAAAAAGATATTGCTTCATATATTAAAACCTGTCACACCTGTCAGTTGACTGGTAAACCCAATCAAGTCATAAACCGGGCACCACTGTATCCTATTCCAACTATTGGTAAACCATTTGAGCACTTAATAATTGACTGTGTGGGTCCTCTTCCACCTTCACGTTTGGGTGCTAAGTATCTTTTGACAGTTGTGCCAAAGTACCAGGTATCCAGCAACCTATCCATTGCACACTTACTGCAAAGTCTGTGGTGCGAGCGCTTGGGCAATTTATTGGTATTTTTGGAATACCTAAAGTCATTCAGAGTGACCAAGGATCTAATTTCTCCTCTCATTTGTTTGCACAGGTTTTGAAGCAGCTACACATTCAGCATAATCAATCTACAGCATATCACGCACAGAGCCAAGGAGCACTGGAGCGCTTTCATCAGACATTAAAATCTTTACTCCGTGCTAACTGTGTTCAGATGAAGGCTGATTGGGAGGATGGTCTGCCTTGGTTATTACTTGCAGCGAGAGAAGTAACGCAATAAAGTACGGGCTTTAGCCCTAATGAATTAGTATTTGGTCATACTGTGCGTGGTCCATTAACAGTTTTGCGAGATGAGTGGAAAGATGCTGAACCACCACAAAACTTGTTGCATTATGTTAATGGGTTTAAGCAGAGACTCTTTACTGCAATGCAGATGGCAAATAAGAACCTATCATCTGCACAGGAAAAAATGAAGTGCTTGTATGATAAGAAAGCTGAACATTGTGTTTTTCTTTCAGGTGATCAAGTGCTGGCTTTACTTCCTGTTGTGACTTCACCATTTCAGGCCAAGTTTTCTGGCCCACACACAGTTTTGAAACAGCTTTCTGACCAAAACTATCTCATTGCAACTCCAGAAAGACGGAAGAAACAGCAGACGGTTCATGTAAACCTCTTAAAACCATACCACGTTCGTGGTAAGACTGTATTGGTGGATGATATTCACCCTGTGTGCATCAGTGAAACGGCGACATTTGCTGGAGGTGAATGGAATGGCGATGGGTTGCCTGTTCCAGATTCAGCCATGCTAACTGGTTGACTTATAAATTCTGAAGAACTTGGACACTATGCTGAATTATTTACCAGAGACTCAATGCTTTGAGTTGATTCAGTTGATAAAATCTTACTCTGATTTATTTGCAGATATTCCATCCCGCACACATCTGATTGAACATGATATTGAGATGTTGATACATAGGTTGCCCAGGGTTCCGGTGGGGCCCCTGTTTTGAAGCGGGGGGGGGGGGGGGGTGTTACGGCCCAAGGCTAGTCCTTTGGGGGTTTAGCATCCAGATCTTCTCATTGGTGCTGATTGGAAGTGGAGGCAGCTGGCCAGTGTCTCCATGAATGACATCAGATCAGCATAAAATACATCACCTTTTTCTCATCAACCCAGCCCTTTTCTTTCTGTCTGCCCACTTCTCCTCTTTTTTCCCTTTCCTCTCCAACCAGCTATGATTTTTGTTAAATAAATCCTATTTTAAGTTATCCCATGCATTGCTTCCTTTAATTTGTTATGGTACCAGAGCCAGACCATAACAATAGCTATAACACCTTAAAATGAATTAGCTCTTTATTTGGAGATTTTGAGGCAATTGGTTTCCTAACTTTTTTTTAAGTAAAGTGAAGTAATTATATTTTACAGTGTAATGATATTCATGTTCTGGTTCACAAGAACATGACATACAATTATAATATTGGTAGTATGTTTTTATGTGTTCTGAGAATTTTATTCCTTTTTTTGCTTCATCAGAAATTGTTAGACAAGTTCTTCTAGGATTATGCTTTTTGGTGTTTTCTTACTTCCAGATTAAAAAGCACAAGTGGACAACTTTGTATGTAACAACTTAAATTTTTATGGTGAGCTATTAGGTGATCTTCTTTATCTCCTTTTCATGATTAGGCTGGAGAGTTTCCTTTAAATCTAAGAAGAATTAAGCTAATCTTTATGTGTTGCTGAAACATTTTTAAGCAATGCATGCCCACCAATAAAACATGACACAATAAAACATGTTATTTTGCATTGCAAGAATTACCGGATTCAGAGAAACAAGTTAATGAGGAACCTCAGTAATATGAAAGTGAAATTTGAAGCAGAGGATATCAGGCTAGATTTGATTTAGATGTAAAGTTTTTATTTATTTTTTATTTTTTGCCAACCGCTAATAAATTTCAAGAAAAAGATCATGAAGAAGACGACATCCACACGGCAAGTGGCGGTGTTACATCGATCGACGTTTCCCCATCAGATACGGTTATCTTATAGATATTATTTTCACGCATAAACGTGAAGAAGGTGTGATAACTTTTCCGAAACGCGTTGTTTGAGCTTTCACGGTGACCGTAGTTCTCCAAAGCGCGTGCATGCGCTTTGGAGAACTACGGTGCTCACAACGAGCGAGCCGAGTATACTTGCAAACTCAACTACGGACCTTAACATTGCTGACCAAAGGAAATCATAAAGTCAATATCTGACGATGACGAACATTCAAATGAAAACTAACTTCATGGCGGTGTAAGACATAAGGTAAAATTAGATTGTTCTCTGCTCTTATGTCTTTGTGTTTGTGAAGAAGGTCTGGTAAATTCCTTGGACGCCGGTCTCTCTCCTAGGGAGACTGGACGAAGCAACCAGGAATAATGAAAATATGAATTTTGATAGAGCGGAGTTTTGTTCTGTAGTTCATGGATTAATGTGAAATAAAAATTATTAAAACTAGTGTTGCTACTGGTTTTAGATTAGTTAAAACTGTTTTTCTATGTTTGGTAAAAAAAAAAAAAACCTCGTTCTGTGCTGATAATGCGTGGGTGAAACAAAAGTGTAACAAATGGCTTACTACCAGGTCAGTAATGAAACCTGTCATAGTTTATTTGCTAAGGTCAGTTTGCTGATTATGTTGTTTATTGCCGAGAGATGAAACCAAGGTTTTGCCTTAAAGGTTCGCGTTGAGCGCCTGAACATGGAGACTTTTCAATCCGCGACATGAGTTTTTTTTTTTTTTTTTTTTTTTTCCGCGACATGAGTAAGGGCGTCGCTCAGCCGCCAAGATGACGCGTTGGGTAACGCCCCCAATGAGTGATATGTAAATTACAAACCTAATTTCAAACTGGTTTCATACAATATTTGAATAAATGTAATAAAAAAGAACCCATATTGTTCACAGCGCAATAATATCAACACATGACATCAAACAAAAAATAATATACAGGAATAAAATAACCTGTAACCTGAAAAATATTATTGTTGCTGTTTCTTGACAGTTTCACAATATACAAAAGGTATAGGTATTAAATTTATCTATATGTAACGTTCCCCGTTTGTTATCTTGTCACCGAGCACAACAAATAATGACGATAGTTCACAACGTGAAGTGAGTGAGTGGTTCATGTGAGTGGTCCCTTATGTCTCTGTGTTTTAATTTTTCGGCTGAAAAATAAAAACATAGATCGCATCATGACGGCGTGATCAGCCAGGAACACCAACTGGGGCAGATCCTACTCATAGGGTCATATTTTTTCACCCCAACCACGATAAAACTATAAATTATATTTGCAAATATAATTTATATATTTATAAATTAATGTTCTTATAGATGTTAAATGTTCTTATAGTAGCCTATTTCGTTGATTGTTGAACTAGAAAAATATGACCCCAAGTAAAAAAAGCAATGAAGAGCTGCCTCTCTCTCACCTCCCTCCACCAGCACTCTGCAAAATTTTGATGGGGGAGCGCCTGAAGGAGCCGTCGCATGCAGTCCATCATCACACCACTAGGTGTCTCTAAACATTTGCATCAATTAAAAATCCCATTAGAAACGGATACAATTATTATTTTGGGTCAAATTCATATGTACATATACATACACTTTGCTCTCTGTTACATATAGACCAGTGATATTTTTGTTTAATACATCAGAAAATATTTTCCAGGCTTTAAGATGGCAAGGTCATTGAGACATTACAGCTATAGCAGATTAAGAACTTTAATTGATTTTATCAATGTTTCTGTTTGCAAAAAACTGTTGAAGAAAGACATCACTAATGTTTAGCCATTTATTTATCATAAGACATATCATGACATATCATATCACAGAAAGACTGTTTATTTTTAAACAGGCCACAGAGTCAAAGAAGACTGCACAGAGTTCAACATTCAACAACAGCATCAGATGCTGCATGATTTCCTAATATTCTGCAGCCCTGCTTCGTACTACTGTTCCTGCAGGTTAATGTGTTTGTGTTTCTTGTTTTGCAGATGTTGACTTTCAGCATTAGGAGTCACAACTTGGTTCATCCCGCATCTCTATGAGAAGATGTTTTCTATTCCAGACAAATTTCATCTTGCCTTTGACAATTGGACAACAATATCTATGCTTCTGGTAATTTTTTAATGAAAAAAACAATGGATATTTTTCTTAGAAAAGTGATTTTTACAAAATGGTAAATTTATAAATGATTTAAACTGTCTTCATAATCAAATCCATGATTCATTTACAGTTTCCTTTAAATCTAAGAAGAATTAAGCTAATCTTTATGTGTTGCTTAAACATTTTTAAGCAATGCATGCCCACCAATTCCCCCATTATCACCCCAGTGGTTGACCTGCAATTGTAAAAGTTAATTCATGTGGTACATTGTATTAATTAATTTTTAAGTTTGAACTGTCTTTAAAACAAATTCATGTGTTTGCTACACATAAAATACACATTTTAAAATGTATAAAGTGTTCCCAGAGGGTTTTACTGTCAGAGGTGGAAACAAATGACACAAACTGATGTTACTGATTGTTGTTGTATTTGTACTCTTCAAAACATTTAGGTTTCACAGAAAAGCAAGAAGAGAAGTATGTAATCAAATTTGCATTTCTAAACTTGAATTCAATATATTGTTGCACTGCCCACCAAAAATGATGACCTGGGCGGAACACAATGCACTACATAATAAAGCATAATTTAACAAAGCTTCAAGGGAGATACATTTTCCTTTAGGAATTTTAATAATCGAGGTACTCGAATCATTCGAAGAATCGTTTCAGCCCTAAACTGAATTAAGTTCAATAATTGCAGCAACTAACGTTAAGGACAAGTTGAGCTCTACTAGAAGCTAACCTAATAATATAAATAGCTGTCGATATAAATTAATGTTATGTTGACATAGAACTACTAAAAGGTGTTGTGTTGCCACAAGGTTTATTCGCTGATTTCACTCACGTGTTTGAAGAGGAAAAATAAAAACTTCCACAGCGTTCCGAAATAAGGATCCAAACAAACATTTATTCCACAGTTTTGCGTGTTATCCTTTACAACAGCAGTTGTATCTTAGCTTACTTCCACAAACAACTACGGCTGAAAAACTGTGTGTGTCTGCAAATATAACTTGCAGCGCCTTTCCTTTCTCCCTTGTTAACGCTCCAGCGTGCACACCTCATTTGCATAAATTGCAGAATGGACACTTAAGCTATAAACATACAACTTACAATAAAACACTCATTGATAACAAACATTACAACATGCAGTACTAATAATTTTACCTAATCCTCAACAAATGCACTTATTAAATTACATATTAAACAAATATGTTTTAACAGTAACTGAATATTACTTTACATTCACTTGGCCTCCACAGGTGTCATCTAAACAGGGTAAACAATAACTGATCTTAAAGGGACATGCTGCTGTCAACTAGAATCTGGTTCAAATTGTTAGAAAAACTTTTTCCTTTTCACAGATGATTCTGATGAGAGACTTCAGAGTCGATTCCTTCACATGTCATCAAACTGAATACAGGACAGGAGATGAATGCTGTCCTCTGTGTCCTGCTGGTATGTTCCAGTTAGTTATGAATTACTCTTTATTCTCATATATTCTCTGGATGCTTTCATTGCCTGAATCTTGTTCATCCTACAATCCATTTTGTTCTTTAAAATGAGAAAGACTGTTTATTTTTAAACAGGCCACAGAGTCAAAGAAGACTGCACAGAGTTCAAAAGTACAGACTGTCAGAGATGTTCAGATGGGACTTTCATGAACCTGCCAAATGGACTGAAGAGATGCAATCCATGTTCTACCTGTGATTCAGGTTTGGTTATGTTGACTTTGTTTTCTATTTTTAATAAAATATATTTCATTTTTTAATGAAATCATTTTCACATCTGCTTCCTCAACTGCACAAACAGCTTTGTTCTAAATGTCTGCAGTGTGTTAAATCTTTTATATTTAAGCAAAAGATGCCTCACTCACTCCATGTGGTTCCTTTTTTACATGCTACTTTCAGTTTATGACTGTTGGGTCTGTTGTTTTCTGTCACTTTACATCTGATACATATTCTCTTACAATGTAGAAATAAAATTTCTTTAAAAACGGTGGTAAATCTGGTTAGTGATGTTGGACTGCTCTCATTTTGAACACAAATGTAAATTATGTAAACAATTCAGATATGTCCTCTATTATTCAGTTGGACAAACTGTCTCACTTAAATGAGGTTCACCATGTTGCTGTTAGTTTTCTCCATACATGTGTGATCTGTATATGTTCACAGGAGCTGGTCTGAAGGAAAAGCAACAATGTAAACTAACTAGAGACACAGTTTGTGAACCAATGGAGGGATTCTTCTGTACAGACCTTAAATCAGAAGGTTGTGCTGTAGCACAGAAACACAGGATCTGTGAACCAGGACAGTACATCAGCAGCAATGGTTGGTCTAATTCTCTTCAACACATAAATGGTTTTACTTTTGGATTAATTCTGACTTTTGAAAAGAATAAACTGAGTTACATGTTGAACAGAACTGAATGTCAGATCAAAATCTTCTGACTAACATTAAACTGGTTTGTGTTTATACAGGAACAGCCTCCACAGACACAGAATGCTCTGAATGCAGCAGTGGATCATTTTCTGATGGATCTATGTTGTCATGTCAGCCTCACAGACAGTAAGATAGTATCTTAAAAGCAGCATAAACACAGGATGATGTTTTACCAAGTGATTTATCTGGATTCATGTTTGTTATTTCAGATGTGAAAAAGAAAACCTACTGCTGATAAAAGCAGGAACATCTTCAACTGATGCTGAATGTGGAGAAAAAAGTTCCAACACCACAGGAATTGTGATCAGTATTCTGGTGGTTTTATTAGTTGCAGCAACAACAATTGTTCTCTGGAAAACTAAAAAAAATTAATACCAAGTGAGTTGAAAAAGATGTAGTTAAAATATTATCAGCAGTTTATTTTTACTGTTTTAATAATTGTAACATTTCATTTTTAACAGACATTTGTACAAAACGGAAAAAAACCCAAAGGGTAAGTAGGTTTCTAACTGAACTGTAATGTGAACAGATATTGATAACAATATTTAGTTTAGTCAATAATTTGTCTCATCTTCTACGTGAAAGGGCACAACAGAAGGAGCAGAACAGGGAGAATATGAGGTAAGAAGAACATTGTTCTTTGGTTAATAATAATAATATTATTACGGTACTAATAATAATATAGGATAGATTGTTTTTTTCTGGTCATTGTTCTGAAAGACTGAGATTGATTATTTTCTCTAAGGAATGAAATAAACGTCTTTATAGACTAAAGTCTGACTATCAAGGATTCTGGTTGAGCAGCTGACTGAATGTTTCCATTAAAATCTAATAGATTTTGTGCCTTTTCTCTGTGCAGCGCAATAAACACAAACTCACATGCTGATGATGATTAGATACTATCTAGTAGCCACAGCTTCCCTGGGACAATCTGACAGGTGATGCTACCAAACACGGGCAACACCAGGTTCTCTGATCAGAACCAGCAAGCAAGGCGAGTGAACTGACTTCCAGAAGGTCATAACGACCAAGATCGATGAACCAGCAACCTACCGATTGAAGGGAAAGTCCTTCTACCATCACCATTAAATGAATTACTCCATGTGAAACCAACCAACCTGAGAAATTTGGACAGTTTTGTAAAGAAATCTGAGTGATCTGGATGTGATCAGTGAGATCCACCAGCTTTAAAATCATTTTATTGATATTTATATTCTGCTTCACAGGACTTGACATAAAATGTCAACGTTGTTGATATCTTTCTAATTTTCTGAAATCCTAAAAACAGCTGAACAAATAGCATTACAGTTATTATTGTGCTTTTCTTTTGCAGATAAAAATGCTCAAGTGAATAACTTTATTCATAATAAATGTAATTTTTTTAATGCTGTCATGCATTTATTGTCACAAAGACATATTCACCATAGTGACTTGTATCAAAGTGGTGAAGAAGTGATTTACCAGGGCCATTCATTGGTACATTTGTTCATTTGTTAGCAGTGACTATTGATGATGTGATTTTAGATAAGACGTTAATTTAGACACCAGCTGAGAGTTGAAGAAAATCTTCTGAAACTGAAGTTGCTATGTTGAATTTTCTGCTTCTGACAGTAGGCTTTGACTTGTCTTGATGTCTCTTTGAAGAGCAAATGTAAATATATTTTGTAATTAAATATTGAAAATGTGAAACTTAGTTTTTTGCACCTTGTTTTTTCTGCTCAGGTGAAGTGCACTAGGTAGTTCGCCTAAATATTCCTCTAAGCAACAAACTAAATCATCAAAAACCATCAATAACATGGAATGTTGTTGGCTAAATTATAGATTGACTGAGTGTGAACCTGTAATCACTCTTATAGATTCTGATAGTGTTGGATTAAATAAACCTGATCACAAAATCACTGTATTGATGACACACACAGATTGTGTGTTCAGTGATTGGAAGTTAACATTTTGGACCAGCCAGAGTCCTATCTTAAGTTTGATGAGGGCAGTGGTGGTTTCTGATATGGGCAACCAGCCAGGGCAGCATTTTGCAAGGGGTGGCATGAGCAACCCCCGGACACGCTCATCAACCTCTCTGGGAATATCGTGTCAATCCTTCTATTTTTGGAGGACTGACCCTAGACGTAAAAATAAATGCTGACATGCAGGAGTATCTAAACAATATTATTAATTCAGTTTTTTAAAAAAATTATTTCAAATGAGTAATAGAAAGTTAGAATTTGTGAAGTAATCTCAGGAAAATATAGAAATATAGAAAATGAAACTCCACAGGGAGTATTATAAGTCTGCTACTGTTCTTAATTATGATAAATGACATATTTAAAAATATTGGAAAATAAATGGGATGTTCACTTTTTGCAGATGATGGAGTTGCTTGGAAAAGAGGGAAAATGTAGATTTCATTGTGAAGAAATTACAAAAGGTTATTATTGAAATAGAGAAATGGGCGTTGCAATGGGGACTTTAGTTTTCAGTTGAAAACACAAAATTAATTATATTTAATAAAAAGAAAAATAAACAGAAATAAAATTACAATTATTTAACCAAGAATTGGAGCAAGTAAAGTGTACAACATTTTTGGAATATGGTTTGATGAAAAAAATTTAATGTGATGTAGATATTCAAAAAGTTGTTGATAAATGTAAGAAAATCTTAAATATTTTAAGATGCTGACAGTGACTGGGGAGCAGATAGGCAATCATTAAAGCAGATTTATACAAGTATGATAAGATCTAATATAGACCTGGGTTGTACAGTTTATGATTCAGCAGCTAAAACACACCTGGTTAAATTAGACATTATTCAACATCAGGCATTAAGATTATGTATTGGAGCATTTAAAACCACATCAACAGCAGCAATAGCAATCGATATGGGAGAAATGGCATTAGATTTAAGAAGAACAAAACTAGAAATCAATTATTGCTTAAATTTACAAGGCAAAAACTTTGGTCATCCAACCTGGGAGATTTTAAATCCATGTTGGGAAAAAGAAAAGAAAGAAATGGGGAGTTTGGGATGGACAATTGAAAGGAAAAGAAAATAATTTAAAATGAATAATTTTGAAATTAGTCAAACATCAATATCAATAACACCACCATGGATTCTACCAGAAGCAATATGTCAATAATGGAAAAGAAGCAAAATAAAGCTTACATCGTAGATTATGTTTATTTAAACAATCACCATTAATATATTCAAATCTATACAGATGCATTAAAAATAAATGGAAAAATAGGAATAGCTTTTTTTAGCACCAGAATTCAATATAAAAATAGGAAAACGAATTACAGACATGGTTGTCGGCAAAATCATTAGCTTTACAGTGGGTAGAATACCTAAACCATTAAAATAATAATTTGTTCAGATTCAAGCTCTGCATTATTAAGTTTAAAAATAATCATTCAGGTGATGGACATTTTATTAGAAATATTTCATACATTATTCAGCATACAAAATCTGGGCTTGATAGTTATATTTATGTGGCTTCCAGTACATATTGGAGTAGAAAGAGCGCAGATAAAATGGCAAAGAGGGAAATTCAGAATAATATTAGTTTTACAGTTAAAACCAGTAAATCGGAGGGAAAGAGTATTGTTAAACAAAAACTTCTGAAAGTATGCCAAAAATGTGGAATGAAGAAAAAACAGGAAGATGGTTGTATTCAATTCAGAAGATAGTAAGAGAGAGAAGAAACAGAAGACAAAATAGAAAGGAGGAAAAAATGATGATAAGGTTAAGATTTGCTTACAGGACTTTCATAAATTCAAAAGCATGTCACTGTGGACAATATGAAACATCTTCAACTGGTGCTGAATGTGGAAAAAAAAGTTCCCACACCACAAGAGTTGTAATATAGGCAAATGTGATCACTGTGGACAATATGAAACCATAGAGCAAATTATATTAGAAAGTCATAAATTTCAAGAAAAATTTTCAAGAAAAAGATTATGAAGAAGACGACATCCACAGTCCAGTACGGTAGGTGGCGGTATTGCATACTTGTAAACCGCAGAAGAAGAAGATGCCGATCTTATGACAGTGCGGACCAAAGAAAATCAAAATCAATTTTTGACGATGACGAACATTCAACTAAAAATTTACTTAATCGCGATGTGACACGTAAGGTAAAATTACATCGTCAGCTGCTCATATCATGTCTGTGTTTTTAATGAAGGGCCTTAAACGTCGACGGATGTTTTCCTTTCTTAGCCGAAGGACTGGGTGGAGCAACCCGGTCTTGTGCGAAATTCGGTTCCCCTGTGAAAATCTGTTCCCCCTGCGTCGGGAGCGCGCATTACAGCCAGAGAAGCGAAAGAGGATCTGATCATTTTCACGTCGCTTCTGATCGATTTCTCGGTAAAAAAAAAAAAAAAAGCTAATACAACCATGTCAATGTTGTAACACTCAGTTTAATTTGCAGCTGTTGTTTAAAAAAAATTGTAAAATAAATAAATAAACGAGGTCTTCTGACGCTGTTTTGTGTTATTGTAAACACCAAGAGAATCGCTCTTTTCTCACGCAAGCCTGGCAGAAATAAAAGTCAGTCACCAAACACAGTTTTCCCAACACGTAGTGTGTATGTAAAGGTTTTTGTGAATTTGGAAACAGTTGTTCTTTATTCTCCAAGGTTATGGAGTAAGGAGAGGAAATAATGGATGATTCAGCAGCCTGAAATAATCTGTTCCCCCTCCATAAAATGGGAACAAATTATTTTACCTGCAAATGCTTAACTTTGCCTTGTTTGTCAGAGATATGAGGGGGGAACCATATATTTCAGCTGGCTAAAATATTCTGTTCCCCCTCCATAAAATAGGAACAACTGCACTTACCAGCAAGATTTTTTCTCTCTGCTTATTCCTCTTATCATCAACAATAAATCCTGTGAATTTGGTAGCATTTGCTCCTACTTTGCCAGAATTATGGGGGGGAACCAAATATTTTAGCTGTTTTACCTGACTGAAATTATCCGTTCCCCCTCAAAAACATGGAAACAAATGTATTTATCAACAGTAATCATCAACAGCAAACTGGCTGTTGGCAAACAGCAAGTTTGAAAACATTTCATCACTATTTGCTCCATCACCATCTCCACCTGCTCCAGTCCCTCCACCGACTCCATCCCCGCCTCCTGCTCCATCACCGTCTTCCTCTGCTCTGCCATTGACTCCTGTCCAGTCAGCTACCCAGAAAAAAACTCAAGCTGAGAAATGTAAATTTGATTTCCAATTCTTATAAATATATATCAATCCACATGCATTTCAGTTTTTATTATCATACATATATGTCTCACAAAGACTTTATGTCTTTGTACTGATATGCTTTCATCTTATTTTAATAAAAGGAATAATTTCAGTATCATAAAAGGAATAATTTCAGTATGATACTGAAAAAGGAATCCGTTCTGAGGGGGAACGGATTTTTCAGTCAGGTAAAACAGCTGAAATGTATGGTTCCCCCCTCATAACTCTGGCAAAATAGGAGCAAATGATACCAAAATCACAGGATTTATTGTTGATGATGAGAAGAATAGGCAAAGTTACGCATTTGCAGGTAAAATAATTTGTTCCCATTTTATGGAGGGGGAACAGATTATTTCAGGCCGCTGAATCATCCATTATTTCCTCTCCTTACTCCATAATCTTGAGGAATAAAGAACAACTGTTTCCAAATTCACAAAAACCTTTACATACACACTACGTGTTGGGAAAACTGTGTTTGGTGACTGACTTTTATTTCTGCCAGGCTTACGTGAGAAAAGTTGGAAAAAGAGCGATTCTCTTGGTGTTTACAATAACACAAAACAGCGTCAGAAGACCTCCTTTATTTATTTATTTTACCTTTTTTTTAAACAACAGATGCAAATTAAACTGAATGTTACAACATTGACATGGTTGTATTAGTTGTTTTTTTTATCGAGAAATCGATCAGAAGCGACGTGAAAATGATCAGATCCGCCTCTTTCGCCTCTCTGGCTGGAATGCGCGCTCCCGACGCAGGGGGAACAGATTTTCACAGGGGAACCGAATTTCGCACAAGCATTAACGTTGATGGAGCGAGTTCTGTTCTGTAGTTCAGGGATCAATGTGAAATAAAAGTTATTAAAATAGTGTTACTACTGGATAGAATTTAGTCAGAACTGTTTAGCTTTGTTTGGTAGAAAACGGTCTGGTTCTGTGTTGATGATGCGAGGGTTAAACGAAAATGAAACTAATTGCTGATTACCACGTTAGAAAAACGGAAGTAGACAAGAATCTTCTCTTTTCTTGTCATAGTTGATTTGCTTTGGTCAATATACTGATTTTGTTGTTTATTGCTGAAAGTTTTTAAGGATTTTGCCTTTGAAGAAGTGACTGGTCCGCGCTTTTAGCAAGTCACGTGACCGATACAGAAATTTTTATTTATTTTTTATTGATATAAAGGGTTTACAAAACAGCAAAATGAACAATACAAATAAGAAACAAAGCAGACAAAAAAATAATGCCAGGGTGTTATATAGAAAGCACAAAAAAATCGAAACGCAAATAAAAAAAAAAAAGAACTCAGCAAGATATTAAAGTGAGAGCTACCTGTGATTCAGGTGCAGTTATGTTGACATTTTCCTTTTCTACATGCTACTTTCAGTTTATGACTGTTGGGTCTGTTTTCTGTCATTTTACATCTGATACATATTCTCTTACAATGCAGAAATATAATTTCTTTAAAAACGGTGGTAAATCTGGTGATGATGGTTAGCTCTTATTTTGAACACAAATGTAAATTATGTAAACGATTCAGATATGTCCTCTATTATTTAGTTGCACACACTCTCACTTAAATGAGGTTCACCATGTTGCTGTTAGTTTTCTCCATAATATAATCTGTATATGTTCACAGGAGCTGGTCTGAAGGAAAAGCAACAATGTACACTATATACAAACACAATTTGTGAACCAATGGAGGGATTCTTCTGTACAGACCTTAAATCAGAAGGTTGTGCTGTAGCACAGAAACACAGGATTTGTGAACCAGGACAGTATATCAGCAGCAATGGTTGGTCTGGTTCTCTTCAACACATAAATGCTTTTAGTTTTAGATTAATTCTGACTTTTGAAAAGAATAAATTGATCTACATGTTGGTCAGAACTAAAAATCAGATCAAAATCTTCTTCCCAATTTCAAACTGATTTTTGTTTGTACAGAAACAGCCTCCACAGACACAGAATGCTCTGAATGCATTGTGCAGTGATTCCCAAACAGTGGGGCGTGCTGTACATTGCACAGCACCTGTGGATGCCACGACAGTGCACTGTGTGCCCAGTAACTTGATTTTTTTCTTCTTCTGTTTTTTAGGGGTGGTTTATTGCAATCCATAGGCAGGGGGGCAGAAAATCTTTGGGAACTACTGCAGCGGTGGATCATTTTCTGACGGAACGATGTTTTCATGTCAGCCACACAGACAGTAAACTGGTCTCTTATGAACAGCATGAACACAGGATAATGTTTCACCAAGTGATTTACCTGAATTTATGTTTCTGTTATTTCAGATGTGAAGAAGAAAACCTTCAGATGATAAAAGCAGGAACATCTTCAACTGATGCTGAATGTGGAAAAAAAAGTTCCCACACCACAAGAGTTGTGATCAGTGTTCTGGTGATTTCATTAGTTGCAGCAACAATTGTTGTTGTTCTCTGGAAAAAAAAATTCCAATTCCAAGTGAGTTGAATGAACCAATTAAAATATTATTAGCATTTACAAAACCATGTCTGCTTTGTTTCTTATTTGTATTGTTCATAATTAAAATATTATTTGTATATATAATTTTTTTTAAATAATTGTAACATTTTATTTTTAACAATTTTCAAAAAACAATTTCAACTCCAAATGGTAAGTTTATAATTGAATTGTAATATGAACAATTATTGATGAGAATATTTAGTTTATTTTAAAAATTGTCTTTTATATGAATGGACAAAGAAGAACTATGTGAATGCTTGAGAATGTCGGGTCAGAAGATAATAAATCACTGTCCTGAGATTCAGTTCAGGATTTTTCCATCAATATTTAATCGATATGTTGACTTTTAAAATTTTCTCTGTACAGTGGAAGAATCCCCAAACTAAACACCTGGTTGAAGATTTCTAACAATCACTGTGGTTTAGACCCTAAGGAACTTAAAGCTGAGACATTTATTTTTAGTGATCAAAAAGACCAGCTGGAACTCATTTCCCTTCTCTACCTCCCTGGTCCTCACTCTGCACTGATCACAAGTTGTTGAAGCCTATTTGAAAAAATGCTGACTTGTTAAATTATGAGATCTGTGACTGTAAACCTGAAAGATTAACTTCATGTGAAACAAAACTCAGCCATTTTTTACAGTTTTATAAAAAGCCTGAATCTCATTAGTGGCTTTATCCACCAGCTTTAAGATCATATAATGATCATATAATGGTTCACAAGAACATGACACACAATTATAATATTGGTAGTATGTTTTTATGTGTTCTGAGAATTTTATTCCTTTTGTTGCTTCATCAGAAATTGTTAAATAAGCTCTTCTAGGATTATGCTTTTTGGTGTTTTCGTACTTCCAGATTAAAAAGTGCAAGTGGACAACTTTCTATGTTACGAATTAAATTTTTATGTTAGGTCATCTCCTTTATCTCCACTCGAGAGGTGGACAAATGAGAAGAACAGAAAGGATCAGGAGATGAGAGATAATTATTTCATGACTTAGAAACAAACTCACTGGATTGAACAACTCATTATTTTTGATAGGGAAACATCAGACAGGGAAATGTGATTGTGGAGAAGATGAGACAATAAAACATGTTATTTTGTATTGCAAGAATTACTGGATTCAGAGAAACAAGTTAATGAGGAGCCTCAGTAATATAAAAATAAAATTTGAAGCAGTTTTTGGTTGTTGTTTTCTTGTCTTTATAATGTGATCCACATTTGCGGTTTACAATTTTTTTTGCCAACCACCAATAAATTTTAAGAAAAAGATCACGAAGAAGACGACATCCACACGGTAAGTGGCGGTGTTACATCGATCGGCGTTTCCCCGTCAGTTACGGTTATAGATATTATTTTCACGCACAAACGTGAAGAAAGTGTGATAACTTTTCCGAAACGCGTTGTTTGAGCTTTCACGGTGACCGTAGTTCTCCAAAGCGCGTGCATGCTACGCTGGTAGGTTGCGCAACAACATCCCTCACGAAGAGCATGCGCAACCTACCATGAGCATCAAGACAAAATCAACCATGGATCTTATAACATTGCTGACCAAAGGAAATCATAAAGTCAATATCTGACGATGACGAACATTCAAATGAAAACTAACTTCATGGCGGTGTAAGACATAAGGTAAAATTAGATTGTTCTCTGCTCTTATGTCTTTTTGTTTGTGAAGAAGGTCCTCAAAATGGCGACCGCTGTTGTCTCCCAATTAAGAACTGGGCGAAGCAACACGGAAATCTGAAAATATAAACTTTGATGGAGCGCGGTTCTGTTCTATAGTTCATGGATTAATGTGAAATAAAAATTCTTAAAACTAGTGTTGCTACTGGTTAGAGATTAGTTAAAAATGTTTTTCTATGTTTGGTAAAAAAAAAAAAAAAAAAAAAAACTCGTTCTGTGTTGATAATGCGTGGGTGAAACGAAAGTGTAACAAACAAATGGCTTACCACCAGGTCAGCAATGAAACCTATCATAGTATATTTGTTTAGGTCAGTTTGCTGATTACGTTGTTATTATTGAGAGATGAAACCAAGGTTTTGCTTTAAAGGTTCGCGTTGACTTTACGACATTGCGTAAGGCCGATGTGAAAATGGTGTGATTCAGACCTGCCTCTCTTTCTGTTATGCGCGCTCCCGACACAGAACCAGATTTTCACAGGGGAACTGAATTTCGCACAAGACCTCTTGTGTGTGCGAAGTTCGGTTTCCTTGTGAAACCGAATTTGCAGCTCATTCCTGTAGATACCCTTCATTGAAGGGGATCTGCAGGGATGTCCAGCCCCCCCTTGAATTAGTTCCTTAAATTGAAGGAACTAATATAATGAAAAATAAATTTACAAACGGGTTTATCAGTTACAAACTTTCTCCACTCCCATAAATAAACATAGATGGGATTATTTGAGCCAAAAATTGTATTATGGAGTGCAATCTTTTTATTGCCTCATATAGACATAATTACTAATAGAATCAAGAAATTGTTATTTGAGATTTTACAGAAGTAAAAATATTTGTTATTTCTCTCCAGGCGTCAGAAACAACTGCTCTTTTTGTCAGTGTGAAGGTGAAAATATTGAACATTTATTTTTGTAATGTTCTCAAACTACATTATTTTGGTCAGCTTGCAAAAACTCCTTTAAAAAAATGGAAAGAAATATTGTTTTATCAAATTTACATAATTGACTAATCTTTAACAATTAAACTTTTTTTAGATGAAATATAAATCGTGGATCTTATTATAATAACAGCAAAATATTATGTCCACAAGATGAAATGGAGAGAAAAAAATCCCCTCCCCTAATAATTTTCAATAAACTGACTTAAAAATGGATATTGCCTCTTTTGAAAGACTTAATGAAATTTTAACTCTTCTCTAAATATTTCACGTCATCTCATAAGCAGATCCCTGTTATTTTTTCTTTTCTTTTTTGTTTTTCTTTTTGCTATAATATATCCTTCTTCATATTTATTTGAATATATTTTTGACACTTTATGAAAACCTAAAAAAAAACACATTTTATTTGACCAATATATATATTTATTTAACATTTGTCTTTCTAGACTTTAACATCAATATCTGTAATTATTTGTTTTTATCATTATAATATTTTAATATTTGTCTTTCAATTAACATCTGTATGGATGTTCATGTTATTTGTTTGAAATAAAGTAAAAAAAAAAAAAGGGTTTGGAGGTTCACTTAGGGACTGTCAACAAATTTCCAGACCAAAAACTTGTGGCAAACAAATAGAAATAGATGTTTTGCTGTGTGACCAACTTACACAAGAAAGTGGTAAATCATGGTATGACATGAGACACATTATTTCCTATTGATAAATCATATGAAGTATTTTAAGTAATTTTACTATTAAATAATTTTCTTCAATAGCTTCCAAGTCATGTGACCTATTGACCTAAAATCAATGTGAAATTGTTCTACTGGTCTGTATAGACGAGTCACAGTCAATTTGATTCCATTTTAGCTCATTTAAAAAAGATTTTTAGCTATTTTTTGATCAAAATATAGTATTTTTCTTCAATAGCTTATAAGTCATGTGACTTATTGACTCACATGGAGTATATATATCAGATATATCAGTATCAGTATATGTATTAAATATATCAGCCTGTATGTAATGATTGAATATAATGTACAGGTTTCACTTTTTGAATGGAATTACTGATTTACATAAACGTTTTCATAATATTTTAATTTTATGACCAAAACCTACAGAACGTGTTTCTTTTCCAGTAGTTGACTTGATGCCTCATTGTTTATGTTTGTAGCAGATTGGCATTAATAATGTTTAGCTATTTATAACAAGTCATATAATCACTTCCAATATTCAGTAATAATTTTACATATTGGATTCTTTCTCAATATTTTGCAGCCCTGCTTCCTGCAACAGGCTCCTGAGTTCTTACAGGTTAACAGTTTCTTTGTTTCTGTGTTTCTTGTCTTGCAGATGAAAACTTTCAGCATTTGGTGTCACAGTTCAGTTCATCCTGCATCTCCATGAGATGATGTGTTCAGCTCCAGAGAAGTTTAATCCTGCCTTTAACAATGATCTGTTGGGTGGCAACATCTATGTTACTGGTAAATCTATTTATGACATAAAATGTCTATTTCATCAGACTGCTTTTTTTTTTACATTATATTTTTAATGGTAGCCAAGTGTAAACTCAGTGCCTTCATAATCAGATCCATGGTTTATTTGCAGTTTCATTTTAAGTTTATGTCTTGAAAACAAATGTCTTTTTTGAGATCTCACCAGTTTGTGTTAAAAATTGCTGAGGCAGGTATACTAGTGTTTGAAGGGGAATGCACAGCTTGTTGACCAATAGAGTGCAGTACTTAGTTTAGCTTTGCCTCCATCTGGTGTTTTACCACTTTTTGCTACTACATGGAAATCGATGAATGTCCAGGACAAAGTATTCAGATAGTAGAGAAGGAGACTCCCAGCTAAACTGTTTCCAGATAACACGTCAATCTGATGCCAAAATAATGCAGTGTCAGCAGTGTTCGCCCATAAGATCCAGAACTTTCCCCATGTGGTGGTTGTGGGTGACAGATCTAAAGAAATAGAAGTAGCAACAGGATGAATCTTAATGACGGTGACATTTCAAACAGTGTTGTGCTGGCACAGAGGAACAAAATGGTTCATCAAACCACATGCATTCATTTACAGAGATGTAAAGAAATGTTTGTCCACTTCCTGATTTCCTTTTGTTACATATTATCACCCTTCACTGTTTCCGAAAGCAAACCATTGTAAATATTAGTCAAAGACAACAAAAGCAACAGAACAGATGTTGAAATGGACAAAAAATAAAATCAAATTGCAGATTTTAAATGAAAATGTTTATTCATGAAGAAAAGAAAAAGTTCAGGTCCACATGACTGTGTGACAAAATGATTTCCCTCTCTGCTAAATCACAGCTGGTTTATCACAGCTGAGTTCACTGTCTCTATCCACATCTGGGCTGATTACTGCCACAGCTGATCTTAATCAAGCCATTACTTAAACAGGACCTGCATGACAACATGAAGAAAGCCAGACATGCGGAGATCCAGAGAAATTCAGGAACAAATGAGAACAAAGAAAAAAACTTTAAGGTTCTTTCCACTTTCCCAGAACTTGCCTCATTGATCTCCAAGATCTCTGAGAAAACTTTCCATGGACTCTTTGGAAGCTGTGAGTCCCATTAGATTTGCTGTAACATTGTACAGCATTCAGAAAAAGATCACACCAGCAGTTAAACATGATGTGTTTTGGCCTGGTGCTGTTTTGCTGCCCAGAAGACTTTGGAGTGGCCTAGTCAAAGTCCTGACCTGAACCCTATTATGATGCTGCCTGATGACCTTAAAAATGTTGTTCATGCTGGAAAACTCTTCAGTGTGGCTGAATTAGAAACATTCAGCAAACATTAAAGGAAAGAAATTCCTCCACAGCTGAAAAAGACTCACTGCATTGTATCATTAATGCTTGGCTGCTGTTGTTGCTAAAAGTGATCCAACCAGTTATCAGGCTGACGGGGAAATCACTTTTTCACACCACTGTAGATCCTGAGTCCCATGACTCCACATTTCCCAGCATAAAGTCAGCAGTCAAAACATAAATGTGGCTTCCTGGTAGATTTGATAGAACTGGAGGAAGGTCTGATGACTTCAACCAGACACAAAAAGTTTGTTGTCTGGTTGATCAGAGATTGAGGATGTCTAATCAAAGACAAATGGAGCAGATACACCTGGGCAAAAAACAAGAAATAGACAAACTATAAGCAGCAGTAGAATACTGCTTAGTTTAACTACCAGATTGACCTCTGACCTGAACTGAGGCAGTGAGGCCGTCAGAGCTTTAGATGTTGTTCTTGGTTCTTCTGTGACCTTCTGAAGAGGTCGTTGATTCTCCTTGGAGTCATTGTGGTGGACTCCTCATTACTTGGAAGATTCTTCACTATTCAATCATAATAACCCATGAGCAGAGCATGAGTTTATGGGTTCTTGATCATGATTCTCACTGAGGTTTTCTGTCATCTCAAAGACTCAGTAATGATTGTGGAACCTTTTTTAAAGACTGATAGATACCAGTGAATTTATTTCTCATTGTAAATCTCTTCATATCAGTGGGGTGTCAAGTGCTGCTGTTTGAGATAGTTTAGCTTTCTTTATGTTGTCAGAAAAGTTCTAATGAAGTGATATCTCAATTCTACTGGTCAGACTGCAGGTTCAGAACTTTTCTGATAAATAAAATGATCTTTTAGAAAGTACTTTTTGTATTCACTCGGATTATGTTTGTCTGATATTTAAAATGTGTTTTATAATCTGAAACATTTTGGTTTGACAGAAAACCAAAATCAATAAATCTGCATGTAAATCAGATTTGGGTCTCTAGAACTATATTGTATAGATTGTAGCTTTTTAGGTTATAAATAGTCCTGTAATGTTCCTTGAGAGGAAATGTGTTGAGAATTGAAATTTTTTAAATTCAATTCGGTAATTGCAGGAACTAAAGCCAAGGACAGGTTGACATCTGTTAGAAGTTAATCTAATAATATAAATGACTGTTGTAAGACTATTAGATAGAAATGCACAAAATATAGAAAATCTCTTTAATATAAGAATACCTGATGGTTACTCAGAAATTCAACCTGACAGTGTAAATATCTGTCAGAAATTTCTGACACAAATAAAATATTACAGAAAAATATTGACTGATAAAACAAATCAAAATACCTGTCATAGAGGAATGGACAGGGTGTGTTAATGAAATCTATCAAATGGAAAGATTAATATTCTCAATCCATTTTCTGCTGAACAAGTTCAAAGTTCAATGGTGAAAGTGAGTGTCATATGTTAACCAAAAACAATTTGCATGAATATTGGATTGATAATAATTAGTGGAAAGAGTTTTTATCTTCCAGGAAGTGTCTATTTGCTATACAATTTCCTTATGGTTATGTACATAAGAGTAACATGTTTTCAAAGTGCTGCTCCTTTGCTCCGTCTTACTATTCTGTTTTTATTTTGTTGTAAATGTAAATGGTAAAGAGAAGGAACTTTGTAAATGATCACAGACTGTAACCTTGAGGTGGAATCAGGCTTTTATAACCTTCAAAAATCTTCATTGCTTCAAAAATAACAAATTAAATGTCTGTCTGTCCAGCTATTAATGTGGCACTAATCTACAACTGCCAAAGAAAGTAATCAAAACAAGAAAAAAAATAGTGATAGAAAAACTGTTCTTTTCTTCACAGATGATTCTGATGAGAGATTTCAGAGTCGATTCAGACATGTCATAACTGAGTACAGGACAGGTGATGAATGCTGTCCTATGTGTCCTGCTGGTACGTCTCAGTTATGAATTACTGTTTATTCTGATACAGACTCTGTTACAGTTAAGCTGCTTTTATTACCTGAATTTTGTTCATCATGCAAAGAACCATTCTGCTCTTTAAAATGAAAAACTTATTTCCCATCAGGGAGTCGTGTCAAAATAGACTGTACAGAGTTTAAAAGCACATCCTGCCAGAAATGCACAGATGGGTATTACATGGACCTGCCAAATGGACTAAAGAGATGCAATCTATGTTCTACCTGTGATTCAGGTGCAGTTCCTTGACTGTTACTTTTCAACTTGTTTTTTTAATTTTATTTAATTTTATTTTGCATAGGAAAATCTGCTTACAACCAAATATTTGCACTGAATTAAAAAAAAAAGAGTATTACCTAAAATCTATTTATTCTCAAATGATGACATTTCACCTTTGATGTCTGCCTATTTTGAGGTCCTTTCACAATGAGCTGCTTTAGAAATCTGTCACTCTTATGCAAATAAGCTGCAAATAAGCTGGCCACGCCCTCCAAATTAGTGTGTTCTCCATTTATACATGTGAAAATGGTTGGAAACAGATGTGCAATAGTACAGAGGGACATATTTGACCAGTGGGACATAAGACCCAGACTCTGCATGGGTTGCTCGGTGAGAGGCAGTGGACACTGATAATGAGTTTTCTCCATACATATGTAATCTATATATGTTTTTTTCACACTTGGACTATTTCTAGATGCATTATGAAGAAAGTGAGTTCTACTTAATGGGTCCCCTTTAAGAGCATTCTAATTCCTAAATATATAAACTAGATGCTCCTGTTATAAGAACCTCAATTTATAAGCTAGGAGTTTCTCTGGGTAGACTAATAGGAATTTCCTTTTTCTTGGATTATAATAAGGTAAATATTGGTCTAAAATAAAAAAGGACTCTACAATTAAAAAGTATATAAACTAGATACTCCTGTTCTGGTTGCTAGCTCATAGCTAAATGAAAAAAGGAAAAGGTTTGGGGCTTGCTGTTTCAGTGGTTGAAGTTTCACTAACGCCTTCAGGAGATTGATTTCACAGCAAAACCAGATAGAATATAACATTAAATCAACAAAGCTTGTGTATGAAAAGAGGTCTCACTTTAACATGAAGAGGCAGTGATACAATAAATAGTTTTAAAGTGATTTTGTTAATTCTATTTACAATTTACCCTGCCTTCACCTTTTGCCACACATTTGCAATTGCCATGTAAAGTTTTCTAGTATCATCATTGCTGATGGGTGTGTTGTTTCTGTCACTCTGCATCTGCCACAAAATGATTTACCATGTAGGAATATCATTTTTTAGGCAGGAGTTTGTTCTCTAACTGTTGCTAGTTTGAACCCCTTGATATATAAGAATTTTCTATGTTCTTTTGATAAATTGTATGTTTCATGCTCATTTTTTACATTTTCAACACATTTTAAGCACAACTGGAGGTTGAGTGCTGTATGTTGATTGAATCATGATCAATTAACATACATGAGCTCATGGTCGAGCCGTGGGCAGGGAAGCAGCATTGATTGGATAACCCGCGTGGGAGAGGGAAATGGCCTTTCCCTTCTTTCATTCGAGGTTGTTTTGGTAATGAGTATAAAAGGCAGAAAAGTCTCATTGTTCTGTAGAGTCAGAGTAGCGTCGGAGTAGAGTACGGACGCCCAATTAGGTGATGCTGTAGCTCTGCCCGGACTGTCGGCTCTCCAGTTCACTGTGTCACTGTAAGAGCGGATTGAAAGAATCTAAGCATTGCGTATTGTTGTTGTGTGAATGAATTTGCTGTAATCTGTGGCGGAATAAAAGAACACATTTATTCTAGCAGAACAGCGTGTCGTCATTATTTATCACCGATCACCCCCGATCCTGCTTAAAATTTCACAAAACATTTTTGGCGTCACGAACAGGATTTAAGGGGAGACTGATAAATATGTTTAAGAAAATGTTTTAGAAAAAGAAGGCGGAGAACGCTGAGAGAGTTGAAAAAGATGAGATTATTCCCGGCTGGGAACAGCCCCATTGCAAAGACATCGGTTTGTGTTTGCGTAATGGGGGAGGACGGCCGGAGCCCTGGGACAAGCCGGCTGGTCCGGCCGAACTTTTGTCGGTATTAAGAAAGATTGAGGTACGGAGGAAGAGTCCCGCTTCTGGTTTGCAAAGGTATGTGGGCATGCGCTGCTGCGTGGAAGAAGCAGCATGAGGAATGCCAGCAAATGGCTAGTCAGCAGTTAAAGGATAAACAGAAGTTGGCTGATGCTTCGACGGGAGAAATGGTACATAAACAGCATGTTTTATTGTTAACCACACAGTTGGAACAAATGACCGTGCTGGCGGAAAAAGCTGTTGTTCAAGTAGCGGTGTTAAAAAAAGAAAATAAACATCAAAATAAACTCCCTAAACCAACACCGAAGCAGGTTCGGTCGTTTGTGGCTGGTTTAGCAGCAGGGAGGGATCCCGAGAGCTGGGACGGTAACATGTGGAGTGATGAAACAGATGGGCGAGACTATATTTGGGATGAAGGAGAGGACGGAGATGATTGCAGGGATTGTGGGGCTAAACCCGATCCGTCTCCGTATCCTCCGCTGGGAGTGAAGCCGGTCCGTCGGAGACGGCAGGAGCAGCGACATATGCCTAATGTCCGACAGCAACGTGTGGATGCTGCGGGAAATCCGGTGTTGGGTGCTGATGGACAACCAATAATTGATATGGTCCCCCTCAGCAGCCTGAACCGACTTTTCGTACCATTTTAGAGGATTATACACAGGAGGAAGTGTCGCATTTGACCCGTAGATTTCAGCCCGGGGAGCCAACAGATCTATGGCTGGCTAGGATGTTAGATGAAGGAGCGTCACAAGTAGAATAGATTCGGTGGATGGGATGTCGTTTGCAGGTCTGTCTACTGAAGGGGGAATAAATGGCTTTATGTTGTTTAGTTTTTTTTATTCAGGTATATTTTTGTTAATGGAGACTGAAAATCTATTTTTATTTTTGGTTGTTTTAGTTCCAGTGTTAAATGTTCTTTTGAAAATAAAGTCTCTCTTTGGCAGAAAATCACAAGCATTATTGCATCGTTTCCATTAAATCAGTGTAAAAAGGTCTTGAAGCAATATTATTGTTTATCCCAATAATTTATGAGACAATTAATCGCTCAGCAAAATTTATTATTGTGACAGGCCTAACTTAAAGGGCGACTGTGGTTGTGTGGCAGAGTTGTCATCTTGTAATCGGAAGGTTGTAGGTTCGATTCCAGCTCCCTCCTGCCACATGTCGATGTGCCTCTGGGCAAGGCACTTAACCCCAAATTGCCTACCGGTCTGGGTATCGGTGTATGAATGTGTGTGCGAATGTGACTCTAGTGTAAAGCACTTTGAGTAGTCAAAATGACTGGAAAAGCGCTATATAAGTTCAGTCCATTTACCATATAAATGAGGTTCATCATGTCACTGTTAGTTTTCTCCATACATATGTAATCTGTATATGTTCACAGGAGCTGGTCTGAAGGTAAAGCTCAGATGTACACGATATACAGACACAGTTTGTGAACCAATGGAGGGATTCTTCTGTACAGACCTTAAATCAGAAGATTGTGCTGTAGCACAGAAACACAGGATCTGTGAACCAGGACAGTACATCAGCAGGAATGGTTAGTCTGGTTCTCTTCAACATATTCTCTGATTTTTAGATAAAATGTTTTGACTTTTGAACATTTGCAAAGAATAAACTTGTTGATCAGAACTGAAAATCCGATGAGAATCTTCTGACCAACATAAAACTGGTTTGCGTTTATACAGGAACAGCCTCCACAGACACAGAATGCTCTGAATGCAGCAGTGGATCATTTTCTGATGGATCTGTGTTTTCATGTCAGCCTCACAGACAGTAAGATAGTCTCTTAAAAGCAACATAAACACAGGATGATGTTTTACCAAGTGATTTACCTGGATTCATGTTTGTTATTTCAGATGTGAAAAAGAAAACCTACTGCTGATAAATGCAGGAACATCTTCAACTGATGCTGAATGTGGAGAAAAAAGTTCCAACAACACAGGAGTTGTGATCTTTGTTCTGGTGGTTTTATTAGTTTTAGGTTGAGCAGTGATTGGTTTTTTAATCTGGAGACATCAAAAAAACAAATGAGGGGAATAAATGTAAATAAAAATCTTAGCATTTTAAAAAGATTTACTGTTTTAATAATTGTAACATTTAATTTTTAACAGAGGGTGGTATAAATCAACAAGAACTGGTAAGTAGGTTTATAACTGAATTTTAATGTGAACAGATATTGATGCCAATATTTATTTTACCAAACAATTTGCTTATTTTCTACACAAAAGGACAAAGCAGAAATAGATTCTTTGACTGTATCAGGTAAGAAGAATTTTGATCTTTACTAGAATAATATCAGACCAGTTGTTTTTCTGGGCATCACTCTGAAAAACGTAGATTTTTCTCTAAGGAAAACAAATCAAACTGATTCTGCTTGAAACTGCTTGCTCTGGATGTTTCCATCAATATTTAATCGATTTGGTGTCTTTTTTCTTTTCTATGTACAGTGCAAGAAACCAAAAACTAAACACATGGATGAAAGTTATTGATCACTGTAGATCAAATGATTCAGGGTCTGAGTAGAACCAAACTAGATACTGATCCTTTGTTTTTACAGTGATCAGAAAGAGCAGCTAAAACTCCACATCCTTTCTCCACCAGCCATGGTTATCACCCTACATCCATCACCTAGATGTAAGATACGTCGACTGTTTAATGTCGTAGTATCAGATCTGTGACTGTAACCCAGAATGATTAGATTAGGTAATAGACCAGACATGGGAAAAACTACGGCCCCCGGGCTGTTAGTCTTTTTAATCCGGCCCGCCAAACTTGTCCAAATTATAGTAAAAACCCATGGATGTGTAAAAATCTCATTCATTTCCTTTCCCTTTGCAATACCATCGTTCCCCGATAGATGGCGCACTAGTCATTGATCTTTGTTGGAGAGTAACTTTCCAGCTGCCGTTTCCCCCTTCGGTAAAAATGAGCGGACCAAAGAAAAGAAAAGTGGACGCTGAGTGCCAAAAAGGAGTGGACAACAAAATATTTTTTTACTGATGTCCGATCAACGGCTGTATGTCTGATATGCCAAGAAACGGTTGCAGTTTTCAAAGAGTACAATATCAGCCGTCACTTTGCCACAAAGCATGCTAACTACGCTAGCAAGTTGTCAACACAAGAATGGGCGGCTATTGCTCAGAGTTTTGCAGCTAATTTACAGACTCAGCAGAATTTTTTTTCACTGACAAACTGCGATTCAAGAGTCAAGTACAAAGGCAAGTTTTCTGCTAGCATTCAAGTTAGCAAAGGCTAGCAAGCCTTTCTCCGAAGGCGAATTTTTGAAAGAATGTATGGTAGAAACAGCAGATCTCTTGTGTCCAGAAAGCAAAGGCAAGTTTGAAAAAGTCAGCTTGTCACGCAAGACAGTGACTTGGTTTGTGGAACTGATTGACGAAGATATAGTCAGCGAGTTAAACAAAAAGGCGGAGTCCTTTAATTTATATTCACTAGCACTGGATTAAAGCAACGACATGAAAGACACTGCTCAGCTCCTAATTTTTATCAGAGGGATAAATGACAGTTTTGAGATAACAGAGGAGCTTTGAGCATGGAATCACTGAAGGGGAAAACGCGAGGAGAGGACTTATATGAACAGGGGACTTCTGTCATCGAGAGAAAGAAGCTGCCTTGGAGTAAACTTGCCAGTGTCACCACGGATGGATCGCCAAATTTAACTGGAAAAAACATCGGGTTGCTGAAGAGAGTCCAAGATAAAGTGAAAGAAGAAAACCCTGACCAGGATGTTATTTTTCTTCACTGCATCATTCATCAAGAATCTCTGTGTAAGTCTGTATTGCAGCTTAATCATGTTGTGAATCCAGTTGTAAAACTTGTTAACTTCATACTAGCAAGGGGACTTAATCACCGTCAGTTCATTACGTTCCTAGAGGAAACCGATGCGGATCACCAGGACTTACGTCACCACTCTCGTGTCCGCTGGTTAAGTTTGGGGAAAGTGTGCCAACGAGTGTGGGAGCTCAAAGAGGAGATTCATTAATTTTTTAAGTTAATGAGGAAATCTGACGAATTCCCTGAGTTGAGCGATGAGGACTGGCTTTGTGACTTTGCTGTGGACATATTGTCACACATGAATGAGTTGAACGTTAAACTGCAGGGGAAAGATCAGTTTGTGCACGACATGTACACAAATGTGAGAACCTTCAAATCTAAGCTGATTTTATTCTCCAGGCAAATGTCAAACAAATCTTTCGCTCATTTTCCCACACTGGCCATGCAGAAGGCCACCCGAAACGTGAAGAAATACTGCAGATCACTGGACGACATGCACAGAGAATTCTGCCGTCGGTTCACTGATTTTGAAAAAATTGAAAAGTCACTTCAGCTGGTTTCCTGTCCCCTGTCACAAGACCCTGAAACAGCACCGCATGAGCTGCAATTGGAGCTGATCGATCTCCAGTCTGACTCCGTCTCAAAAGAGAAGTTCAGATCTCTTAAACTGAATGACTTTTATGCTTCACTTAACGAAGCCACATTTCCAAACCTCCAGAGGATGGCACAGAAGATGCTGGTATTGTTTGGCTCGACCTACGTGTGTGAGCAGACTTTCAGCGTCATGAACATCAACAAAGCCTGTCACAGATTCCGGTTAACTGACCAACACCTCAGATCGATTCTGAGAATTGCCACAATGAAACTAACTCCAGACTTTGATGCACTGGCAAACAAGGGAGAACAACACTGTTCCCACTGAGATGTGAGTTTCTTTACTGTCTGATGAAAAAAAATAGAAACTTTAGCATTTACGCAACAGCGGTACAGTAGCTTAATTAACATGCTGCACATCGCTCTCATTTTAAATACCCCTTTCTTTAGTTGGGTGATAATATTGTAACGATTCTGTGTTTTAGTTCTGCTGGAGTCCACATGGTTATTTGCAGTGGCGGAGGCAGAGGGGTGGCCGGTGTGGCACTTGCCACCCCCAACAGACCCCTGGCCACCCCTACTGCCACCCCACTGGAATTGGTCATTTTAAAATATAATACTTATGAGATCGGCAAAAATTTGCCAGGAAAACTGTAATTTCCGACTGTCCCTGAAGGCAGCTCGATGCCCGACGCTGTTCATTGGTTAAACTGACATGTGGGTCCTACTTGATCCAAAACACATCAATGGCTTTAGAGTTACACCGTGGAGGAGTTTTGCAGGTATTTACAGCATTTTACCGCTCAGCGGTAACCGCTGTTACCTTCCTAATGAGAGGCAACACTTGTCCTACATTTCTAAAAAGAAAAAAAAAATGGTTGTGTACCGCTGCGTAGTGCCTCCTTTATTATATTAGCCATGCTAGTGCTGGTAGATCGTGTCTTAGATTATTTTAACATATGTTTTAGTGACATGCTGCCCTCTAATGTTTTATATCTCCCAGCTCTTGCTTGAAATGTGTGGTAAGAGTATGTGAAAAACCATTAAGTTTATAATGACTGAAATGTAAGTAGGCTAGTCAAATGAAAGCTTTGAATTATAACCTAACTAGTTATATTAATTAATTTTAATTAATCTATTTTTAATTTAGTATTATTTTAGCTAGCTACAGAAAACTAAAAACTATAGTTTAATAATAGTTAAAATAGTGTTGTCTCTGCCAAACAGTCATGGAGTCTAAATACCAGGCTGTCTTATTTTGTGTAGAGCCCAAATGAAGAGAAAAGGGAATATCTCCCAGTTCTTCTTAAAGAGGCAAAAACCAGACCAGATCCAGACAGAACCCTGCAGCAGTGACCAGGACCAGACAGAACCTGCAGCAGTGACCAGGACCAGACAGAACCCTGCAGCAGTGACCAGGACCAGACAGAACCCTGCAGCAGTGACCAGGACCAGACAGAACCCTGCAGCAGTGACCAACCTGGAGAATCCAGCCAGGAGACTCCAGGCCCAAGTGTATCACCAGCAGGTTAGAGGCTGTGACAGAGAGTTAAGTATTAAAATCCAATAAGCCTAATTCTAAAGGTTAGCATGATGCTTTTGCATTTTTTATTGTGTCTGTTTATGCATTTCCAATTAAGTTCCAGAGAGAGATGAGGGTGATACAGATTCAGAGTCAGACTCTGGGGAGGAAGACAGTGAAGCAGAAGGAAATGGCACTGAACTGCTCCACCCAGCACAACCTATTGCACACCAGAAGCACCAGTTTATTTATTTATTTATTTTTGAGAATTTGTTTTTGGTCATATTCTGGGCTCTGAGTTTACATTTACATGTTCACTGTTCCATAGTGCCGTTTAACGTCTTGTTTGGTCATGGCAAATCTTAGTTAAATAAACCATTTTAATTTGAGTGTGTGAGAAAATATTTGTTTCCTTTCGTTCATCATTTGTATATGGACCCCTCTGATAAAGCCTTGCTCACCCTTGAAAAAAAGTCTAGCTCCACCACTGGTTATTTGTTATAAGTTACATTGTGTTCCTTATTGTTACATGAAGTGTTCTGTACTTCCCCTGTCAGACTCTGTTAACTCCCACTCACACGTGATTAGTCTGTCATGAGGGGGAGGAGCAGCAAGAGTTCTGTTGTCAGTTAAGTTGTCAGGGAGTGAACCAGTTTGTTAGGGGCTGCAGCCATAATAATAGCAGCTCCTATTCTTATTTCTAATAAACCCTGTTTGATGGGACTGCAGCTGCAGTGTTAGCATCATTATAATATGTTCTGAATGTTGAAAGTGATTCCATTGATCTTTTGCCACTAAATGTTGATTTCTTTAAATTTGCACCTTCAATTGTGTGTCTTCCATACATTTCAATATCCAGGTTTAATAAATTACATTGCATGTCCAAATGCTCGTGGCCCGGCCCCTCTGTCAAATTTTAGAACCCATTCTGGCCCGCAAGTCAAAACGTTTCCCCACCCCTGTAATAGACAGTAATTGGCTTGTACTTGTACATGTACAAGCCTTTATAGTTTTTCAGACCACAGTCAGTCATTCACACAATCAAGCTGATGGTTGCAAGCCACAGATTTCCTACTGCAGTCTGACAGAAGAGAGGCGGCCATCCACTATCACCACCAGGTCCTCTGACCACCAGCAGGTGAGGCAAATGAACTGTCTTGCACAACGACAGGCAGGTGGAGCCAGGATAGAACCAGCAACCTGCTGATTGCAGGGCAAAGTCCTACCAGTAAATCAGTATTTCCATGTGAAATGAAACCAAGTCATTTGTACAGTTTTATAAGAAACCTGCTTATTCAGAATCTTAGGGACTTTATCCACAAGAGCCTGACATAAAATTTTAATATTGCTAATATGTTTTTAGGTTTAATGAAAGCCTTAAAAACATTAATATTACATCTGAACATCTAATATTGCAGTTTTTGTTGTGTTTTCTTATTTATAGATTAAAATGCATGAATGCATAACTTTGTACATAACAGATTTCCTTTTTTTAAATAACATCATGCTTTTATGCCCACAAAGTTACTTCACCATAGTGACCTTTGTAGCAAAGTGGTGAAGATGTGAATTACTAGTGTTGTTCATAAGTTAGTTGTTCTGCTCTGTGGTGACTATAGATGTAACTTTAGATGAGAATCTAATTTGATCCCAGCTGAGAGTGAAAGAAAACTTCCTGTTCTGCTTCTGACAGTACAAAGTACAACAACAGGGGCCACAAGTTGACAATATAGATTCTGGTGGTGTTGAATGAAATAAGTCTGATTTTTACAAAAAGACTATTTATTGAGTCGATGACACATGCACAGATTGTCTGGATGGTGTAAATATTCAACACAAACAGTTGAGCACCATCTTTTTCTGTATTGAGGTTTAAAGTAAACATTGTGGAGCAGCCCAGCCCTTCAATCTGATGAGAATCTGGGGACTGTATGTCTGGTGAGCTTATTATATGAACCACTTCACAGTGAAAAGCAACAAAGAACAGTTGCAAATGGGATAATAATTAAACATTGTTGTGATGATGTGCTAAAGACGGAGAGTTGGGAAGAGCAGGAGCTTCTTAAAGAGATAGAAACTCAATTTAAGGCATCTTGACTAAAAACCCACCTGTTTAGAATTGTATTTGAAATGTATCAATTACAAATGTGATGATGGAACTTGACATAAATAATGTCATGTTTGTTTATTCTATGTTGCAAGACTTTGTGTTTTTGTGGTTATTTTGTAAAGCATTTTGAATGCCTTGCTGATGAAATGTGCTATACAAATAATATTTGATTTTGATTGATAGATTGATCAAATTGTAAAGTCAAATTTCTGTTATGTTTGACATGTAACATTTTTACAATGACTGAAGGTAACAGTTGCAGTTATTAGCTATAAAATAACAGAAAATGCATTAGAATGCCCCTTTAACATCAGTAAAACTTTTTCAATTGATTGTTGAGCAGAATATAATGTTTTATGTAGCACATAGAACAGCATGTGCTACAAATAAAATCAATCAACACAATAATGCTATGAAAATAAAAACTGATTATTAAAAAAATTTTGAATCCTTTCCGACCTACTTCTTGACTGAATTGAAATCATCCTAAATTTAGATCTGCCAGTTGTCACTTTGGTTATTCTGTTTGTATTTTAGTATATTTAGGCAAATGTCATGATTTGTAGGTTGGTTGATGGAGGATCAAAATGCAGATTGACAGAGATGTGGAGTAGGTAATTTAAAAAAAATGGTTTATTGAAAAATGAGGAATATAAATCTTACAATAAATACTCAGAGATCAGAACAGAAAACAAATAAATCCAAAGAAATCTAAACAGAAACATTCCAGAAAGGAGGAATGGAAGGAATCAGTGAGGAGAGACAGAAGAAGAGATGTGAGTATTGGGAGGTTGAATATCGAAACAAAGGATCGAGCTAATTGACTGGCAGTTTGAAGATTTAAGTGGACCCAGAGAGAAAATGGCACAGAGGGTGGGGAAGAGTACACAGGAGAACAAAAAACAAATCTAACAAATATAAAGAATAACTAGACTAAGGAAACAAAATGAGTTATAAAGCACAAAACTCCACTAAAGCAAAACAGAAACTGGACTGATTTTCGATCTGATCAAAGAATAGAACTAAGGAACACAAGATAAAAATGAAACTCAAATTATTTTCAAAGCAACTCAACAACCTGGTCCGAAGCGGCCAATAAATATATAAATGATGAAGAAGCAGCGCTCATGACGCGCGTGTTTTGCCGCGAGGAGACGCAGAGGAACCGTATCTGATGGGGAAACAGTAAGGGCTTTGTGTGAGCCATCATGTGATCCAGATAGATGCAGCAATGTGTTTTGCAAGAGTGATGAAATCAGGAATGTGGCTTTTCACCTTGCAGCAGACATTGCAGCATGAAGCAATGACAGGAAATGAGTTGTGTTGTGTTCGTCTGGAGACGAACAACATTTACTTGTTGAGAGTCGATTATGATGAGAGTTTAATCGAGTTTACGCCTCTGTGATCGTCCTCTTATAAAGGTTGTTGAATACAACCTTTATACACGGGAACTATGAATGTTTCATTTTCTTCCGTAACCCTCTAAATTAACAATAAAGTAACAAAATACCTTCTGACTTTATAAAATGATAACAAGTTCAAAGTATCATTTTGGCGCAGACATCTTGACCATCTGTTCCGTGTGTGCAACAGTAAATGGGACAATTTCGGTCCAGACATAAATACACCTGTCTACGTCACATGTAGAGAGAATAGAGGGACACAGCTGACTGTTCAGTCCAGGTTTCTGCTGTGAAGCTCTGGAAGTCGAGCCAAAGTCACACTAGACTAACTTAACATTAAACGCCATTATAAAGGCACAAGATGCGGAACTGAAAGAGAAACCAGTCATTGGAGTTTATGTTTGTGAAGATAAGTTTGTTGAATTTACATATAAAATAACTTCGTTTTATTTATTCATTTACTTATTTGTTTATTTGAATGTAAATACCAGTCGCTGGTGTTGAAATTTTTCTGAAGGTGTATTTGCGTTAAGGATTCAATTCAAAATCCATCTACGTCACAGACTTCAGTAACAGCAGAACAGTTGAGGTTTAGCTGGAATAATGGCTGTTTGCTGATCATAATACCAGTGACTCACATTCAGCTGACAAAATGAACCCAAGTTATTTTACATGTAAATTCAACAAACATACCTTCACAAATATAAAGTGAATGAATATTTCTTTTGCATTTATAATGGAGTTTTAATGTTAAGTTAATATAGGGTGTCTGTGGCTCAACCCATGATATAATTTTTAACCTACAGAACCTGCTGTATTTTCTGCACTGGCTGTAGATTCCTGCATGTCTATTTTCTCTCTGGGACTTTAAGGATCGTAAACAAAGGTCATAACTGCTGCTGGGGGTTGAAGTCTCTTCAAACTGCTGTGTGAGCAAAAATCTGTTTCCTTATCTTCTGTGTGATGTAACTGTGAGGAAATAGGTTTTCCTGACTAGGGGGTCTGTGAGGTTTTGCACCAAGCGCTCATTTTGGTGTCACACAACCAATCTCAGTGTGACACAACAAAAATAAAGTTAATTTTCTTTTTAAGAATGTCCATTTCCATGTCAAAACACATATCTAAACGGACATGTGTTCACAAGTGGATGTTATTTGGAGTTAAATTATAGAAATGTAATTATTATGAATTCCTTTCTTCTGTGTTATTTTGAACTTGAGGAAAATGTAGTGATTGCTGTTGATACTTGAAGGGCACTGCACCCTCATACTTTCTTTCTTACAGGCTCAGAAATGTGGATTTGTTGAGCCACAGAGAAGTTCACTCTGACCCTGGAGAATGATTTCAAGAAGAAAAACTTGTGCTGCGCTCGTGCTCCTGGTAAATCTATTTATGATATAGCAATGGATCATTTAATACAATATTGCTTCTTATAAAATGGTAATTTTCAGGCTGATTTAAACTTTGAGTGTCTTCATTATCACATCAATATATTAAGAAAACTAATTTATTTGTATTATTTTTTGGTCTACACAAAAAAATACATATTTTAAGTTGTCTAAAAGTGTTGCCTATGTATTCAAGTGACACACGTGAAATGTAATACGTTACAGATATCTTGCAAAGTACATTCTTGTATAGTTGTAGTTTTTTAATTATCTGCTTTAATTTTACCATTTAAAATTATCTTTAAAAAAACAACTTTTGCATTCACTCAGGTTATGTTTGTCTGATTCTTAAAATGTTTTATAAGCTGAAACTTTTAGGTTTGACAGAAAAGCAAAAAGAAGGAATCTGCGTGCCATCAAATTTAGATCTCTAGAACTAAATTGTATAGATTGTTGGTTTCTGGATATAAATAGTCTTGCAATATTTCTTGAGTTGAAATGTGTTGTGAATTGAAACTTTATAGATAAAACTGAGCTAAACTCAATAATTGCAACTGATGCTATAAAATGGTTGACCTCTATTAAAAGCTAACCTAACATAAATGCTGATATGAATTAATATGGTGTTGACATAAAACTAAACTGCTAAAGTTAATCAAAACAAGGCATAGAAATAACTAATCAAAAGGGGATTTGAACCTTTCTACAGGAAATAGGTTCTAATTTTTGAAAAACCTTTTCACAGATGATTCTGATGAGAGACTTCAGAGTTGATTCAATTGCATGTCATCAAACTGAAGAGGTTTATATAACATGTCATCTTAGAATGTCACAAATATGATAGAGAGAAGATATAAGAGTTTGAAAATATTAAAGGAAAAGGTTAATTCATTCGATATTTTGAGTCAGAATTTGGGGAGTAAACATATACAAATAGTTATTCGATTATTAAAGAAAACGAATTTATTTCAAAGAATTTTATTACAGTAGGTGTTGTGAATGTGTGGATGATATAGATGAGTTGAAGACAAAGTGGTGGTTCGTGTCGTGAAACCATCACGAATCAAACTCCATACCCGGAAGTGGCGGTGGAGAGTTTATTCAAGTAGCTACACGTCGCTGTAGTTGAACAAACCCCGCCTCATCTGTTTTTGCAAAAAGTTCCCTCTCGATTTGTTACTAACCGCCAGTAAAGCCAAGAAGAAGAGTTTAAGGGCGAATATCTGACGATGACGAATTTTCAACCTGAAGCTACACCACGGTATCATTTAAGGTAAAATCAGCTGCTCATATCTTTCCTCTTTGAGTTTAGAAAGAGTTATGGTGGAGGTGGACTTTACACGAAGCCAGTTGTCTCCCTAACTTAACGCTGTTTTGTCAAAGGTTCTAACACGGAGCACCGAAAGAATAACCTGTAATTTGGAGTTGTGTAGTTTAGGGATTAGCTTTTAAACCCAAGCTATAAACAGCGCTGGTTTAAGTTTAGTTTAAATATATTTGTAAAAATCTGTATAAAGACGAGACAGTTTGGTAACTATGTGGTGAAAGAGTTCTTGTGCGAAATTCGGTTTTCACAGATCCCCTGTGAAAATCTGTTCCCTCTATGTCGGGAGCGCGCATAGAGAGGCGAATGAGGATCTGATCATTTTCACGTCGTTTCTGATCAATTTCTCGGTAAAACGACTCATATAAATATGTCAGGGTTGTAACATTCAGTTTAATTGGCATGTAGCTGAGGCTGGTGTTAATTTAAAGGCACACTGTAACTGTAGCTGAGTCTGCTCTTAATTTGTAGGACGGTTTAAAGGCACTGTTCAGGTTTGTCACTGCTCTCAACCTGGAGTGTCGGTCAGAACACTACTTAGATTGGATTCAGTTCAGGACCAGATGTGGGGCAGCAGGTGGAAGAAGAAGACATGAGGCAGGATCCCTTTTACTTTCTGTATTCCAAGTTGGGTCACAGATCTTAGTCCAACAACAGTAATTGGCATCAAGGTATATTGGTGGGTGTGGGTGAGTGCTTCAGATATGTGTGTAGCTGTGTGTGTGGTCTCCTAGAATAAACAGAAATACAGAAATAAGTTTCAGGTGTTCTATCATTACACATTACTATTACACCTTAGATAAAACTAAGAAGGAAATAAATAAAGCCTAACAAGCTTAACATCAGAATCAGTATTCATAAGTGAACTAAAACAAATGAATTAATATCAATGCCTGTGCGCCTGCCAAGTACATCGCTCAGCGCTCTACAATACACATATAGCCCATAGCTCGGACCTAACGGTAAATAACGGTTAACAAATAAACTCCGAATCATTCATTTAACTTCAGCAAACAATCAAATATAATAACTTACTTGTCACTAACGCACACTTATAAGGCGAACACACATTTTCTGCCCCTCTCACGTATTAGCAGTGGCTCTGTTACCCCACCTCTCCCTCTGATATCAGGAACGGTTCTCTTTCTTACGGCGATGTGATGACGTCATCGCCGCCCCCAACTACGGTATGCCCTAAGTGGCAAAAGTAACGCTGAACAGAAATCACTACGAACAGTAGTAGTTAACAAACTTAGATTATTTAAGGGGTCTTTTGAACAGTCGCCCCCAAAAGTGTACAATACATTTGCTCAAACAAAAGACTCTAGGTAGGGCAACCTTGCGCCTGAGGGTCACTGTCCTCCTGAGGTATGGCAGGGAGGATCACCAGCCGGGCCACAGGTCGAGTGTAAGTTCTGTTAGTCTTCACATCTGCTGACCTGATGTGTCCATCAGGACTGGGGTGAACCTTGATGATGCGTCCCATGGGCCAGAGGGCCCTAGGCAGATGAGGATCCACGATCATGGCGACCATCCCTTCTCTGATGTCAACTACAGAGGTTTGCCATTTCTGGCGCGTCTGAAGTCCAGGTAGATATAGACGAAAACCGGGCCCAAAAATGGTCAGCGAGCACTTGGGCATGCCTCCACTGTCGACGACTTAAAAGTTCATCTTTGGAGTAAACCACCTGCGGCAGCGAACCATCCGGCCGCCCCATAAGCAAACAGTTTGGTGTCACAGGATCTGGATCTCTTACATCGGATGAGACGTAGCCCAGCGGCTTTGAGTTGAGGATCCCCTCTACTTCTACAAGTACTGTACGAAGGACCTCTTCTGTGATGGGCTGTGCTCCGACTGTAGCATACAGTGCTGACTTCACAGAGCGGATTTCACGCTCCCACACCCCTCCAAAGTGAGGAGCTGCAGGAGGATTGAAGTGGAACTGAATCTTGTGTGGAGCTAGCAGTTGCTGAAGTTCCAATGTCATGTCTGAAAATGCTTCCCTCAACTCAGCATCACCTCCTCTAAAATTGGTGCCCTGGTCTGAATAAAGCTCAGCTGGTGTTCCTCTTCGTGAAATAAACCGACGCAGAGCCATCAGAAAGGAGTCTGTGTTGATGGAGGTCAGTACATCCAGATGTACAGCTCTGACAGTCATACACTTAAATATTATTCCCCATCTCTTTTCCAAATGGCGGCCCACTTTAACTTCAAAGGGACCAAAGCAGTCAGTTCCAGTGGAATAGAAGGCTGGCTTGAAGACGTGGAGTCGGGCCAAAGGCAGGTCCGCCATTTTAGGGACAGATAGGTCTCGCCCTCCATCTTTGACATTCTACACAGGTTCTTTGAAAGCGCCGAATTGCTTCTCTACCTTTAAGGATCCAATAATGGCGCCGGAGCTGTGCAAAAACTCGTTCTGGTCCGGGATGCCGCAGTCGACGGTCACAGTCCTGGATGAGCAGCTTGGTCACTGGATGAGAGGGATCAAGTACCAGTGGGTGAAGGTTGCAGAAGGTTAAGTCTTCAGCACGACGTAGACGGCCACCCACTCTTATCAGTTCTCCACGTTCATCCAGCTCTGGAGACAATGTTAGGAGACGACTACTCCGTTGAACTGGTTTCCCTGCTTTCAGAAGGTGAAATTCATCTGGGAAACTCTCCTTTTGAGCTCTCTTGATGAGAAGCATCTCTGCTTTCCGGTAGTCCTCAGCGATGGGACCACTGCCATTTGCCGTCCCCTGAAGTTCCTGTACGGTTGCATCCAGAAGTTCATGCCAGGTATCATACTGACTCATGTAGGTTGGGGAGGCAGAGGTCATGGCACAAAAGGTTGACCTGCGAAGCTCAGATGCATCTGGGGAGATTTCAGGGTTTTCAGATGGGTCTTTAGGCCATTGGTCTTGCGGTAGGTATAGGATGGGAGGATCTTGACTCCATCGGTTTGGTCTTGCTAACTCCTGCAGGGTTTTGCCACGCGTTATGTCATCAGCAGGATTTTGGGCAGATTCCACATAACGCCAGCTCTGCAGATGGGTCAACTCCTGGATCTCAGCAATGCGCGTGCCCACAAAGACTTTGTAGCGACAGGATTCAGATCGTAGGTCAGCACAGTGGTAGAGTCTGTCCACATCACTGTCTTCTCAATGTGCAGAGAGAGCTCACCCTCAAGAAGCTTAGAAAGCTGGGCTCCCAGAAGCGCTGCACATAGCTCCAGTCTTGGAATGGAGTGAAGGCGTTTGGGAGCTACTCTGGAGCGAGCCATAACAAAGGACACATATGCTTGATCATTATCTCCAGTCATTCTAAGATACGCCACAGCACCATAAGCCTGCTCTGACGCATCACAGAACACATGCAGCTCTGCTTGTCACCTCCCAGGCTACATCAGTGGGCAGGTATGGTCTGGGTAAACGGATATCAGAAAGGAACTGCAGCTCCCGTTCCCAGATATCCCACTGTTGACAGAGGTCAGGTGGCAGCTGGGGGTCATCCCAGCCCCGATCCTTGTCCCAAAGACGTCTGATCAACATGGTATGCCCTAAGTGGCAAAAGTAACGCTGAACAGAAATCACTACGAACAGTAGTAGTTAACAAACTTAGATTATTTAAGGGGTCTTTTGAACAGTAACAAACTGCCCTGTATTTTTACAGTAAAATGCTGGCAGCAGGGTTGCCAGCATTATACCGTTAATATACAGTACCCTTGCTGTAATCAACTTTACAGTATATTACTGTCACAAAAGAAATCTTTTGATTACAGCACATTGCTGTTTTTATCAGATTTACAGCAGACTACTGGCAGCAGTGTTGCCAGTATATTACAGTTTTTCTATGGTACCATTATTGTTGAATTCCCATACAGCTTACTACTGTAAATTTCCAATATATAGAAACATGAAAAAAAAAGACTTAGAAAATGTAACTTCCATCATGTCAAACATTTATTTGGGAAAAAAAAGAACCAACTCAAACATTGACTCATACACAGTCTTTAGTGGGCCACATAATAAAGACGAAGGTTTTGAAACAACAATGTATGTGTGCCTTAAACCTAAACCTTTTCTACAAGAATGTTGAGGGTAAACTGTCCAAAGTAAGTCGTATTCTGAAAAAACAGTAAGAAAATCACCATCTATTTTGTGAAATAAATTTAACTGATTAAACAAGTATTTGAATAAAGCATGAATTGTGGCCTTTTGATTAGTCTGAAATAAAATAAGTATGAAATAAATTATGGAAATAATGAATTGTACAACTCAGCACACTACTTTTTCAATACAAAATACTACTTTTTGTGGAAGTGAGGAACAATATGGCCAAGATAAGTTAAACATGGTGCCTGTACAGTCAAAATTACATTTGAAGAACAGAAAGTGGGAGCCTTAACAAAATTTATGCTCTTGATTAAAAGAGATGTCTTAAGATTATGCTGACCTTTAAACCAAAAAAATCTCTCAAGAACACTCCTGTTCAGGGATAAGTTGCCTTCATGCCTGGATAGTTTTTTGTTTGTTTGTTTTTGCGTGGAGGGGCAACAATATCTATAGCTCGGTTAGAAAGTTCTCACTATGAAATTCCACTCAAAGTCCATGAGGTTTTTCAGCAGAATTGAAACACGGGGGATGACAGTGACCGACTTCTTTTGAAAAGTTTTCCCTGTCCTCTTGGAGATGATCTTGCTACAGCTGGCCTTGGTCCGGGTTGATATCAAGAAAGCGCCTGAAAATGCAGTAATTTCAGATTAGCATGTGATGCTTAAGGAGTCAGGGTTTAATGTGTGCTAGGTGAAGACAAACTTTTGAATGTTAAGAGTTAATAAAGAGACACCAGCATAACATTTAAACAGTTTTCTGCCAAGTCAACTTTGTGAAACTCCAAATTCCCAGTTGCTATCCATTCAGCAATTTCACTTGAGCAGCTAATGATAGCAATTCAAGTCAAATTACAC